TAAGTCCTTCGTCAGCGAATTTAAGAATTCCCTTGCCCAAATTGGCATGCAATCTGCCCGCTACTCCGGGCACTCTTTTCGGCGGGGCGGCGCAACTTTTGCGTTCCAATGTGGCGCCTCCCCGGCCCAAATTAAAGAACAGGGCGATTGAAAATCCTCCGCTTATCTCCTTTACCTCGAGTTCGACGACCCGGCTCGTGCCCGGGTCGCGGCGCTTATGGCGCATTCTATTCTGCTTACGACTTGGCGGTTCCCCGGTCAGCCTCAACACTAGCATCTCCACCGAGCGAAGCTGAAGACGAAGAAATCAGCCCGGTTTAGTCTACTAGTGTTAAGGCCGACCAGTTACTTGGAGGGTAGGCTAGTCCTTAGGATCCTTCCAGGGGGTAAATCGAGCGTGTTCGATCAGCCCCTAGTCACCGGATTTATTAAAGGCGGACCCTGCCTATTTCCCCCAGTCGTTCGCAATATTCACGTTCCAGACACGGGCACAAGATTTAGGATTTCCTACCCTTCCTGATCGAAGATTGTGAAGAAAGTCGGACAGGGGGAAGGGTGCCCACCCTTCACTATACCTACGTCAAGCGTCAGATCCATACTGCCGCAGGAGTTCTTGCAGCAGGAATCATGGCAACTTGGGCGCCCATCTCGTTGTCGGGGCCAGAAGAACTGAAGGATATCTTTCCAGGAGTGCGGGGTCTCCAGAAGATCCAGCAGACTCCACAGGAGCAAAGGAACACTGGAGTGCTCCCTGTGATTGGGGCCGACCCGGTTGTGCTCCAGAAGGCTATCAATTTCCTCTTCAGCATCAACAGCAGGATAAAGTCCTCCGTTAGCAGGAGCAACGGCAGGGAGGCCCCCAAAGTCCTCGCTCTCTCAGGGCTGTTGATCGGGATCGTCGAGATTGCAAAGCGGTTGCCTACTGCAGCAAAAGCAAGCGCGACTGCAGACTTGGGACTGGATCAGCCTTTCGCAAGTGCTTTTGCAAACGTTGCTGACCCCTCCGCAACAACCGCAGCGTGCACGACAGTGTACAAGGAGGGTAGTATGGATCACAACGAGCTTCTGGATGACCAGGCGCGGCTTGCTGCAGTGGAGGGAGAGGAACACGCCTATGGACCTGGTCCTGCTGCTCCCGCTCCCAAAAAACAGAAGCTCGAAGTCTCCAAAGTCACAGGAAAAGCGAGCACCCAAGAGAGTTCTCCCTCGAAAGTTAAGCCCGGATCTCGCAGAATGGAGACACCTCCGGAGGCTGGCCCACAGGTTTCCCCACCACCTATGGAGGGCACGGCGGGCGGATCGGGAAGCAGAATAAGCCGCCTCTCCAAAGGCGTGTCATATCGTGTGCTCAACTTCGAACAACAATACGAGCATCTTAGGGACGTCTGGTTGTTGAATCAGTCTTCGTACCAGCCAAATCTTTACTTTACGGCTGTCTTTTCAGGTAAGGAAATCATACCAGCACTTTGCTTGTTTCAGAGCGTGTTTGCTGAGCGGTTTGCTCTTGTTTCTTGGGGACTTAATAATTTTGACTGATGTTTTTGTTTGACTGACTGACTGTGTTTGTCCACTGCGCGCTACTGCGCCTTAGTCCTTGCACTTGCTGCCTTGGTACTAGGGTGTGGTGCACACACTTATATATGAGCTTGTCAAATAGAGCCATTGGATGACCCTGATTGGCTGGCCTGACGTATCTATTTGTTCTGCAGAGCTCCAACTGGAGCTGGTGGTCAACCTGGAGACGGGTGAAGTTACAGTTCGGCGGGCCGTCTGGGAGGCCAAGGCTAGCCTCCGGCAAGGGTACCGCAAGAAGATCGACCAGGCCGCAAAAACCGCCGTGTGTGTTTACATAAACAACTTGGCACACGGTGTGGTTATCAAGAACGTATATGTTCTGGTGGGTGATGACGAGGAAATGGTTGTCGGTAGAACGCCGCTTGCTGCTCCTTTTTGCTATTTGACTTACAAGCAGCTATTGCCGCTCAGCTTGGTGTAGTAGCTTTGACCATTGTCCTTCTTTGGTGCCCAAGTATTCATGTTTTGTGAACTCCTAACTTTGAACCCATGTTGCCATAAGATTCGATCCGGAAAGTGCCGCCTTCGTTTTGGTTTGACCTAGCTGGCAGCTTGCGGTAACCCCATTTGCAGTCTGGATTGGCCAGTTTTGTTTCGAAGCAACAGCAGGGACTATGGACACTCCGCCTTGATCACATGGTAATACTGATCACTTTTCCTTCTTGCTGAGCAGTGCAGTTCACGCCGGAGAATACTGGCTGGGAGCTCGGTTATCACCCGCATGAGCTGCGGGGGGACATCTTCGTGTCGGAGTTCCTTGAGTTGTCAAAACGGGACCCCAAGAACCCCATGGAGTTCAAGGTAAGCTGGCTACATTCTTTCTCAGGAAGTCAAGCTCTGCTTGCAATGTGACGCAAATTGGAACTTGGGTGTCAGCAGGGACGGCATACTTACTTTGGGGTTCGCACCGGGCTTCTTGTTTCAGAACAAAGCAATTTTGGGGCCATTTTTGGGATTGGGACGTGGCATACTCGTACCTGCAGGTCAGAAACTGATTGTGGACGGAAAGATGGCTGCTGGGTATCAAATACTGTATCATCCAAGAGTAGGGTGTGCCTCAGCTAGTTGCTTTCTGCTTCTGCTCATTCCTCTGCGCAGAGATGGTTGTCCTGCCCACGTGCAGTTATCTAACTTCTTGCCTTATGTAAGTCAAGAGTCTCTTAGGACGTTCGGCAACACCAACAAACTCCTCTACTTTTTTCAAGAAGGACTGAGAAAGGAAAACCACCATTCGACCATTTCATGCGGGTAAAATCATAGCTCGACATTTGTTTGTTGCAACAACTTCCTCTGTCCCGATCTTTGTTCATCATCGTAAACCCAACCTGTGGCTTACATAGAGCAATGTCTGATCTTTGCTTCTTGCATGTGGCAGGCCGGCGACCAACTGTTGAAGGGGGGGACATACATTCTGAAGGCGTTCCTGGGGGACGCGCTGTCGAAGCTGAGCGTCAAGGAGATGGACGACATCCTGGTAGACATCGAGGTCAGCCAGGTGTTGTCGAGCATCCACCTCATGCAGGACGCCTTCAGGGAGGAGGCGCCGTGGTTTGAAGAACCTCTGCATCGCTTGGAGCGGAAGGGAGATGACCAGGCATGCCCTTCATCTTTGGCCCAGTGCTTTCTTACCGCTTGCCCATGCTCTTCTGTGCGAACCAGCCTGAATTTTGTCAAGGAATTGCCAGCCTGGTTTTCGATCACGGGCTCTGCGAGCGAGATGCTCGACATGGCGAGCTTCTGACCCGCAGGAATTCTGCCTGATGAGCTGGGATAAGGGGATTAGGTCAGGGAGTTCCTTGGGGCGGCACCTTGTTGCCCCCTATCCTATCTGCCATGCCAACTTAATTTTCAATCAGAAGGTTGCACGACAGGGGAGGTCCTGCTCCGGTGTGGCAGTACCCTCTCGTGTCCTGGCTGATGTGTAGACATAGATTGTGCAGCGCGTTGCACACGATATCTTCCGTTTGAACCTTCTGTCGAGCAACCTGATGATACTTCAGAATCATAAGGCGTGAGCTAGACAGCTATCAGTCTTGGTGATTCAGCTTGCCAAGTTGCTTAAGCTAGCTCAAGAAGAAAGTCTGGTCGCTCACTCGCTTGCTCGCACGTGATCAACCTCTGTGTATTGCAGGACGTCCCTCCAGAAGAGCAGTTAGGCAGAGTGACCAGGGGGAAGGTCAAGCGGCAACGAGAGGTGGCGGCCTACGAGAAGATACCTGTCCCAGTAAGGGCGTCTTTGCTTAATAATTGGCCAGACTTGGATTTTGGGATGCAGCGTCCAAGAGCTTCTGCAGATGCCACTAGTGGCTTGTTCCGTCCTTCTAATGCTACTCAAGCTGTGCTTGGATAGAGGCCACAATAAACTGCTAACAGCAGTCGATTAAGGTAAGGGATTTGACCAGTGCCGTCTCCTGTCATGCTCATACGTCTCGTATTGACCTTTCCATCGTCTCTCCAGGTCCCACCAAGGCCCCCTCCAATGGACCCCAAGAAGTTTGAATGGAGACGGCTCCTTGAAGAAGGCGACCGGTATGAAGCGGTAGGGAAAGAGGTGCGGCGGCGCGGACAAGACCTTCAAAGGCAAAGGTACGTTTCCTTGAGTGCTCATCGGAGCCCTTGCTCGAGGTTGGCAAACGTCTGGAACAGGATCGACCTTGGTAGAAACACGGGTAGAACCTCGAATGATGTGCAGCAATATTGAGGTAACCTTCTACAGTCAGGAGTTTAAGCACACATCTACATGTCTGCCAAGACCTTTCTTCACACCGTCTCCAGAGCTACGAGTTGGGGCCTAACCAGACTGAGGAGCGAAAACTCGGCGGCAGCCTGGGGTCCACCTTCGAGTCAAGTGGTTTTCTTGTTTGGATATGTTTACGGAAGTGCCCAACGCAGGTGTGACCTGCAGAGCATGAGGAGAAACGTGGCGGGCTCTACCACTCATCGGGTAGCATGAAGACTAATCTTCGGAGTTTTTTGCGGCAAGGAAGCATCTGATTCTGTGAAGTTCAGCATTGGAAGCTCCTCATCGGGAACTCAGCCAGGAGATATCTCTCAACGATGAGTTTATGCAGTATTCAGGAATGTCATGGCGGACGCAGTCAGTTTCGGAGTTTGCCGAGTACGTATTACTACATCTTATTGCTCTCGTTATAACGTCGAGATGGTCGGAGACGGCTTGGTTGAGGAAGCTCCATACCTTATTTGCAGGCTGGAGGAGATTGCGAGAATAAGGAAGATGCAGGAGGACGAGCTGGCCGAGATCAACAAGTCCTGATCAGGTAACTGGTGCTCGGACAAATGCAGCAAATGGAACCGACTTCTGCCCGGAAAAACCATGCACATGCCAAGTGTTTAAAGGATGCATGTAATCAGCATTGAGTTTATCAACCAAGAGCGTGTACAGTGTGCAATCAAGGTCATGTACTATAGCCGTTGACATTTTCTCTTTGGACGCATGCCACAGTAAAGTCACCTTCGTCTTCTTCCTTGCAGGTGACACTATGGGTATGCTAGGGCAGGGTGGTTCGTTAGGGCGCTAGAAGGTTAGGTGGTCCCACTATGTCATAGGGCCGTTCAGTGGGCACGATTCGGTTGCAAATCTGGCCAATCACGTGCAAACTAGTCATCCATTGGGTCACCTGATGAAGGACTTGTCGTATGAAACTTTGTACACATGGAAGTATGATTCAGGACGTGAACTTCTGATCTTGTTGAGACCACTTGGAATATTATAGATCAGTTGAGAGGTTGATCGGAAACATCAGTGCATGCTGCACATATGTATGCAACTACTATATTTTTTGAAAGGTCCGAAATTGCCGCCTAATCTGTCATGGCCTGCCCGCTGCATGGCCGCCTAGTTGACTGCATCCGATAGCACTACGGCTCGAATACGCCGCTGTGATGGTCCAATTGGAACATGCTGCAGAACTTAGCATGCACTTGACTTTCTGCAGTCGGAATACACATGTAAATACTTGCGTGCCAGACACTGGGCAACCTGCCGCCCATATCGTTTGGGACTCGCCGGGTGCCAGACATATTGTTGCGGCAGCTAAGCTACTTAAGACTTATATGCATTATTGCTCCCTTGACAGGGAACATGTCAAAGTCGAAACCCGTGCCCGTTAAGCACGGCTAGTGATCTAGTGAGGCTAAACTAGGCGGCTACCCTCTGCAGCATTGCCGTGCTACTTTGACATTGAGATCGACTTTACAGCAACAAATTGGACAAAGACATGGGCAGGATTGCAGACATCCGTTTCCCGCCCTATTCCGCAGGTCAAAGCTGTGCTACGTACACGTGGAACCTTTAAACCGGATGTGACGGGCCGCAAATAGAATTTGGTCTTTATCCTTCGCACTTGGTGAACTTCAAGGTCTCTCGCGGTCGAAGCGGCAGGTTTGCTTCGCTTCGCACGAGTGCAGCTTTCGTCCGGTTGACGAGCTCAACATGTTCCCTGCAAACATAAACGTTACACATTCAGAATGTGTACAACAGCCAGGAACACGTGAAAGTGATCGAGCTCGCGAAGCTCTAGGGAGTAATCAGCATATGCTTGCATATGGGTAACTCCCGAAAGATGTTAGAACCAGCCTTGATCTATGAACAGCTCCTGAGGTTTCTGAAAAAGGCGACAGTACCCAGATTGCTGGCTCCTATTTGCAGCTCGCATCCCCGATTCGGATCATCCCGTCTGAAACCAGGTTCGCAACCCGGTCATTCCTATCAACGGGGTCTTGTGCTCTTAAAACGACGACACGGTACCTGGCCGCTTTCAGGTCAGCCGCCGCCAGGTGATTGCCCATCTTTCGGAACTCCCCACCCAACGCGATCGCGAACGCGCGCTCGGCCGTCTTCCGCTGCGCGAGCTGCGCGCGCGCGGACCTGCGCTTCCGGGCCGCGCGCTCCTCCGCCTCGCTGATCTGCCGACACGTGGCGGCCTCCGCGCGCAAGTGCACGCGCTCCTTGGCAGCGACTTTGGCGATCGCCTGGAAGCCCGAAAAAAAACAACTAATATTTCGACTCCAGTTTTCCGCGTCTTCTTTTACTACGTTGGTAACCCGCCTATGAAAGGTAATCGTGCAGCCGCAAAACACATCGCTGGCGCCGGTTCAGAGCACCCCGCGTTTATAAGTAACGTTTGGAGGTCGGGGTTCTGTCGTCCATATTTTCTAGGCGGTTCTTGACTTTTGCTGTTTATGAATAAAGGTGAACCGAGACGGCCGCAATATCCACGTAAAGGGAGAGACGTATTGCGTCCATTCTGGCCTGTGTCCTGCTTTGTTTGATTTAGAGAGCTTTTGAGAGTAGCCGGATCTTCTACTGCTTAGAAGGTTTTCATTGTCACCTTCAAAGTAGCGTTATGTTTTTTCAGTCACATCCTTATAAACCCGCTTACGAAGCGACCCACGAGAGGGGATGCGGACTACCAGAGACGCTGATGTTCAAAAGCCGGAAGCCCTGTGCTTTTGCGGACCTAGCAGAAGGACGGTTTATGAGTAGAAAAACACTGCAGCACCGAACTCGCAATCTGAGAGAGGTACTCCAACCACCGCGCGCGCACCTGCGCGTGCCGGGCGACCCGCTCCCTCATCTCCCCTCTCAGCCGCGTCGCCTCCAGGCGGCTCTCCTCGGCCCTCATCCTCTTGCGCTCTTCCTCCTCCGCCCAAGCGCGCGCGGCGCGCGCGAGCAGCTGGGCTTCCGTTTCCGCGCTCACAATGGGGCGCGCGAAGAGGCCCGTTTGAGTGGTGCGTAAGAGGCCCGTGAGCGCGTGCGCGCTCGCGCGCAGGGAGGCGGAGGTCACGGCGCGCACTTCCGCACGCCAGAGCCGTTCCCTGTAAAACCATAGAGAATCTATCGTTTGTCATCAAGCGTGACAAGTCTTTATTCTTAGCCCGCTTCTGTCGTTGAGTACGTCTCTCGAGAAAGTGGTGTATGCATGTGAGTTGCGGCGAAATGAGCTCTACATCAGAAGTACCTTGGTCGGAAAATGTTCTTCCTTCCAGGGGATTTGTAGAACAGCACCTGTCTCGAGGTGAACACGATGATCCAGCGCAGGGCACTCTTGATTCTGTGCGGAAAACCTTTTATTCAGAAGAAGACCTTTAAAAGCAAGAGTGACACCCACCTCTCCCACCGCGTCTTCAGCGTCCGTAACGCGTTCGCGCGCTGTGCGTTTTCGTCCGCAATCGTGTCCCTTGTGATCGCTGGCGCGTCAGTCAGGGTCTGCTGTCCGAATAGTCTCAGCCTTCGGGTGTCGGGATCCGGTTTGCCGCTGCGCCCCGGTTCTTGTAACAACTGCGACAATAGCAAGGAGCGTTTGGCTTCAATCCAGAATCGGTGAATATACTGTTAGGAGTAGATTAGGGTGCTCGGAGCCTGCCTGAGCCCTCGTCAAATGCTTTGGGTTTACGGCAAATCATGACGACAACGGGTGAACGGCTGCTTCCACTGACATGCCGCTACTGGGTGACCATGCGGTATCGATGTAGTCGTATGTTTTGCAAACGGGTTCAAGACGTCCTTGTAGCACTTGATACCCCTCTATTAATGACTCTTTTGCTTCTTCAACGCTCGAAGCCTCTTTACGTGAGTAGACCTTTGAGAACCTCAGGGTGCTGTTCCCAAAAAATGACGCTTGGGGTCGCTTTGACTTTCACCCGTTTCGACTGTGCTTTATCATTTATACGGCAATTCGGAAATCTGGTGCAAATCCTCCCTCGATTGGAGGACGTGAGCGAATAAAAAGTGGAATCGACGGAAAGACACTGTTGATGCAGCTGTCAGGATCTTTCCACTAATCATCGTTAAACCCACCAGTTCCCGCAGCCTCGTGTATCAGTGCTCCCCTTTGTCCTGAAAAAGCGTGGAATAACACGTACTGTTGGATAACCCACCTCTTCGATGCGCCCCATTGCCAAGTCCAGCCAATTCAGTCCTTTCCCGTGGACCCACAAGTCTTTGCGGACCAGCCCATAGACCGCGGCCCACTCGCGCGCGCGCAGGGTATCCACGGACATGCTCAGTAGCGTGTCCGCAACTTCCTCGACCGTCCGGTGTTCCGTTCCGCCCGCTTCCGCTCTGTTCAGCTCCGTTCCGTCCGCTTCCGTTCCGTACGGTTTCCAGGGCGAGGCTTCGTCGAAAAAGCCTTCACTTTCGGCGGAGGATTTGGCGGCGGTGGGGATGGGCGAGTGGGCAGCATAGGCGGGGCTCGGGTCATGGAAAGGCGCCGTCTGCTTATTGGGCGGAGCGGCGGAAACGAGCCGCACGCCGCACCCTTCCTGTGAGGACACGTGTTAAGGACCTCATTATCGTCAGTCGTTCTGTGGAGCAGTACGTCTGCGTCTGCTAGTCATAAACAAGTGCGAATTCTTTCGATAAAGATGCGTGAGAAGCAGCTTCCAAGGAACGCTCAGCTAAAGAGGCTTTACGAATTTAGAACAAGGCGGAGTTGCACCGAAGGGCTCGCAAGCAAAAGACGCCCCTGACGGGCGGCAATATGGAATCCTTTTACCTTGAGATTGTACGTGAGCGCATAAAGCAGAACCGCCCGCCTCTGCGCCTCTTCCTTACTGTCGAAGCGCAACAGCTTCACGATCCGCCTCCCTTTTTCGACGTCGAAAGGCGACGCTCCAGCGCTTCGCCCGGTTCTCGGCTCTCCGAGTATTCGTTTCTCCTTATCTATAGGTGAACCGGCGGCCGTCGCTTTTCTTTTTGGTGGCGTTCCCTTAGTCGACGCCCCAGTCATAGGCCGCCAGAAAATTTCAATAAGCGTTCCCCTCTCGTCAGCTGTAGGCAAATCGGCCCCAGTGTTGGTTCTCTTTGGTGGAGTTTCGACAGCCGTCGCCCCGGTCATAGGCCGCCGCACGCTCCCAATAAGCGCTGACGTGGACTCTCGGAGTGGCAACACATTATCATACAGCTGCCCGTTTTCGTACAGCACGTGGCTCCTCGGGATGACGTCACCATTCTCCTGCACGACTTCGGGGCGTTCCGCCGGAAAAGACGCATTGGTTCCGGTCGTCGGGCGGAAGCCCCACTCCTCGGGCCGCGCCGAGAAGCGCGGGCGGGTGGAAACGTCGAAAGCGTGGGGGCTCCCGGGGGATCCCTCCGGCAGTTTTCCGGGGGATCCCTCTGGGGGCCCTGTAGCGGTACTGACTTTGCTCTGACCCAGCACGGAAGCGAGCCCCTCTTGTTTCACCCCTTCTGTTAACAGGGCCTCTAATGGTTTTGATTCAGCCTCAGACGGATCAATCTCGCGGGTTGGAAAGTTGACCCCTAGCCACCGCGGGAAAGGCGCCTTTCGGAAGGGCAGGGTGAAGTGGTGTAAATGCAATCGGGCGCCGGCCGCGAAGGTGAAGCGGATCTTCTGCTCAGGCAGGACGGGGCGTATTCTCATCTCTGAGTGCCTGCATGTGGGTAGGCCATTGCCGTATAAGAAGCGACATCTGACTCTGGATGAGTCGTGAAATTGATGCTATCCAGGGACTCGTCTTAAGAAACAAAGACAACGCGTTAAATTGAACATATTTTTCTGAATGATTCAAAGGGCGCGGTAAGTTGGCGATGGAACTTAAGATTCTTAACTCGCTTTTGAAGTTGTGTCGGCCCTGAAAGAGGTAAGGTCATTATTACTACTTCGATCCAACATCTGTGCGAGTCAGAAATACGGCTAACGAACGGCGCGAAACGACACACGAAGCAGACCGTCCCAATATCCTCTGTGAAAGCAGCTCCTCCACGATCCGTCTCGCGCTACCGCAATTAGAGCAAACAACGCACGCGCATCTGCCATCCACCAATATGCTCCGCTTTCATGTAATGAAGGCCACTTCCCAAAAAGCAATCGTTATTCTACATTGTTAAATCATTTAAAAAGAAGGCCGTTTCACATTTTATACAACCATCATTTTAAAGCTGAAGCCATTCAGAAGAAGACAACAAACATCCACCTGAGCATGCGCGCGTGCTCCGCGAGGCTCATCGCCAGCGTCTCGTGCGCGGCCTGCGCGGCGACCTCGCGCAGCTGGCGCAGCAGCGCGCAACGCGCGCGCAGCAGAAACGCGCGCCAGTAGCGCTGCACGCACACCGCCGCGCGGCGCTCCAGAACTTGCCGGTGGAGGCTGACCGGGAGGCGCGCGCGGCCGCGGACGGCGCGCCAGGCGGCCTGCGCGGCGACGTCCGATGAAGAGGTGGGTTTGGGTTTGAGTTTAGTGCTAAAGAGCTGGGTGATGAGCATGCCTAAAGAAGTCCAAACTTTGCGGCTGGCTTCAGAGTTCCGCTCCTTCCATTATATCGAAGTGAATCAGTATTTTGCTCTATCGGTGCGCCTACATGTCCTTTTTCGTTGGGCAATGTCCCGCCAGCCATGCGGAAACAGCCGTAACGCGCCGGGGAGTAGAGCTCGTAGTCAATCATCCGTAGAGCGGCAGATCCGTTTTGCGAGCGAGATTCTGGGGTTTTAGCAATTTCAGACTTGGGCGGTACGTCCTATGAGGATGGATTTCGATCAGAAACAACGAAATTGTACAAAGTCAGATCGGCATCAAGAGACAAATAAGTAGCCCGCCTCACCTGAATGGAACACGCCGCAGCAACCGTTCTCACAGTCTCCTCGCAGAAGGCCGTTAATGGGCATTCGCAGTACCGCTCGGCGCAGGGTATTCGGACGCCGGACGGAAGAAGAGCCGCCTTCTCGACCGTCCGATCTTCGTGGTTGAACAGCGTGATGAGGTCACTGAAGGCGGCCAGTGCGGCTTGGCTGGGGAGAGTTATCCGCACAAGAGATGCGTCTGCAAAGAGCCAGGAGAGCGGATTCGGATGGAGAAACGGAACGCAAAGATGGTCGAAAGTCTGATGTCGCCGCAAAAGTGCTCAGGGGATGGTCGGGCTGTGCGATACATAAAAACAGTGGAAGAAAATTCGGGCAAGGATTCGCGTCAGCTAGAGCCGCTTATTTGGGTAGAGGATCTCGCACAAGGTGTGTGGCTGCACAGAGCCGAGAGAGCGGAATTGGGGACATAACCGCGACGGAAATCTGGGTTCCGGAATCGTTTGATCAGAGGGACGCCGGACTGTGCACAGGGAAATGGTCGACCTCTGCGGCTTTGAAGCATTGAAAAGCCCAGTCCTGACCACTAGCCACGCACTTTCATCATTCCCCTGAAGCTGGTAGGAGTTTTGTTTTCTTCGCCGGATGCTTACTCATCCCCACTGATGTGCCGAGAAAGTGCTCCATACATCGGGGAATTGACCTGACTGATGATCAGGAAATGAAACGACATTCCACAGCCGTTCGTTTCGCAATCACCCCTTGCTTTGAGAATACACCTCGCAAAGTCCTTCAAGAACGTCGCCGAGAAATGTCGTGAGTGAATGACAACCAAGAAGGCAGCCAAGATTCGCTGTAGCTTTGTAGATGGGTGCACCTCTCTCTTTCCGCTCTCTCCCGGCCAGCCTTCGTAGTTCCGCCCGTTCGTATGGTAGCAGGCAGCAGCCGCGGCGCCGGAGCAGGCGTATGTCGACGGAATGAGCGGTTTGCACCTGCAGAGAACGTGCACGAAGGTCTTAAACGCGTACGGGATTTTAGAACACTTTTTCCGAAAGGCAAAGTATCAGTTCACCGTTGACTCGAAGAGCGCTTGTTACATAAGGCAGTCTTCAAGGCCACCATTTGATCGCAAAGCGAGATATCGAATCAAATACCTGGGTGGACTCGAAGCGCGGTCCACGTATGAGCAACCAGTGTCCGTGCGCGTGTCACAGTGACATCGCATGCTTCGCCGTTACTAGACGATCTTGTCCTGTCACGAACACAGGTTCACATTCTGCTTGGATGGTCGTCACAATCTACAGAGATTTTCTTGGAAGGTGTTGGTTATCATAAATATCTCTGGTTTTGCGACCATTCGTGGGTTTGGGCTCCAAGAGGGAACTTTGTAGCTGGTGGCTTTCATTCTACGTTGGAAAGCCAGCTTGTAACTCGAAGGAAGAGGCCGTGCTTTGCCGCACCTGGGGTGCAAATCGAAGGAACGCCTTTGCTTGTCCGATTGGCGATGTGCGGAGAACCAGCCCGGGCGCAGCGGAAGACTCGCTGAAGCCGCTCAGCGCATCGCCGTTCAGGTCTCTGCAAAGTGTGGAATCAATCACGAACTTGGTTACAGAACTACTTCGAATCGAATGTTGCAGCTGTTGCTGCTTTACTGGGGGGACTCTCATTCACGAAACGATAATCCTTCAGACGTTTGGCATACAGATGAGTACGAGTATTCGAAGGATCCAGTAAGTTGGAACAGCTAGGAAAGCTCGAAACAGCATAGATTGCACCCCACCAGGGTTAGCAAACGCGGCCAGAGCTCGTTTCATGCATTAAAGAGGGTATATGCATCCACGGAAAGTGATAGAGAAGATTGATTGGTATCTCAGCTCACATCCAGTCTGCAGGGAGCCGGTACAGCTTCAGCCGCGTCGACTCAAACGTACACTCCTTAGAAGTCTCCCCCACTTCGTTGCATGCTTCCTGCAAGATCTGCTGCGCAACAGCAACCTGACCAGCTGCCACGTAGACTCTCCGGTTAGGCACTCTGGTTTCCGCATTGCTTGCACGCCGTTCTCTTGAGCCGGGATTGCTGATTTCTCGAATTTCTGGAGCGTCAAACTCGAGCTTCTCTACCAAGAGACGGGCCATGCTTCACCCAGCAGTCCTGCAATCCTTAATGAATGGCTGAAAGGGATTGCATTATCCTTTGCCAAAGGACCGGATACCACAGGAGCACTGAGCTCCTAAGGTCCATAGATGAAACAAGCGTCAATCGTTAGTGTGTACTCAACGGAATGTAAACGGAGCAGAATCTTAGGGAAGCTTTTGCAGCATTGCGTTTTAAAGGTCGGTGAATGAGCATGCAATCCTGTGGTGAATGGAGCGTCCTTGTGCCCAGCACGCATTCATCAAGGACCAAGCCACTGATTCTCGCTTCAATGCTGAGAATCAGGTCACCGCATTCCCTCCTTTTGCAAGCCTGTGTCACAGTGCATGGGCAAGGGCCGCTCTGCTTCCATCAGACTATGCAGTGATATATTTGTGTTGTTGTGCAGACCGTCAAAAGCTACCGTCACTGCCGAATCCCCGGTCCCTTTGCGAGCTACTTCACTGCAACCATCGCGGGCAACTTTGGCCCGGCCGGCCGAACTTGGCCCGCCGTTCTAAGGGATCTACCGCGCGCGCAGAAGAAGAACACGACATCTGAATCGTCCGTGGGACATCGGACGGGCAGGATCGAAAGCGGGCGAGTGGCGGCCGCGCGCCGCGACGATGCGGCCGCCCGGGCGTGGGCCTTTTATCCCGACAACAAAAGTGCAAGATTGACAAAAACTGTGAACTTCAAAAGAAGAAGATATGTATCTGCCTCGGAAAAACTATAATCTACTTTTACTCAGCGAACAAGACGCAAGGACAATGTATTACGACAGGCTGCAGGAATCTGCATTGTTGGCGTCCAAGAGTAGTATCAAAAGAATGCAAAAGTCTGGGATGCGGCTGGCAGCATTGCAATGCTGTCTCGTGTGAGGACATTGAAAATTGTGGCATCCTGCAAATTTCTGCAGCTTTTCTGAGCAATTGCAACATTGCTAGTAACAAGCAACACAGCTTAAAAAGGTGGACAATGTGGCCCGTTTGATCGGAGGCAGCCAACCTATGGAAGAGCCAGACCATCAATCACAACTGTGGCCAGGTCAAAGGACTGAAAGAACTTAAACAAAGTAGGCCGTTAGCTTGAAGTACACAGCTTTGCAGGGAAAATGAAGGGCCAGAAATCAAGCACGACTTTGTCAGCATCCGAGATGGTCACGAATGCCGCCACAGCTTTAAATGCTGGGGAGCTTCTCAGTCTGTGTGAGAAGCTAGTTGCCAGCTATAACTCGGCAAAAATAAACCCAGATATCCATGCCGATGAATGCATAGCAGAGTGGAAAGTCACAGACGAAGACGACAAGGTGTTTCTGAAGCAGGTGAGGTTGCGTGCATGCAAACGCTTCTTTTCTTGAGCAAATCGATGCGTACAGTAGCAGTCAAGAAGGAATATTTGATTGTGCTCGAAGAGGGCAGCTTTTGAAGCATGGCAGCTGAAGGATCGGCCTTCAAGTTCCTGTAAGCTGGGTACTCAGGAGGGGTTTGCCTTGGAGAGAAAAGCAGGAAGGTGTGTGCTGTTCAAACCACTTATAGCAGGGAAACCAAAGGGCAGTCAACAAAACGAACCATGGCGCTCTGTAGAATTCATTGAAACTTTCCTAACGAGGCTCTTTCTGCGTATCCAGCGGCAAACATATTGGGCGGGTAGTCGCAAATGACATGGTGTGAAGCATGTATGCACATGCATATGAAAACTTTCTTTTCACAAATACTGCAAGACACTGCACCTCTTTCTGGCTCAGCTGACTAACCTGGTCTTCATCACATTGCAGGTTACAGAACACTTGCAACATGAAACAAAGTCCCATCAGTTCTGACAACCTGTGCCCTCAAACCCCGGTTCCAACCGCTGGAAAGCTCAAGTGTGTTTTAGAATGTGACAAACTCATGAAATTTGTCGACTGATAAAAACAGATCTACAGAAGCAGGTTTAACCATCAGCTTTTGATGGTGATCCAGGTTTTGTATGGCTGCTGTCGCTACAAGAAGCTGATCAAGGCTCTTGTGACCAGCCTGTACCACAACAACTCTGGCTGCACCCTACGCTCCGACGTCCACTTGTACAGCGTGTTTGTGTACCTCATTCTGATCCGACTGGAGGAGCTGACCTTTGAGCAATTCAGGTGAGAGGCAAACTTTCTAGTCAAAGAGTGGAAGTTGGTTGATATCAGTCAAAACCCACAGGCTTAGTGCAGTTTCAAATGGAGTTCGAAATCTACAGTGGCGCAAGCCAACTTTTACTTGCAATGTCTCCTGATTAGTGTGGTTATTTTATCAGACCCTTGCATGGTCTGACTACCTTCTTACAAGTAGAAACCCCACATCCTGATAGGCGACCAGTCCCAAACTACGTTCGAATGACAACAATCACTTTGTTCACTCCTTGCTCTCTCAGCGAACGCCGCGGCTTATATTGCATTTGGCCAACTTGCCATGAGCAATATCCGTAGAGCTGAAGTCTTCAGTGTCCCAGTCACCAGGGGAACACTTCGTGCAAATTACCTCCAATCCGGCTAATGTTGACCATCTGCCTAACCTCGTTTTTGGCAGGCGGCTCTGCCTCACCCAGGAGCCCCAGAAGATCCTGGTTCTGGTCAACTATGTCTTTAACCGCGAGAACCTGGAGCAGTGGTGCAAGGACGAGTGGCTCAAAATCTACGACACCACCTTTGTGACCGCACTCATTGACAGCGTCCTGCAATGGCAACCCCACGTTGCAGAGATGGTGAAGAGGTGAGGGGGACGATGGGTGCCGTTACTATGAACCCCTTTCTATCCGTTCGTGAAACGTGAGTGTTAGAGACTTCTTGACATCTGAATGACTTTGCGAGGATCGGGCCTCGTGTCTCAAGCGCCTGGTTTCAAAGACGATCCAGTTTGTTGCGTTTGCTGTTGAGCCAAAATCTGTCAAGCTGACCCGCTCAATCCATGTTTTTGAAGTTAAGAAACCTTGGGCCGTCCGATGCTTGCAAATGGGTCAACTATCGGCCAAATTTCTGTACACGGCTGAAAAAGACGTTTTGGTGACTCCCAGTCTGACAACTCAAAGAAAAGCGCATCCAATGAGTCTGAGCAACGTGGCGGTCTTTGCAGGCTCGAGGAGAAAGTGTTTATGAAACGGAGGGCGGAGGAGCAGGAGGCGGACACGGGGGCGCGCGGCGCATCCTCGAAATTTACGGCGACGGTCGTGCAGCCGTTTAACCTGTCAATGAGCAAACGGAAGCCGGTCTACATCGACGAAGAGCCGGTGAGCCATGCTTAGTCTAGATGTTAAGAATCGTGTCTTAAGAACATAGGATATGCTGTCAGATTTGATTCTGGTTGTGAGGGCGACCGATGCTTTCACTTGGCAATCATATCGTTTCAAGGGCCGATGAAGATGTGTTTTGCGGACTTACACATCGCTTACAAGAAAAGCAATTTTGCGTCTCGTAAAGGACAGCTCGCTTCGATGCTTTAGAAGGACGGCAGAACTGTCGACCTGGCCAGTCTCTTCAGATACAACGAAAACAGCAACGAAGTTTGCACGCCGTTGATTCTTCCTAAGCTGACCCTACAAAGCTAGCTCTTCTTAAGCAACCGCGAGAGCCATTCCGTAACTAGCAGCGCGGTCTTTTGCAGGTGGTAACGCTCAAAGCCCGCCCGCCGCCCCCCCACCTCGACGGCCCCACGCCCACGGAGCTCGCGCTCGAGAAAGCGCGCGAGCAGAACCGCGCGCGCGCCGCCGAGAAGTACGCCGACGCGAGGCCATTCCGGCTGCGCGTGCTGGAGCGCCCGAGCAACCTGGAGAAGGTGAAACTTGAGGTGGAGGAAACGCGCGCGGAGGCGCACGCCTTCCGGCCGGTCAAGGCGCGCCCGGTGCCGGCTGCGTCGGAAGCCAAGGTGAGCACGTCTTTTCGCGAACTCACCCGTCGATGTAAGATTTTGCGGGGAGTTTCTGGGCACACTATGGAGAAATGCCAGCACGCGACGGACGGTAGCAATGGGGAGACGACCATCGAAAGTCAAGCGCCAACAGAAGTCTAGGGGATGCGACAAAACGGGCCTCACGTTTCAATATCCGCTGGTGCGAAGCGGCGTTGGCGAGCAAGAACGAGAGCGCTGTTCCGTTCAAAGCAAAGTGAGAATCATTTCCTAAGCATCCAATCGGCTTTGTTGTTTTCAGTAAAAGTTTTGGTCATTCGTTGTGCCATCACAGCTGCCGACATCCTGTAGGTGCCTAACAGTGAAGATTGTGCTTATAAGGCGAGGAGAGCCGAAAGCACACCAGCTTTTGGTGGCACTCCCAACGGCTTGCCTAAACATGAGCTAAGTTTGCTTCCCCACCACTTGGGTAGGCCACTGTAGAAACGAAACGCTCAAAGGCTAAACCCCTTAAAACCCGCGCAGGTCAAGTATAACGCGGCCGCGATCCTGCGCGAGGACGCGCTCCTTCGGAAGAAGCAGGAAGAGGCCGCGAAGGCGCTCCAGCAGTACGAGTCGGAACTGCGGGACGCGTCGGAGTATCTGGCATGGCGAGAAGAGATGAGCAAAGCGGAGGAGGCGGAGCGCGCGGCGGAGATTGAACGGCGAAGGATCGAGACCGCGGCGGGGGCGGAAATGGTGAAGCAGGCGGTTGCAGCCAAGGTGGGCTTCTTGGATGATTCTCTGGAACAGTCATAATTCATAAGGAATGAACTACACTAAAAGCCTAAACACGAACATCTATCTGCTCCGCACCCGTGCCCCGCTAAACCCCCGCATCCGTCCCAGACAGGATAACCCATTATCGTTTAAGCTTATGCTAAATGATCTGAAGAGCGATGACAAATGGAGCTTTTGGGGGGCAAGGAGGTACTAGAATCCTGGTCGCAAAGTACTTCGAAATCGAAGTCGTACGTAGCTTGGTAATGTGATGGTGTTCGAATCAAGGGGTGTCCCCTGTTATGTCGCAACTGTGCTGTTGTGACGGAAGAAGAAGAGTTTCGTGCTCTCATTGGGAAAGGCTTGTGGCATGGCACGTTTCATGTACCTGGTTTCAAGGATAAGTTGACTGCGATATGAGAGTATCGCGGAAGAGTGTCATCAGAAACTTGCTGTGCTGCAGCCAGAATCGAGCTTGATTAAAGATAATTCGCCCGAGAGTTGTCTTTCCTCGCACGGAGGCTCAAAGGTCTTGCGCTGCCTAACGCTTTAGCGTAGGCCTTCCAACAATGAATAGTCCACTGGTAATCTGTTCATTCCAATGACCGTTCTTATCATACTAAAATAAGCATATTGTATGCTGCAGGCTCAAGAGAACAAGCAGACGGTGGCGTCGATGCGCGCGCAGGCGGAGCTTCTGGAGCAGCAACTGGCGCAGGAGAGGGAACAGATCGAGCAGGCCAACAGGATGAAGAAGCTGGAGATCGTGGAGGATAGGCAGGCCGTCAAGGTGCGCCCATACGACCAACGTCGGTGCTATAAGCTCTTGCAGAATTCATGCGTTTTACTTTTGCGTTACATCGAACGGCCGGATGGCCTCGTTCCGATTTGCTTTCCTGTGTAACAAGGGGCCTTGTTGAGGGTTGCTCCCGTCATTATGAACTTTCAAGTGGTTTGGAAAAGGACCAGTATCATGGTGACGGTTGACGTTAATGACAGGCGCTCAGCTTATCAGAGAGCCACTCTAGTCTGGAGTAACTCAAAACTCGGACTTACATAATCTGCCCTATCCGACTGTACTGACCAGCTTTATGCATAGCAGAGCAGCGTCATTCTATGCACTGACCCGCTGAATCCTACTTTGAGGGGACAAGACGTGCGTCTGTAGGAGAATCTAAGATCAAATTGAGACGTGGATTTACAATCTTCTGCCACGTGTCAGGCTGCTGTGGAGAAGGTGGCGGCCGAGAAGCGGCGCCAGGCGGAGGAGGTGGAGCGCGAGAGCGCGGCGCGCGCGCGGCGGCTCGCGGAGGAGAAAGCCATCGAACAGAAGCGGAAGGAGGACCTCATACGGCAACTGAGAGTAAGCAAACCATAGGGTAAAGAGCATGTTCATCTGATGACAATTGTGATTTTGTCCGCGCCCTTAACCGCACTTTTCGCCCTCGTTTGCGGCATGTTTGGCAAGGTACGACTCGCGTGTTCCCGAATCCCTGTAGTCGTGGCCCAGAAATGGCGTATAGATCCAAGATTAAGTGTCGAGCTCTAAATGCTGTGAACGATATTGCGAACGAGTCCGCGAACAATCCCTCCCTTTGAGATCCGCAACATTTGGGTAGCTGCTGACTGAATCCTGCCGTTGCTTCCATGGAGCGGGGAGGTGACACAAATCAAGGCCATCTGACAAAATGTTTTGCAAGGTCAAACGTTAACCATCTTTTCTGTGCGCGCGCGCAGGCGCTTGACGCCGTCCAGAGGACCCGGTCCAAGGAGCCGTTCGACCCGTTCACGAGCGGGAACCACGGCCTCTTAGAAGAGATGTCGCTCGCGGAGCTGAAGGAGCGGGTTGGAAGAATGCGCGAGCAGGAGCGCGCGTGGGAGGAGGAGCAGCGCGCGCGGATCGCCGCGCAGAAGCAGGAAAAAGAAAGCGCGCTCCTGAGCAAGGCGGAGACGATCAGTAAAGCGCGCGAGCGCGCGGAGGCGCTGCGGAAGGCGAAGCGCGCAGCGCGCGCGGTGGAGGCGCGCGCGAAAGAGGAGGAGGGGGAGCGCGCACGGCAGGAGGGGGAGGTGAAGCTGGCGGAAAGATTGCAGGTGAGGATGGTTAACTTGTAGTGGTGGAACGAAGATGGTAAGAAAGAACCATTCCCCAGACCCCGGCTGGAATGTGTGCTTTGGTTGCGCACACAGATTGCATCCAACGTGATTTGTCGCTGCTCGCTTGAATTCATCTTTCCAATAAGGTGAAAGACCCGATTGACATAATCGCAGACATAGTGAGTATCACACAACATGTAAAGGCCTCGCTGTTCAACCGCCTACATCCTTTCAATAAGCTTGCGAAGCCTGTCCTCCGGAGGCTGCATTTCCCAAGAGTGGCCGCACTGAGAATCTTAAGACGCCCCAACAACCTTGCTTGGAGAGAGCGGCTTGAAACGCCTCCTCTTTCCGTAGAAAAACGTCACGATTGATTGCTACTTGACAGTAATTGCTTCATTCAGCAAGTCCTCTATCCTGAGGTGTCCGGCTTTTCTCGTCGACTCAGGCCAAGCGGCGCGCGCGCGAGGAGGAGCTCGCGCGCTTAGAGGCCGAGGAGCGCGCGATCGCGTTCGAGCAGCAGCGGCTCGCGGCCGAGAAGGCGCGCCTGGACGCGCTGCGCGCCGCGGAGCTCGGCAAGGGCGCGGAGCGCGCCGCGCGCGCGGAGGAGGAGAGGCAGCGGAAGGCGGCGGAAACGGAAGCGGAGACGAAGGCGAAGCAGGAGCGGCTGCGAAAGCAGCTGCAGCGCGCGGAACGGACGGAACGGAAGCGGACGATTAAGCACTACGACGCCAAGGTGACTGGGGACCTTGGTTTCCAGACCGTCCGATTGGTTTTGGACGCCATCAATCCTCCTGGAGATACGTAACGTAGCTTGAACGGGGCTTGACGATTCGATTCCCGATCCGTGCATATCGAGCGAATCAGAGACAACAAAGTGAGGTCCGAAGCTTGTTCTGTGCAGGACAAGCCGACCGAAACTCAAGGACTGCGGAGAAGAGGGTGGAGCGCGCAAAGAAAACCTGCTTGCTTGACAGAGCGCCTGACGGCTTCGAATCCGTTTTCCTGCAGGTCGAGCGCATCAAGGCAGAAAATGTGCAGGAGAAGACGGAAGAGCTCGCAAAGAAAAAGACGCTGGTTTTGACGGAACGCCAACGGATGGAGCACGCACGACAGGCCCTCACGGAGCGGGACCCGTATAAAGCTAGCTTGACCCTCCCTCTGAGGGAGAGGCCAAAGAGCCCCCCAACCTCGAAAATGCGGTGATAACTCGAACACAAGATCTTTGGTCACTCGGAAGTCATAGAGAGGAATACATTGCAATAAAATAACAAGGTATGAAGGTAAAGACCGTGTCATCTGAGTGTCAATCTTTGGCGGATCTGAATTTCACCATTTGGCCAGTCAATTAAAACGGCTTGATGGCGCCGACGCTCGTTATCCGGGCATGCCAGCATGTGACACAGCCGTAAGGATCTTAGAAAATACAAAATCAATTACCTATACAATGACTACTTCTTATACGTAGTAGGCAGTCGGGCGAACACACATAATCATGATGTACTCGACTAGTCTCTGTTCATCCACTCACAACCGCGAAGACTCGGGTCGAAATATGAGGTCTTTAAAAGCCAGAACGAGGCTTCATATCTGAAGGGCCACTCTCGTGGAAGTCTGGTAGATTGACGAGCCCGAGCGCACACGGCCTTGCAAGCACCGCGAGTGCGCAGTTTGCACGTTGATGGTTCTGAACGTTGTACAATGATCAAGATTCTGCGTCAATGCTGACGACGCCATACACCGTGACGGATGAACGGGCGAGGAATATAGGAGCAGCATAGTAGTATAATACTCAAGTACAGCCAGAGATCCCATGTTGCCTAATGCAACCAAAAGGAGGGTCTATCAAATGGAGGGTAGCACTTAGTGCTCGCGACCCGCCGATGATCAGTTCTGAGCCTCGATTCGTCTAGCTGGGCATACGGTATCCAAGGGGTCAAGCTGGCCTGCAATCTGGATGATCAGCCTCAATCACGAAGGAAATTGACATACGATATGCTGCCAAGCACAGAGTAGCAGTGATGGTATAACCTACACGTGGCACGGTACCACCCATGTGAATATTTGGTGACCGGTACCGGGTACTGCCCACGTACCGGGCCCGGGCCCCGAAGGCAGTGGCCCAATACGTAGGAGTGTCTGCCCGGTAGATTTTCTGGTAATGCGTACCGGGGGACCGAAGTCATTCGACCGGTCCCCAGTACCAGGAAATAGTAAGTACACGCGCGCGCCTGTTTTGAGTTCGACAGTTGACACAGCGGACTGATCGACCGAGCATCATGCAGTCGTTGAATTGACCTACGGTGTTAGATACCTATATGTGATTACTAATTAAGTATACCGGGCAGTCCAGCAAGCAGTCACTTGCAAATCAGCCTGAGGTAAGGTTCCCTACGCGTTTAGGAGATACCCCGATGGTGTGATTTGACTCTGTAGTTCGCTAGGTCGGATCATCACTTATATCCTGCATTGTTCATGTGTAGAGTTCGGTTCGAGCGCAAGGATGCGGCACAGGGGGCGGTGCCTAAGATGGTCTAGTGTCGTTACATTGAGCATCTTTGATGCTGCCACCCAAAAAGTGGGGCATTCGAAAGATACTGGAAGGGGGGCCGAACGATGGCCAAGTCAAAGAGCATTACTTTAAGAGGCAGCAACGATCGCTGATGGAAAATCATGAATAGTTAGATTGCATCCACCTGAAGTCACGGACCCCGGTGCTATGTAAGGCGGCAACACAAAGCGGCCAGGAATATGCGGGCATTGAGGGAGAGAGCATAAGCAATATAAATGCTAGGGAATTGCACTTTAAGGAAAAGACACAGACACGATCAGCCTTCTGGCACTGAAACGTTCTACCGCAAGGAGGGGCTAGCACTCTGGTTGACAGCATTGCACAGACGACTGCACCAAATGCAGAGCCCAATCGCAGGTCATGTTGCAAGGTAGGCAGCGGGCAATTGATTGCCTGCCTTATGTGATGAGCAAAGCGAATTAGAATTCGGGGCCACCTTCTATTGGGTTGGCATGCACACAGTGCCCGTGCGTCTTCTTTACCACTTATTGAGCGGCATTGCATTAAGCAACTCAGCGGTGAACTGCTCTGCCTAATTACTTGTTAGGACAGCTTGTGTTTTGACCTGTGAGCTCTATCGATGGTAACCTGGAACCCTTCGACAACTGAAGTGCTAGCTTGAAAGCTTGCCGCTCTCGAAGGTGCGCCTTAGCCCTCAGTCTTCAGCCGATCAGCAACTTTACAGCCTCAAGGAGTTGGACGCTGCGGTCTTCAATCCAGTGTTGTTAGGAGAACGGCTAAGCTTAACTTACACAGTTGGGAGGTTTTCTGAGCCGGATGTTGTTCTTCCAGAAGATTTTACCATTCACGTCCCCTTGGGGCTTCTGTTAAGATTGAAAGTGCAGAAGCTGTGATCCTACTGTACTGATGAGTTACTCTAGAAAAGGACTACTCTATTTTCTTATCCGTCCAATCTGCCTTTTTACCCCCACACGTGCCCCTTGTGCCGCAGGCACACCCTGGTCAACCAGGTAATAAGCTCTATTACAATCATGTTGAGCTGGCGGCCATACCTCCCCGCACCGCTCATTCCCCCACGCGCAATCTGCCTCCGGTAACAAGCACCAAACATGGCTTCAGCTGCTCCCCACCAGCTGGTCTGCGTGAGCCCCGAGTGGGGTTCGCGGACTGAACCCCCCGACAGTTTGCACGGCAGCCCGAATGCTGCGGCGAGCGCGCTCAAACGGCCGGTGGCGGGGTTGTGGAACGGGCTAGAACCGGGACCCATTTTACAGGGTCCGATTAGCTGGCCGCACTGTTTAGTCCAGTCATCGAGGAATGATAAGCGGAAGAGCCGATCGGCCGGCAGCTCGCGGCGGCCGACAGACGCGGAGTCGGGACACGGGTGTGGGTGCGACGCGCATGAGGCTTTGTGTCAGGTGAATTCGTCTCGAGTCTATGACTAACTGTCGACTGTATGCCTAAGTGTCGATTCTACAGATAAGTCTCGATCCTGTTTTTAGTAAGCTGCATGAGAAATAGGGTCGTTCTTCCAGGCGAATACGAAGTGGAGACCACAAGCCAGGTGTTCACGCGCTCCGCACCCAACCCAGCCTTTACCCCCATGTAAACCCACCCGTCCCCCGGCGGGCTTCCTCTCTTCTTTAAAAAAGATGGATAACATCAATAAACACAAATAAGGAAAACTCGCATAAAATAAACACATATAGCTTGCTCACAGAATCAAAATCTGTGTCAGGTGAAGGAGGAGCGGCCGTCGAGCCCGGCGCTCTTTCGGAGGTCCAAGAGCGACGGGAAGCAGCACCACGCGGCATCCGAGCGGCACACAATCGGATGTCCGGACGATGTACACCGTCCGTTGCCGCGGCAAGAGGAGTCGTTTCAACAGATGTTCCGGACGGAATGGGGGCCACACACGGGGAGGGGGGTCAATTCAGAGGGGCCGGCGGGGGGGGGTCCGAGAGAGGAGGGAACTAGGGGGGGAGCAAGGTGGGATGCGCATGGTGCGAAAGCGGTGTATCAGCGGCTGTACACGCACGCGCGAAATAGGGAGACGCGTCGGAAGGAACGGGAGGAGCAGAAAGAGAAGCAAGAGGTGAGCTGGGTTTGTTGTGAGCTAGAAGCATAAGCGGCGCAAGTTTGGCATCGGCCTTGGAACGCCGCTGCTTGATGGTGAAGAAGAACCAATAGGGGGGATTTCGCCTGGTTAAGGTGCCAGGGAAAGAAACTCGTTCGTTCAGAGTCCTTGGTCAAGGGGTTGCCAAAGCAGATGGTTGGTCGTATGCTCCATCGAGCTTACTCAACACGCAAGCTCAAGTACCAGTAATGTAGGCGGTTTGCCCGCCCAGCTGATTCGACACTCTTAGATGCTTTTTGCGGGCGCCCCCCTCCTCTCGTTCACTCTCAACGTGGTTAAGCATAAGATGAGGATAATTTGCTCAAACCCAGAGGTTTCACTGGCTCGAATCCAAACCCGCCCCAAACCCCATATTTATCCCATCCGTCCCAACCTAACGACCTGACCTTTCGTTGTTTTCAGTTAGATTCCCTCTGCAAGAGTCTTTCGTCTTTCTTTCCAGATGTAAGATTCGATGGAGTGGCCCAGGCTCTACCCTCATTCCGAACATATGCGTCTCAGCCTAGTTGCTCAACCTATCGCTTATCGTTGTCTCAACATCCATGCGTTCTCTCGAATGTTTCTTTCTTGGCTCCTCAGAGTGACGGGGCGGCGGCCCGTCCTGTGCCCCGATATGAAACCCATCCGTCCCAGCTTAATAGATATAATTTTGTGGCTGATAACCATTAGTCTCATCCGAGAGACGTTTCTCTTCGCGCCACCCTGATGCAAGACGTCACTGGGCGGCCAGCCCTGTTACTGCCCCCAGTCCGCAAGCACGTTTTCTAGCGTCCGAGCCATAAGCTACTGACTCGATTTCTCGCCATCCTAGATGCAAGACGTCACCGGACGGCCCACGCTGAACCCCCTGTCCGCGAGCATGCTGCGCCAAGCGCGCTCGTTCGAGGAGCGGCTGAGCGCGTACGAGGCGCGCGCGCGCCGGCGCGCGCAGGCGCTCAAGGACGAGGTCGAGGCGCGGCGGGCGGCCGAGGAGGCGGAGCACGCGCGGCCGCCGCGCATCACGAAGCTGTCGAAGAAGCTGTCGCGGGGAGTCACGCATTTGGTGAGCATTCGACCTGGCGAACACGACGTTGAATCAACTAAGCTTGACTTATGGGGGTACTGGATGAATTCTTCAATGTTCTTAAGAATCCGAGAAAAACGCATCTGCATTTTATTGCGCGAGGTTCTACGTGCGGCATCGATGCGTGGCAAAGTTTGTCCTGCTTTTTGGGGGAGCTGCATTTTCGATGTGTGTTATTTGTAGTGCGAGGCAAATGAGGAGTTTGTGCTGGATCTCGTAGGCCGTCCGGCGCTTGCGTTACAAAATGGGGAATGGTTTCTCTTGGGGCCGAGATCTTTGAAGATCTTTCTAGGAGGGCGCGCAATGGAAAAGGAGACTACCAAGATACACCCAGACCCTTAATATCAAACCCTTGCCGTGCACCACAGAGACCGGCGTTTGATTCGTGAACCGGAAGAAGGTCGTTCCTTGAAGGTTCTGAAAACAAGATTATTGTTTGGCTTAAAGGCGTCACATGCAGGTCGACGAGCGGAATGCATTCGAGTTTTGGATCTGGTTATCTCAGAGGTCAAACCGCGCGGTTTAACGATGCGTTGAAGGCACACTGATGACGCAAGCAACTTCTACCGCATTTGTGTCAAATCCGATGTGTGTGCATGCGAACGTGCGACCTCGTGTTGACCACAATCGGACTTGTCCGTCTCTGCCGATCGTTGTTTCGAAACGTCTAAACGAAGACCACCTGGATACGGCAACAGATACAGAGGAAAGTGGAATCAAAGCAGACAGGTCCCTCCTGTCAATCGGCAAGAAATGGCGGACGCCGGGCCTGTGAGCAGTTGCAAGGCAGTAAAGACCACGTTCCGGAACCCGCCTGCAGTTTTTATTTCAGGATTCCCTTATGAGAATGATTTTGTCGTCCTTGCTAGTCTCTAGCCCCTCGACGCAGGCAACAAATCTCTAGAGAAGGCAGATAAACAGACCCGCATTTCCGCCGTCGATCCAGCCTGACCGGCGTTTCTCAGCCGTAGGTGCAGTGCGAGTGAGAGAAGCTGCGGCTTGCGCGCCCCGCGCCGCGCAGAAGTCTTGGCCGTCGACTCAGCCTGACATCCTTTTTCCACCGTCGATGCAGTGCGAGTGGGAGAAGCTGCGGTTGGCGCGGCTCGCGGCCGCGCAGGAGGAGAAGCGGCGGAAGGAAGAGGAGGCGCTCACGTTCAGTCCCACGCTCAGCCGGCGGTCGCGCAAGCTGGCCGCGCGCGCATTCCGGCCGCCGCGGCTGCGGCTCATGCAGGTGAGGGTTTGGGATTGCGAGGTTTTGGGGTCCTAAGAGTTCTGAGTCACGAGTTTTTGAGATTTGAGGGTCTCGGTTCTGAGAGGTGAGGGTCCAAAGTGTGTTTGGGGTTTCAAGCGTTTGTGTTGAAAGTTATGGGGATGTTTAGTATAAGGTCTATCTTTGAATCAGCGTATTAGAGAATGATGTCCAGCAGATGTTGCAGAAAAGAAGCATTTGGTTATTGACACCCGGCAGATAGCTGAAAGCTGGACTTTCGGCAGCGGTCTGCGGCGATATTATGATTAGGTCTTTCGTTGACCGGAAGCGGCTTCAGAATATTGCGACCAAGAGCGAACCAAGAAGAGGAGCGGTACAGACTTCTCCTGGCAACGTGAACTTGTAGACACCTGTCAGCTGGTCCCCTTAAGGGAAAGGCCCGGTCCTGCGAGGCCCTCGCAAACGTTACAGAGCCTTTGTACCACAATTCTTACCTTACCGGCGGTCAGCACTTCTCCTTGCAATCTAAAGGCTTTTTGCATTCCACTAGAACATCAAACAAGTCAACTCGTATCCTTTTGCAGCTTTCAAAACCCCGGCCTCCCTCCCCGCCCCCTCCGCTTCCCTCGTTCCGGCCCGCCATCAACCCTAGTTCCGTTGCCCTGTTCCGTCACGGCTCCGTGACGGACCGGCTGCACTACCAGAGCCATGCCTGGTACCGCCGAAAGAACTCAAGCCCGCAGAAGGAGGTAAGCCTGTTATTCTATCGTCAAATTTGCAATCGCCCTCAAGAACGGTAGAGACAACGCGCGAAGATACTCAATGTGATCGAACGCGACCAATTGCGAAAGGAGCGAAGATAGCACCGTCTTTTCGGATGACAGCAAGCAAGACGAGAAGAATCCGCGAGATAGTATACGGTAATGCGTCTTCGAAATGATTCTGAAAATTTGCATTGGGAGCAGCGCATTGGCTCCGATGTATTGTGCTACTGACATGATTTCTATGCCGTCAGAATCTCACGCGCACCTGATAATGCTGCAAACATTGTCCTGGAAGCAAGTGATGGTTCGGCACGTGCGATCTGGCAAGTCGGACAATGAGAACGTCGTAGACAAGGAATTTCAGAATTGTGGGCTGCTTGCACGTATATATAAGAAGCATCGCCAACTATCCATTGTTTATTTTTCAGAAAATACCGGACTTCTAAAGCGCGTCTCTGTGTTTTCCAATATTGTTTTGTCTGGTTGAGGACTTGGTGTTCAGCTTGAAGCGTGAAAGATCTCGGTTGACCGTTGAAGTAATTTCACGAATCATCTCCAAGCAAATGTCTCAATGCAACTGTCGAAAAACAATTTGCTCCCGGCTTGAAAACTCTCTCGTGCGTCGGTGACACTTCTAGTTGCAAAAACCGCCCTTCTGACTACCTGTCAAACCGATGCTTCTAATTTACCGAGGCGCCAGAGCATCTCTCTTTCGAAGGCATCGTAAGAGGTACACGGACGATTTTCTTATCTTTCCTCTCCAGTGGCGCGAGGAGCCCCCCGCGCCGCCCTATCCAAACGCCGACTGGTTCGCAAACAACGACGAGTCGTGGGACCAGATCTTACCGATCGCTCGCGCCACGTCCGGCCCCGATGCCCGGGACTGGAGCGAGGCGACTGCGCACGGCTCCAACAAGTGGGACCAGTCGCCCGCAAGCACGCGCCTGCACGTCGACGCCTGGGCCGAGGACGCGGCCGCGCTGCGCGCGCGCGCGCCGAGGGTCGAGCGGCCGTGGACGACGCAAGGGGGACGAAGCGGGGAGCACGCTCCGGAGAAGCCTCGTGAGGAACATCAAGAAGGTATGCAATCACATCAAAGTAAAACAATTGTTACTTAACGAAGTTCTACATTTTTCGTTGCTACTCGACAGAGTATCACAAACCGCTCGCTACTCAATAAAGCAGGGCAGAATCCCAGTATAGGGAACGTGCAACCCAAAATCGCTGTCACGAAATCACTTCTGAAAGCCTTGCTATTCAAGCTGTAACCGTGCCAACAATCGTAAGCTTTTTGTTTCGCCTGAACCAACGCCCATTCTGCTTTGATCCTCATGGCGTCTTTCTAGATTCTTTCTCGAACCCGTATATTTAGATTATTGCAGACAAGTAATGTATTAAGTTCTGAAAAGCTGGTCAACTTATCAGCAGTTCCAATCCGCCAGACTCTTATTCAGTCGTTTTCGAGTTTGAGCCGAATGCTCTCCCAACCAGGACCCTGATTTCTTCCGCTTCTTGACAATCCAGAAGCTGCTTCGGTGCCAACGACGTCGGGCCGGGACCCGGCAATCGAGGCCCTGTCTCCCGAGGGCGGCACGCGGCCGCGGCCGAACTCCGACCCGTCCATACCGGGGGGGTCCCCCGGGCACAATGATCCGAGAGCCAATAGCGGGGAAGCTTCGACCCGGGAGGAAGTTCCGGGCGCGGCACGGAGTCCCGGAATCAAGCGGAGCCAATCATTCCGAGAGGATCTGAAGGAGAAGGAAAAGTGGCGGACGATACGTGAGAGGATTCAGTCGGGGCCCAAGTACTGGCACCGGCTGCACGCGCCGAACGGGGTGAGGAGTGAGCGTGCGCGCGCGCACACCCGAACGGCCGCTTTCTTTGGTCTTATGTGTTGAACCTCCAATCTCTCGTTTGCTAGAGAGACCCCTTGTCACACCATTATCGCTACCGAAAGCCCACAAACCACATTTGGAAGTGAAACCCTTGGCCAACTGCATTCGACTGGGACGTCTTTGACGCCCGTTTCTAATCTGCATTTTTCCGCTGGCATCATCACTACTGCAAGACATATAAATGAAGAGTATTGGCGCCCATATCGGTAAAACTCAATTCCTTAATATGACGATCTCTCCTGTTCTCTAGAATTGGCGGCACGAAGTAAAGCAACTCTGCCACAAAACGACCGCCAATATCTCCACTTTCTGTTGCTACGAACGGTGCCTTCAGAGCTTGCTCAGTATCTGCCTGATCCCCACCGAACATTGCTGTCAGGCACAGCCAGAGGAGGCGCCAAAGCGCGGCGCGTTTCTGAAGCGGTCGATGACCTTCTCGCCCGAGCAACTCAGAACGAGCGACCTGGAGGGGGATCCCCCGAGCGCAGGGATCGCGGCGGGGGCGACCGAGCAGCTCGCCACGACTAGGAAGGCGTCGCTCAAGATAGTGATTGGGCCGGACGAGAGTAGGGCCGGGGAATCGAATATTGGGACAGGGGTTCAAATTGGGGCAGAGGTGGGGGCCGTAACTAAGGTGCCGTACAGTTCGAAGTACCGATGTCTTTTTGTAGAGGCTTGAGAAGGCCTGTAGACACTTCACGCGAAGACGTCAATATGATAGGGGCCGATTGAGACATTCGTCCTTAAGTGGGTCTATCTAATCGAGTAGATTTTGTAGACTCCATCATAATTTGTGACATGCACTTCACACGAGATTAAAGTCCTTGTCAACATGAAGGCTCGACAGAGTCACCGTTCAATCGCTAACTTTGATATCGTGGCATGTGGCTGTCACAATCAAAAAGGAGACCGATCTTCTGAACCCGTAAAGGCCGCCGCTGCTCGAATTCTTACAGGGCGGACTCAACATTGGATTCAAATATATACGTAATCACAAATGATCAGGCTAGCTGCGATCGTAAATGCAGACGGTATAAGCCAATCGGCATCGATCCGGTCACATGGCGCACTGACACTTACATACAACATGCAGCGCAACGTACCATTTGAGGATGAGCGCATTGCATCAACAGCCGACGCTGTATGTCATTCGCAAGCCCGCGTGGCAATTGTAGCCTCGCAATCAACTGCGAGTTCGTTCATTATAACTCCACATACTGAACGATCATGCAAGTCAATGCCGGGCCGACAGCTGACGGCCGCCCTACGTACCAGGATTTGACGTCCGCGCGGTGGCAGCCCCGCCATGCTACTGGGCCAGGAGCTGCAGCCCTGGGTTTTGCAAGCTGCAATTGCTAGTACTGCACCTTCTTGAATCTTTGTACGTAATCGCTAGGACTGTGTCGCGTCTCGCACCATATACTAGAAGCACGTAATGCGCCTAATTGCGTTCACTGTACTACACAACGATTGCGAGCTGCCCGACCTGATTTACTTAGCTAAAAGCGAGCAGAGACGTGGTTCTTGACTCCCTACTCGGACGCCGTGACCTTTCCGGCTTTGACTGACTGAGAAGCATGTCAATCTAGGTTTTTACAAAAAAATCCTACACTTCGAAGAAGGACTTGCGTCCGGTCCTACTTCGTCCATTTTCAGATTCCACCTTTTCGCTCTCGCTCTCAATAATTCGTGAAGTTTCAATCTTAGACTGTCCGCCGCCAGAGCCCTCGATGCTATGTTTGGAGGATTCGTGTAGCAACTCGGCCAAGATAACGGAGTCGGCAGGAAAGACAAACTGAAGACCGCTATCTTCGGAATGATTCTCATCTGCAATGCCCATCCCAAGCTCCGACCAAGGGGTCTTTCGCAGGATGCCCGCTTTTAACAAGGGTTCCACTTTGTCGATCTCTAACGACAGTCTTCCACTATGTACATGATTTCGCAAAGAGTCCAGGTCGCTCTTGGAGATTCCGGCCAATGCGCGCGACAGGCGGTCCCTGGAAGCAGCACGTTCCGCTTGAAGAGCTGCACCGGAAGGAACAGGCATTTGGAAGTACGTTCGGACTGGCGCGGCGGAGTCCGCTGACTTTCAAACGATAACCATTCACTGGCGACTTGAGGCGTTCCGTTGATGCGCTCCTCCAAAAGCGCAAGCAGAAAAGGAAGAGAGTTGGCAAGCAAAGGCATCTGGTAGGCGATTTGTCGCTATGATGGACGTTATGTTGCCACCTGTGCGTCAAACTTGCGGTAATCTGCTTTAGCGTCACAAGGAGAAACGACAACGAAGGAAATGACAAACACGGCAGCATAGCTCGAAGAAAAGACTCGATCGATCCAGAAGCCAAAAATAAGCAGATTGAGCAAGAAGCACGACACAGGAAGGGCACTAAACTTGGATTTGATCCAGGAAAGGGGAGGCACATTAAAACTGAAGCAGGAGCTGACAGCAGACAGCGGGAGGCGGAACGAAAACGGAACGGAACGGAACGGAAACGGAACGCAACGGAAGCCCACCTGTTCTCAGACTGCCCGACGCCCTGCCCCGCTCCAGGAGCCGCTGCATGAGCGCGATCCGGCCCCCGGCCATGGCCCACACCTCCTCGAAGCTGACGTCACCCGTGACGTCATCGGCCGCGTCACCGAGCCGCGCGCGTCTCGCACCCTCGAAGTAACGCGCGGCCGCGGGCGGGGGGAGGTCTCCGAGGACTTGCACGGTGATCAAGTGGGCACCCATTTCTGCAAAACGTCCAATTCCAAAAGTTCAATCTTTCTGGAGACTTCTGCTTTCAGTATGTGAGCAAGTCCATTATCGAGAGTCTCACAAAAATCACACGTTTTTCAGCAGGCCTGCAATTTTCGCATTTGGGCGAGATATCCATGACCTGGGCCTGCAGCCGCTCGCTGGAGAACCCCAACTTTGTTGCAACTTGACCAATATAAGAAGAAGTATATGGAAGGACTTCCCAGGAAGAAACTCACTTTCTTCCAGCCAAGCCTGCATTTTTGCATCTGACGTCACCAGCATCACGTGGGCCTGCCGCCACTTGTAGGAGAATCCCGGACTTACCAAGTGACAACCACTTTCAACAAAAATGGACAGAAACACGATGGGCAGATCCCAGGGGAGCTTCTCACTTTCTTCCAGCCACGCTTGCATCTTGGCATCTGACGTCACTAGCACCACGTGGGCCTGCCGCCGCTCGCTGGAGACCCCCACGAGGAAGCGTAGGAGCGTCGCCAGGCTGGCGGGGTCCGGCCACCGCATCAGCTCTTCCGCGGCGTCGATGCAGATGACGGGGGGCAATAAGCGCTCCTCCACCGTATCGCTTATGCGCAGCATCTGCTGGCCCCCCCGCCGGTTCACCTGCGCCTGTGAGGTAGTCTCAACGTCAGTGGTTCTTACATACCGCAACAAGCGTTTCTCACCACGAGCTATAAGGCTCCCCCACCGTATCGCTTATGCGCAGCATCTGCTGGCCCCCCCGCCGGTTCACCTGCGCCTGCGAGGTAGTCTCAACTTCAGTGGTTCTTACATACCGCAACAAGCGTTTCTCACCACGAGCTATAAGGCTCCCCCACCGTATCGCTTATACGCAGCATCTGCTGGGTCCCCAGCCGGTTCACCTGCGCCTGTGAGGTAGTCTCAACGTCAGTGGTTCTAACATACCGCAATAAGCGTCTCTCACCACGAGCTATAAGCGCTCCTCCGCCGATCCGCTCATGCGCAGCATCCGCTGGCCCTCGGTTTGAGTCACCTGCGCCTGTGGGCAGTTTCAACGTCGGTGATCGTTTCAGACGGGCGACTGTTTTATCTTTTGGGGTGACAGGCGCTTCTGAACTAAGGCTACAAGCGCTCCTCACCGAAGGAGATTTAGCGATCCTCACTAGAGGCGATGACTTGTCAGACACAGTTTTGCATATTTATGCGCAGTATATTCGGCCATGGAGGCGACTCGCTTGCACGTGCAGGGAAGGTGCCGTTAGTCGAGGGTAGATTCGAGCAGAATAATTCGCCGTGATCAAAGGAGCTCCTATAGTATCGGCCGGTCCCTTCGCCCGAAATCAGTGTTTCGAGTCTCCCTTCGACTGATGGTGCTTTCATTACTGTCGAGAGGTAGCAAGCGTAATTTAACCATCGACGACCCATTGCTAATCGCGTTGTCACGTCAGATAGGAAGAGGAGATGCAGAAAACAGCTACATAATGAAGCTCGGTCTACAATCTGAGCAGCCAACCAAGAGCACCACTCATGAAAGTCAGAAACGGCAAGCAAAACGGGGACTGCTTCTTCTTCGTCTTGCTATGAACTGGACTCTTTGGATTTCAGCGCTCACTTTCGTTCCTTCTCCCAGCCCCGGCCGCAGTCGCCGCAAGATCGACTCAATCTTTTTGACAGCTGTCTCGATGCCCTCGCAGCCTACTTGGCTCTTCTCCAAGGAGTCGATCCACCGAGTGACCTGACGAAGAGGAGATCTGTGATGGTTTGTTTGTTTGTTGTTTGTCGGTTTGTTCGTCTGTTTCTCTGCTTCTTCCTCTCGTTTTTTTTGTGGGTTGTTTGTTTATACGTGCGTCTATACGCTCTACGCCGGAGACAGCGGTTAAGGGTAGGTGCTGACTAGTAGCTGGAGCAGCTTTACTTCGAAGGGTCTGCAAATTTCTCGTTGCCTTGAAGAGAGATCGAGAGGCTGACAATGGGTAGAGATAAAGGTAGTGTGCTCACGCATGCTGATCGCGAGAGACAACAACGGAAAACGCTCTACATTACCTGTGGCTTGGGGTGATAACAGAATTACTGCTCGGGGCTTAATCTCTTTAAGCTTCGTGCTTAGCCCGTTCCCGGTTTCGTTTTATTGTCATCAGAGATCTACCACTCGCAAAAGTGATCGAAACAACCTTGCAACTCGGCAACTTTGACATCGATTTGACAAGCATCGGTTTCCGATCGGAGGCTTACCTCTTCAGGTGGTTTCCTTTTGGTCAGCTTGAGGGCCTTGAGCACCTGGACACCGATTCTAACCTGGTCCTCTTTACCCAGCACCCGCCGCACCTGCAAGTAGAAGCAGACTCTTTGGGTTGAAGTAGAAGAGACCTAGAAGACTTATGACCTTGTTTTAGATGGACACGCCTCAATGCCGATGCGTTCGGAATTGAAGTTTTTTGCAAGAATGTGAACGACGCCTCCGCTGCCTCGAGTGACCTGTTTGACAGTATATTTGCAGATCCCAACGATCACAATCAAGATTACGTGTGCATTGTTATGGTGTCTAACGGCAATTTCACGAAAAATCGTACTTTGCACTTATACGTCGTCAGGAATCTGAGCGACGCATTGGAATGGCAGACTCTCTCGGTGCTCTCAGAACGCATGGAAGGAGAACGTGGACTCCAGTTTTCATTTCTGGATCCCCACACCGGTTGGTACTCTGCACTCGCAACGTAAAGTGACTGGTTATACTCCGCGTCACCGGGTCGCCGGGCCACCGGGTTCGGCACCTGGTTACATGGTACCAGGTGTGTATACATACATTCGAGCGCTCGGTGAAAGTTGAGCGGGGCGGTCGAGAGCAGACTTGAAGTTACGCTACCATGGGTTACGCTAGATCACGCGCGTGGCAAGCCCTAGCCTTCGTCCGCTCGCGCGCTCACCGATACAGTACCAGCCGGTGTGGGGGTCTAGGACTGCGAACTGCAGTCCGCGTTCCCCTTCCATCCGTTCTGTCAGATGTCACTATTAAGCAACACGAGTTATTAAGGAGCGCAGACAGCTCTGAAAACAAAATCAGGGCCTATTGTTCTGCAAAGCTGTGACTAACGGTCCAAAGGTGACTTAGTGGACAGACGGACGCGCCTTCTCCAACTTGCGTGACATATGCGACCAGGCAGAGCGGCCGCAACCAAGAACAACCTATTTTTTTCCCCTTAGTTTCTCACGGTTCCTTCAGAGGACTCGACCGATTGTTAACAAGTTTCTAAAGCTTTACTTAGATTCCTGCGGTACATATAGTAAACAGGTAGTACCAAAAAGTAGATAACACAATTCTCAGACATCGCAGATACGGTAGATACCTACCTACGTAAGGTACGGCAAGGTATTGCCAGTGGTGAAGAGAACGACACTGCACAGCACAACTTACTTCTGCGTCTGCGATCCCGGACAAGCTCTCAATGTAGTTCCGGAACTGCCCCGACAGCTCGCACCCCATTTGGATGCTCCCGAGAAAGTCGCCGAAGCGCATGTTGACATATATGCCGGCCCCCGCCACGGTGCGAGTGATGCTTCCGGGTACGTCATCTGCCTGGGGCGAAGCGGGAAGGCGCAAAAAAAGGTTTGGTTGCCATTTGGTCTCGAACTTCGTGTTACAGAGCGAATGCAAACCACCGATAAAAGTTGTTGCAAGCTGCTCTTAGATTTGGTTCTTGATGCTGGATTTCAAGCGAGCCAAGAGAATAAGAAGCGAAAGGACCTTGGGAGGGGCTGCGGAAACCACAGCCGTCAGAGTCTCCACAGGCCAAACTCCATGGGAAAAAGACCATGATAGAACTTGATTTTGACTGAACCCTGCTGTAGCTGACCCCAAACTCGACACTGGGGAGCTAGTCGAGATAGGAAGGAAAAAAACAACCACGGACACCATACGAAAGAAACAACGAGGAAATGCTAACAACGAACCAAAAAACAATCGCAATTTGATTGATTGACGAAAAGCAGTGTCCCCATGGGATAGTTCCCCCGTGCCGACTTTTCAAGCTCGCGTTAAATCAGATGCAGATTTCCAAGTTTACAGAGAGCGGGTCACCTTGGAAGCCTCTTTCTGCTCCTCCCTCCGCTGCAAGACCCTGGCGATCGTCGCCGTTTTCCCCGAGCTGGGAGGCCCTGTCAAGAGCATGAGGTCACGGGGATCCCCCTCGAGCATGGCGAGCAACAAGTTTTCTTCCGCTTCTCGAGAAAAGTAGTCGGCCGGCACCACGAACGGGGCCTTCACTTCTTCCACCTCTTTGGCGATGTTGCGCAGAAAGGGAAGGGACTTCCAGGCACCAGTGGCGATGATGCTGGCGGGAGAAGGGGTCAAGGGGAAGTGTTCATTCGGGGATTCTTCATGCAGATACGCCTGGGGGGTTTAATGATGCAAACAGCCTTTGTTTCCGATTTTGCATAGAACGACGAATGGTGTGGATGACACTAAGAGAAACGGGGTTGCCAACACAAATCCGATTTTCTGGATCCAGGGATTTAAGTATAAGGTGGTCATTTGAGGGGGAGGGCCTCTTTGGTATCATGCAACCAAAGGAGGGACTCCTGAGCGCAGACGGCGATGATGGGGTGGCAATTTTTCAGGATTACGGCAGTGCTGGCAAGTTTCACAGATTCGCTATTCTCATACTTCAAGATTGTTGATCTCGGGATCTCCGTAACTGACCTGATTATGAGACCACCTGCCGCCATGGCTAGGTCCACAACAGTGTTCCCTAGGAACTCCTTCAGGGGCCCTTGGAGGGGCTTTGTGAGCCAGTCGGTTGCTTTTCCAAACTGCATTTAGGGCGGCACCGTTTTTCAAGTGTAGTTATCAACGCATGGTATTATACCACTTTCAAGCGACACTTGACCACAGTCCTTGAAAGCTGGAATCCAAGATCAGAGAATGCATACGCTTCAATGCTTTGTGCTTGCACACAGACCACACAACCATCTGCAATACTCTGATCTAGTAGCTGGCCTTGTTAGCAGTATGAAAGCAAGTTGAGCAGCGCAACTTGAAAACATGAAAAAGGGGCATCAGCATTGCTTCACCTTGAGATAAAGTGAGCTCAAAACAAGAAGAATAGACTCTCACCGTGAAAAGCATGAGAGGGAACAACTCCTGGATGCGTTGGCCAGTCTTCACTAACAACCCCATCCCATCCCCTACAGCACCACATACTGGCACACATTGCAGAAGTGGTCTTCGCAACCGCGCTGTCTTACTTTTCCTCCTGGCACCTTCAGTTCTCCCGAGCGGAGGCGCCACTAAAGTTGCATGGATAGATCTGAACGCTGGCCACGCAGTTGTGGTTTTTAAAGTATCCTTTTGTCTTGTAAAGCCACTACTACTTGGATTCACATAGGAACGTACACAAGAAGGTTGCGAAACCCAACTGCTTGCTGACAGCATTGTGAGTCGACTCCTTTCAACTCCTTGCTTGCAGATGGGATGTCCGTGCAGCTGCTTTCCAACATTGGGTGAAACAGTAGCTGATTGAGGCACCGTAAAGCAGCTCATGTCTTGTCTCGGCCGAGCCCACACCTCTTGTGGGATCGTTCATCCCCTTCATGGAAACTTGAGAGGCATGAGCGCTTGCTACGATCGTAGTACAGTGCCTCCTTCATCATTCATGGGCTTTTGCATGCACAATTCGATCGGAAAAGTGCAAGCTAGAATTCAACCTAGAAAGATATAAGACGACGATGAAGCAAAACCCTAATTGCAAATCTGCTTTGACAAGGCCTCTTCGGAGCATACTACCATTAGCCATACGTGGCATGCAAATCGAGGGCCTCGTCGGCCGTTGCTCGGTTCCACGCATCTATTTAGTTCAAGCTCCGGGAAATGGCGGGAAACGCAACTGCTTGAAAGTCGAGAGTGCAGCTTCTCTCTGCTTTCTCTTGGCAGCTTCCTCTTCTTTCAAGCCTCTATGAAAGTCCAAGCAGCTCGTCAAGCTGATTTCAATTTCTTGGGAGTTCGTCTCGCGCGATTTGTTCCCTTCTTCTCAGACTCTGCTATTGTTTTGTGAGTTTCAGTGCCAGGAGCTTCCCTAGGCAAAAAGATTTCAACAGGGCGTGCAGTAGCCACTGGCAAACTTCCGCTCGGAGGCTACTCAGAAGCAGATTAGCAGTACTAACATCCACAAAAACGGATAAGAGCCCTTTCTCTGTTTACTGCACGCAGATAGTCAATGTGCTAAAAGTGCACTTATAGCATCTACTTGTGGAACGGGTTGACAGGTTTCAGGCTCTGGCTTTTGAGGTTGGTTTACCAAAGGGAGGTGTCGGATTTTCCCCATGTCCAGCAGCAAGGTGTCCAGTGGCCCTGGACGGCCCTTACAAGAAGCAAGTAAAAAGCCTCCAAAACCAGTTCCCTCAAGACGGACGTCTGGAGAGTTCGATAGGACTTCTCAAAATGGAGGAGGTGTACCTGTTGGCGGTGGAGATAGGCCAAATTCAAATGGAGTCCTGCATTCTGAATCACGAGAAGGTGGTGCATCGGCAGATTTGCCAGCATCTGACCAAGAGATTACAGCAGTGGTGCAGAGCGTATTCGCTGGTGGTAAGTCGAGAAGAGAATGCAAAGACTTTTCAGCGTAGCCTGTGGCGATCTTTAAGGCATGTCTTAGACCATCAGGTGGAAGAATCACGCTCACTCTCAAGGTTGTTAAATCCCACCAATTTCAGATTATCTTCAGAGCATCAATGAGGCTGTCCTGAGCGAGCAGTTGTAATGTTAGCACACATGCATTTCGTCAAGTGTTCGTCTCAGTCATTGCACTTCCTTTCAGAAGAGCCCGTTGCGTCTCTTTTTTCGTCTGGTTCACTGAACCGATTTTCGCGTAGAACATTTTACCCAGCGGCCCTTCTGTGCACCTACTGTATATCAGTGCCCTTGTCACCTGCTCACATGTTTCTTGGTGATCTGACCCCAAAACCGCGATGGATCGGTGATCCACTCAAAATCTGAAAGCCACAATTACTCGGATTCAAAGTCGCCAGCGGTTTGTACCTTATTCTCTCCTCCTGCCACACAGCAAACACTTCCTGGGCTAATCACACGCACGATGCTCAGATTAGCCAGTGATTGCTCACTATGAAACATGCCACAACTTGTTTTGCAACAGCAAATCCAGCTACTTCTCTCCTCTCACTGCCACAGACATTGTCACAGGATTTTTTACGACGATCATCCTCCAGGACCTAAAATTTCCCACGAACTTATATTCTGCAGAAATCAACAGGGAACCTCCAATACCAACAAGGCGACGGAGCGGCGGCTTTGTCGATACTGCGGCGCAGAGTGTTGTCTGCGATGCGGCTGGTGTTCCACTTGGCCCCGAATACTGCCCTTTTATAGAAAAGAAGAGTCCTGTCACATTTTACGAGGTGAGTGGCTGGTTCCTGGGAAGGAAACTAATGAGAAGGAAAGTGAGTGCCATGTCCTTGGAGAACGCTACTTCTGGTGTGAGATTGTCGGTCGTTGTAGACTTCGTGCTTGGCAATCCAGACGCTGGACTTGACAGCGTGGGTACAAAAGCAGAGCTAAGCCTAAGTGTGTCCTGTGCCCAGACTACTTGCACACGTCAGAATGACGGACGTCCCTAGAGTACTGATTGAGGGATAAGGATGCATATCTGGATTAGTATACTGATTCAAATGGTTGGAGAGGGGTGAATCGGGTCAGGTAGGTATGATGCGGCGCCTGCTGGTTGGCACAAGCTTCGGATGTGACTAAGGAGACGCGTATCTTGCAGAGTTATTGAGATAGTAGCATGGCAAAATTCAGTCGCAAGAGCTAGAGATTCTGCATGGTTGTCTGGTTGATGACTTAGTGATCTCGCTTCTGCAGCTCTTTAAGATGGCAATCTTGTTGCCAACTGTTCCGATACGTGTTGGCCTGATCATCTTCGTTCTTCTTCAATGCGCGGTAGTAGTGACACTCGCCACATGTGAGCCCTCTCACTTGCCTCTCTTGCCTCGTTCGTCCTTTCATAAGTGAAACGAAAGTTCTTCAAAAGCATGAGCCTCGAAAAGCTTTCCAATATGTTCACTGCACGCCTGCGCGTTGGCCTTTACATCGACGCTTTCTTCGAAGATGTTTTTTTTAGGGAAATCCATTGCTCTATCTCCAGTTAACTATGTAAAACGAAAGTGAAAAGATAGATGCTCTGCATGTGCGCTGTTGCTGTCCCCCTGATCCTGGTTGCACTCCAGATGCTTAGGAAGGCTGGCGCCAATCACCACCGCAATCCCTTTGGCTGTAGGGAAGCAGTAACCTTGACAGGAGACATTCTTTTCGTAACTGGTTACGTTCTTAGTCTGAGTAACTTTGCTAGGCATAACAGTTTACGTGCTCAGTCCAACTTCTTTTGCATTTCAGGGGGCGCGCCGTCAAATGAGCCCTTCTCCCCCTGGCGGCGAAAGCTGATTGCCAGATGGGCCCGTCCGTCCATCTCCATCGTGCTATTTCTCCTCGGGTTCCGGATACGCGTGCACGGCATGTAAGGATTTTTTTGATCTTTGTTCCAATTTCCGTTGAACACCACTGACCCTGTGAATCTGCTCGTGGATAAAGTGGCTTGCTGTGAGCTAACTCTTTCTTCGAATGGAAACATCAGTGGTGCGCATCTGTTTGAGGTCTTTGAGTAGAAGGCTTCGCACTCAAAGCAAGAGCAAGGACGAAGATTGAGCGGTGTCGACTGGTCGGCTGGGACCTTTACAATTCCTCCCTCACACATTCCCCCGTCCAAGACCCCTCATCTTCGTCGGAGACGCTGGACTAGGTGGAAGGATGCATCGAATCCAACCTCGTTTTGCCGACTCTGAAAATATTCAACTGTGGAGTATTTAACTCCACAGGTTTTGGCCTGGCGAATGAAGGTGCGAAGCGATACGAGTTGCGATTCTTTAGGCTTGACGCACTCCGCAGTATGGCTGATACGCTGTGGAGGAGAACGTGGACTCAAGAGTCGCCCAAATTTCGCCTCCTTTCGGTGATCCGAGTATCGACGGTTCAAATCGAGTGATAGCCAAACTGTCTGCCGTCGATTTTGGGGTACTCGACGCAGGCGGGTACAGTCGGCGTCTCGGAGGCGATTCGCTGTTTTGACTGATTGAGCACTCAGGAGAATGGCATCTAAGATTGACATTGACATTGAAGGCTTCAAACAGGATCGACTTCCCAGCGCTTGCGAAACCTTGCTACCGTTCTGCTTCCTAATCTGGACAACAACCGAAGCTATTCAGCAGACCTTGCAATCTTCTCCGAACATCTTTCAACGAACTTGTTTTGCAGGCGCCGAATTTATAAGCATTACGGCATCTTTAACCAGTCAGTGCTCACTACCTGCAGCGAAAACGCGTGGGACGGTTGGGAGCGGAAGGCCGTCATGGTCGCGAACCACGTGTCGTACATCGACCCCCTCTTCGCAGTAGCTGTTTTCGCACCTTCTGGAGTGGCCAAGGTAAGCGACTCATGCCTGAATCCCGATCAGATCTGTGAAAGGCTCCGGCCTTTAGCAAGCTTTCAAATCGGTTTCATTTAGTGCAGTCCTGGAAAGCTGCACTCGGTCGAAGTGAGTCAGAATTAATGAGCGCCGGATCGAGAGTTGTGCACCTGGCGTGTCCAGCCGTTGGTCCTATCACGCTTTTGGACTCCGATTCACCCGAACCTGATAACCCCAAAAGTGATTCGGTGTCTACGGACCAAGATACATGGATGGTGCCTCTTTCGTCAGTCGAATTGGGGCAAGTGCTTACCTGACGTGTTGGGACAATTATAAGAAATCCAAAAACTCCCTCGGACTGTTCCTTGTGCAGACATCGTCCGTCCGTATCCCCCTCATCGGCCAGATAGCACAGGGCTTCCAACCCCTCCTCATTGACAGAACCCGGTTCACGCAGAACCAGACCGCGACTGGGAATGTGAGCCTGCTTCATGGTTTCTGTATTGGCCGATTCGGACACGTTTGGCTGGCATGTCTGGCGTTAATTTGTCTGCACCCTGGAACCTTCTTTATTTTTGCTGTCTTTGAAGGTCTGTCGTGGGTTTAGCTTTCCGGAACCTGAGGTCAGCTTGTTTCACGTGAGAGCGGTTAGCAATGTGGCTGCTCGCTTTCCGTTCGACGCTTCGACTTGCGCTCGCTTTGTATGCTGTTAGGTGCACATGCGACCATTTTGAGATCTCGTTCTAACATTGCGGCAAGCGTAGCGGACATGCGCCGTCTGTTCAACATAGCCGTACTTTCTATTTGGGCTCCGCCTGGAAGAAAGATAAGGTTCTTTGGGTTTGGGGTCACTTTGGCGTCAATAACTTTCATTTTGATGTACAAACTGTATATGTGACAGACCTAAGACCTTAATCTGCTTAGGAGGATACCGTGGCGCTCATTGCAGCGCGCGCAGCGTACGCGCCCATCCTTCCAACGTACTCGTTCCCTCGACTTCTGCTCTGCCTTGAACTTAAAAAGGATTCCTTGGGGCTTTCAGACTACTAGGGCTTTCAGATACCCCTGTCTTGGGGAATTACTGTGCACGCGTGTTAACCTTGAGACTTGCAAGTTCTCGCAGAAGGAGGGCACCGCGGCGCTCATTGCGGCGCGCGCAGCGGACGCGCGCTACCCGCCCATCTTCATGTTCCCGGAAGGCACCACTTCCAACGGCCACTGTTTGCTCCAGTTCCAGCGGGGAGCGTTTGTGGCGGGGGCGCCGATCATCCCCGTACTGCTCAACTACAAGTACAAGGTAAGCTTTCTATCTTGGGTTATCAGATTGAAGGGGTTTGTCGTCTCTGGGGAAACAGCAAAGCAATGGAAGAACTCGAGTCCCACCAGCTTTGGCGCGAACCTTGCACTCGCTGGGCGCTGGGTACGACCAGTCACCCCTATCCGTGGCACTCAAATCTCCTGCCGGGCTCGATTATTGCACGTATGATCATCTAAATAGCACGGAAACGATTTCTCGGAATCTGCTTGATCGAACGGGTAGGCAAGTCGAAGGTAGCTCGACTCGTTCATTCACCTTTCCACCAATATCGAGACCCTGTCCACATGCCTTGGTGCTGACCCATGTCTGCCGCTTCTACTTACTAGGCCTCGCTCGTCCAACCATTTCAACTGTTCGCAAATGCACCTCAACGCGTTCGCCTTACACCACCCCCGAGTCCAGCTTTCTCACTTCGTTTCAAACCCGCTTAGACGAATCACGATACCCCGTTGGCCGTTTCTATCTGCTAGCACCTTCGCCAGACCGCTTAACCCTCTGTCCTTTGAAACCCTTCAGGCCTACTCAATCCTGTCGGTCAAATTCTCATTGATCCTCATTGGTTTCTGCAGTGCTTCAATTCGCCTAGCTAACTGCAGCATCTCACTGTCCATATTCCAATTGGTCGACCCTCTGCAAGCCTGCTTAACCCTCTGCCCCTAACCTGTCTCCGAGGTAGTTAACCCAGTGAAAACCGCCCGGCTAACCCCCCTAGAACCGCGGGTTCTTGCAGTACAACGCTGTTTGGAGGAACTCGCTGTCCATGTTTCGGTTGGTCGACTCTCCACAAGCCTGCTTTACCGTCTGCCCCTAACCCTAACAGCTCACTGAACTACGCCCGGCTAACCCCCCTCATAACCCAATTTCTTTGCAGTACTTCAACCCTGCCTGGACCAACTGCAGCATCCCGCTAGCCATCTTCCGGCTGCTTTGCCAGTTCGCAAACTACCTTGACGTCACCATTCTTCCGCTGTATACCCCGAGCGAGGACGAGCGGCGAGACCCCGCCTTGTATGCCAGCAACATGCGCAAGCACATGGCGGGCGCGCTGGGGGTCCCGATGATTGAACAGGTGCGCATGTCCGCGGTTATCAGATTAAATTTCAGTCCCAGTATATTTTCGTTTTGACTGAGTTTTCCCTGGTACTGCAGTTTAGTGTCAAAAAGGTAACTAGTTCTCAAACGTGCGTGAAGGTCAGAAATTGACATTCTGTGGAGGGAGCTCTCGCCAGCGTGCTTAGAGAAACGGTGCAAAGGCGGAATGACAACAAAGTGCTTATGGAGTTCCTCGGCCTCAGGACTCTGTCAGCTTCTAGGGAACCAATGTGATCAAAATCCCTTTGTTACCACTTGTGGGAGCGAGTGGGCAGGACACCGAAAATCCATCTGTCGAGATTAGTCGCGAGGGCACCAACTGCCAATGGAGCTTCATCAGTACTGGTCACGGATTCTTGGAGAATTCGGTTAACGGTATCGTGCGTGACGGCAGGACTGGGTACTCGGGCGTTTGTTTGTTACCTTTCACGAACCTGCATGGGGCGGTCTGTTCACCATTCATATGCTGCCTGAACGCCACAATAGCGTCGGGACGTCGATCCAAAATCGATCTCTTTGACTTTTACACTCACGATCAAGGTTGCCGTTGTAGTTAAGGTCGCATACGCTGCGAATTATGCAACCACCTTTCAAAGTCAGAAAAGCTCAATCAAAATCTCCTAACCTTAGATTTTTCCTTCCGGCAGAGCTTGGGCGAGTACCTGAAGTCGCTCAAGCACGGGGTTAAGATGGACTGGTTGATGCGTCGGCAATTGGGGCCTCCATGGAGCTTGGTGCTTAGGGCTTGACGAGCTTCTGAACAGAATCTGCAGTGGTCTAGGATCCACGAAATTCCAATGTGTAGTGGGAGTAGAATTAGAAAGTTTGCCGCCAAGCTACGATAGGTTTTTGTTACGAGTTGCTTTGTACCATGTTAAGATTGCTTGTTTCGGGTTGTTTAGCGTTGTGCTGCGTAGGTTGCGTTGTCACCAGTTCACTCAAAATGCTTGAACGCAGTGATAAGGTGGGCATCGGCAGTTGAGTTGTCTGCCTATGGAAGTTGGATCATAGAAGGCAAGGTTGGTCAAAAATAAGCGGGCTGTTTGATAGGTGGTCGTCCAAACGAGTGCAGATGACTGCAGCCAAAAGAGGTTAAGACTAGCATCAAGCAGATGACCTCTAAATGAGCTGTTCATTAAGAACGATGACGATTAGGCCGAACTGACTGACGATGTAGGAGACCGAGAGACATCGTGCCACGGATCATGCAGGGCGTTCAATGAGAACGTTGAGACGTCGTTGCTAAGTCTTTTGATCTATTGAGTGTTCCTCCGGGAGATCTTGGATGCAGACGGTCCTGGCCAATGCAATGCTTACTATGCGTGTGTGAGCTAGGCAACCCCGATTTGAGCACTGGAGGTGGATCAACACCCGCGAGGGATTGCCGGACAGCATGCCATGAAGTAAGCCTCTCGAGAAGGGTCAGCACTTTTAAGTTGGCCGCGTTTCACCCCCGTGGGCTGAAAGTCTATTGACTCTTCCTCTCTATTGCCTTCCGTCAGTTGTGCGGTGTGCGTCCGGCCAGCTTATATCGGCGTTTCGAGTTTGTCGCCATGGTCACCTAGTCTTTATTGCCTTCCCCTTATAGATGTTCTGCGAGACCGCGGGAGGGCTGCCATCCTCCCGAGCCTCCCCGTTTCTTCCTCTTCATTGCGGCCTTTGTTTCTCACGATCTCAAGCCTGCTGATCGATTGTGTGGGCCGCGCGGCAGTGGCCGAGCTAGCGGCTCAATCGCCGCGACGTGAAGTTCGCGGCCGCCGGCGCGGCCGCGCTACCAAGGGTTTTGCTGGACTCACTATTGTACCGGTAGGGAAGGAAGATCGCAGATCTCCCGGCGAATCTTTGATAGATCTGACGGTTTCGAAGGAGACGTGGGTCCTGATATTTCGGATGACTGTGCAACAACGAATCGGAAGCATTCGTCACACACTTCAACAGCCTGCGTCCCGACTCTCTTCTCCGGGTTCTTGGTATCGAAATAGATTGGGATCACAATATTTGCATGCATTCGATAATACATACCGGAAGGATATCCGAAAGAAACCATCATGTACTGTGGTAATCGGTCGATATGCTTCTTGACCGGTAGTATTTCCCGGCTACTTGCCAGTAATGCGGATGTGTCAGACTTTCGTCCATGGAACGGAAGTCGCGGGTCGGCGGCGGCGGCGGGATCCGGGATTTGGCCTCGTCAGTCTTGCTCATCATGCTTTCAAGACTGAAGTTCGAAGTTCGAACCCTGGGCCTGACTCAGTTCCAACAAGGAAGGAGGAGAATTGGCCAGCTTTCGAATCTCAAGGTCAGAAGCATTTGCTGAGCTGCTGAGGTAATGGGAGTAAAATGGCGCACGCGTACATTCTCAATTATGGGCATTGGATCTGTGGCAGATTAGCTTAGTGAAAAGCGGGGCACATTCCAAAGGCACGCCATACGGTACCCATTCTTAGTAGGAGCTCTTTTTGCCGTTACTTCAGCAGCATGCTTTAAAATTGACTCTGATGATGTGATGTTCAGCTGAGCTTATGAGCTGGATTATGCTCTCCCGCCTCTGGAGTTGGACTTTTGTTTGACGCATTATTCGTGGGGGCTTCGCCGTAGGGGCATGATACATTGAGCCCGGCAGTCGCTGCTTTAGGGGCAAAATTTGCAAGGGGAGACCCCGATCCAAGAACCCCCTAATTTGCCAGCACTACCCCCCCTATGAAGCGCAAAAAAGTGGGGGGGCCAATGAGCTAGGGCGAAATGCCCTCCCGAGGGAGGAAACGACAGCCGGAGCCCGCCGCACCCCCCCGTGCTCCGGAGCAAAATGGGCATACGCATAGCGAGCCGCTTCTGGAGAATCGGCTGAGGGGGGGGTCTCAAGTAGACGGCGCTCCCCAGGGGGGGTCGCAAATGGAGTCAGACAAGGACGGCGGGTCCCCCCGGGAGAGCTCGGGGAATTCAAAACGGAAGGCGCCGGAACCCCCCAGTAAGAGCGCGAAGGAGTTCCGCTGGGCGCCCCCGCTGTCGCTCAATTTGTCAAGCGTCGGGAGGGGGGGTAAGCCGAGTCTCATGGGTGTGGGCTCGTTCGCGGGGGTGGCCGCGCCGTTGCAAACTCCGGCGCCCCCCATGCCGGTGCTCGAGAGCCCGCACTCGCAGGGCATGCTGCTCTCCCCCCGGGGTGGTGTGCCGGGAGATCTCTTCAAGGGGGGGGGCGAAAGTGCGGGGCCGCGGGTCTCTCTGGGGAGCGACAAGCTGCCGCCGAAGTCGCCAGTGTTGCAGGCAATGAGCAATGGGCAAGTCATGCCGCAAGGACCGAGTTTGTCGGGGGGGTCGAAGGGAAGCGCTTTGGGGGGGAGCGGTTTCTTGCACCCGTCGATGCAAGGTGGGGACGCTTCTCCAGAGCCCCGCAGTTGGTTGCTTGATCTGAAGTCGCAGAATGTGGGCTTCTTGAAATTCTTTAGGAGTTATACTCTCAGATTTTGTGAGCAATTTTGGTGCTGAAGGCGATATTCCGGCGGTGCTAGGAGATTTACTCAACCAAGTCCGATGCCTTGAAATTCTTTGCTCGTTGGATGGTGCACGTTCCCTGCACTGGAAATCTATTAATCGCTAAGATTCCACATTCATGAAGCTTCAAGGCTAAGTTGCTCCGTCCGCATCCTTCAATCGCGCTTGTTTCCCTTCTTCTTCTCAGCTGCCAAAACTGGATTTTGTCTTGAGGTGGTCCCATAGACTGCGTGACTCCGAGGGCGTGTGCGCTTGATTAGCCTTGCCCTCACTTGTTTGTCTGATTTTAGGATTCCAAATCCTGAAAAAGGTGCCGCTTGCGGATCGGCACGTGAGCCCACATGTGCTCCTCTTAGCATCTGCACAATGACAACCACCTATTGTCTTCGATGTTCTCATCTTCTGCTGTGTCTAGTGCAGCTTATTGAGATTCAGCAGGAAAGTACAATCAAGGGGCACTTTAGGGTATTCACGTTCTATGATTTTGCTGGACTTGCCGGTAGAAAGTTGCTGATCGCGAGGCAGTTGGAATGTTGATTTGCTCTGCTCTTGTTTGCGAAGGGGTTATTGATTCAGGGGGGCGGGGGATGTCACATGTATGCAAGGCAATGTCTACAGGCGCTTGTCGTCCTTGATGCATTAGGGCTAGGAAGGGCTGAACTTTGCCCTCACAATTGTCTGCTTCGCACATCTGTTTCTGTAAACTTTCTTGACAATTCTGCCCTTCTGTTTGCCCTTTTGTCTGCATATTCGATTGCTCTGTGCAGCCGAGCTTTGCTTGTACCCAGCCTCTTTTTGCATGCAGCTTTTCTTCAGCGCCGTACTTATCCTCTTGACAGGTCAAGTGCTGCAGAGCTGCAATCTGTAACGAGTCAAGAATGAAAAGACTTCCCTCACATTCTCCTACTATGCGCATGCTCGCAGTGCATACCAAAAGCTACAATCACACTGCATGTCGTTGGGGATCATTTCTCAGCTTTTGAAGCTCTTCCCTGCGCTTGACGTCCATCTCAGAACGACGCCCCCATGATTTCATTGACCAAGTGCCGTGGCAGCTTGGGCTTGAGAGAGGCAGCTTTCTAACCCCGTCTTTCGTTCCTTAAAGAGTAAGTTTCAACATACCAGTCAGGCCTTACCTAGTTCCCTCGCTTCGCCTGTTCTCTTAACTGAGGAGCTTCTCACTCCCACACTTGCATTCCCACAGGCCAAGCGTTGAACCAGTCCAAGGTCGAGTTCCCGCCTCCCCCCAGCCCCAAACCCGCCGCCTCCAACCAGGAGCTCCTCCAACGGATGCAAATGCTGCAGCAACAGAACAAGCGGCAGGAGGCCGCGCAACAACACTTTCTGGCCCTGCAACAAAAGATCCAGCAACAGCAGTTGCAACAACAGAAGATCCTCCAAAGCCTCCAGAACCCCCCTACCCCAAAACCCGCCAACCCCGCTGCCGCGATCCTCAGCGCCAGCCTCCTAAACCCGCCTCGAAACGACGCTAACATGGACCTCCATGGGGGGGCCTCCGCTAACCCTCTCGCTAACCCGTCACTAACCCGGAGCCGCTCGAGCAACTCGCACACGACCGGGGGGGGTCCCGCGCAGCCCAACTCGGTCCCCCTCTACATCTCGCAAGCCGACAAGCTACCCCCCCGGAACGCGGGGTCATGCGTCCGGCGGCTTATGCAGTACATGTATCATCAGCGAAAGCGCTCGGCGGACAACAGCATCGAGTTTTGGCGCGAATTTGTGGCGGAGTATTTCGCGCCCGGGGCGAAGAAGCGGTGGTGCGTCTCGTGTTACAGTCACAACGGGCGGTCGCCAGCTGGCGTGTTCCCGCAGGAGGTGTGGCACTGCGAGCTGTGCGGGGCGGACCCGGGACGGGGGTTTGGTGAGTGGTTAGCTTTTGACTGTGGGTTTTCGAAATCACAGGATGTTACGCGGTAAGAAGTTGATGGGGTTTGGTGAGTGGTTAGCTTTCAAAACAAGGATGTCATGGGTTAAACGGTTGGTGAAAGATGTCCATCAGAGTGTCCAATTCGAGGCAGGCGTTGCATGCTTTGCTTGGTGACCTGGACAAGCTCTCGGACAGAGGTTTGTTTTCTAACCTCACATTAGGGGTGATCCCACTTGAGAATGTTGGTGAGTATCTTGTCAAGTTCGCCTTCTGTGCCAGAACTCTTGTGAGTTCCCCTTATCAACAAAGGTCCTCCGAAGTGCATCTTCCATCAAGCAACTTCTGATGGTGTTTGAACATCTTCTGATGGTGTTTGAGCGATTCTTCCTTGTTCTCTTTTCCTTCTGCGCACGGACCTAGCTCAAACCTCCCCTCGTTTCCTGGTTCAACCGATTCGTCGTCGTTTTCAGGTCAGATACGACAGTAGACTCAAGAGGCGCTGGTTTCCTCGGTCTATACCCGTGAAAGTATTGACCAGGACCAGAAGCTTAATTGCCAGAAGAAGGAAACTTTCAGAAACCTTTCGGTTGAAGGAAACCGGAAACTTCGGCTGAACTTTCCAAAAACCTTCAGACCAGATTTCACTCCGCAAAGACCCCATTCTAAGCCATATCGCTACGTGTCTTGTGCAGAACGACTCGGGAGGTCTTCCCGCGGCTCTTCCGATTCAAAAAGGACAGCCGTGACGGGAGGAGCTGCTTTCTAGTCTCCTCTTGAATATTGACCCACTTCACTTTGCAGTTACTGACTGACTCGGCAAAGACCAAATCCTAATTGGCAAAGAACCAATTCTAATACTACGTTTGTTCTGCAGAGACGACACGGGAGGTCCTCCCGCGGCTCTTCCAAGTCAAGTACGACAGCGGCGTACAGGAAGAGCTGCTCTATGTTGACATCCCGAACGAGTACATGCTCGCGTCGGGGGTGCACGTTCTGGAGTACCACCGAGTGGTTCAGGAGTCGGTGTTTGAGCAGCTGCGGGTTGTGCGCCAGGGGCAGCTGCGGATCGTGTTTTCGACAGACGTCAAGGTTGGTTTCAGGGCTTTAAGGTTTTTGGGGTTATGGGAATATAGTGAATTTTGAGGTTTGCGGGTTTCTGTTATCTTGGGCGATAGGAATCTGATTTCTAGGGTCAATTTTGAGCAGCTGCGGGTTGTGCGCCAGGGGCAGCTGCGGATCGTGTTTTCGACAGACGTGAAGGTGGGTTTCGAGGATTGGGTCACTTCAGGCACTACGATGTCAGGATGCTATGGTCTTAAGAATATCTGGGTGCTGAAAATCTGACTCGAGGGTTTAAGCAGCTGCGGATGTGCGACAGGGGCAGCTGCGGATCGTAGTTTCGACAGATGTGAAGGTGGGTTAATAAAATTGGGGTTTAGCCATTTTGGATACACGGATTCCAGCATTGTAGGGTGTTAGGACTCTCGGGTTTGGGAGTTTTGACCCGAAGGTCTCTCTTTGAGCAGCGGGTTGTGCGGCAGGACAGCTGCGAACTCTGTTTTCGACAGACGTGAGAAATGGGCATGCAGCTTTGTGGGCTTTGTGTTCTCGGGGAAGGTGTTCTCGACGGATGTGGACTGGGCTTCTGAGTTTGCAATATCTGAGTTGTTTTCAACCCTCTATGCCACGCAAATCAGGTTGTTGAAATTTTGCATGGGCATAAGGAGAACGTCCGACTTTGCGCTCTCGTTTCGCAGGCCGCCGAGCTGGTTTTGCTCGGCGCCAAGCACATCCTGCACTCCGCGAAACTTCATATTCTCGCAGATTTTGCCCTACGATTCTATTGTGCATGGGCACGAGGAGCACGTCTTGCGCCGCGCTCCTCTTGCGGGCCGGCGAGCTGGCACCTTTTGGTGCCAAGTATAATGCACGCTACTCAAAATTCTTCGAATCTGCAACCCCGATCCCTAACGTTCTCACGCGTGTATTTTGCGCAGATTTGTCGTGTGAGTTTTGCGCGCACGAGGAGCCGCCGCCCGCTCCTCTTGCAGGCCGCCGAGCTGGCGTTCCTTGGCGCCAAGCAAAGACCGCATTCGGCAAAACGCTAAAGATTCATTACCAAATCTCCAAGTTTCGCTTCTATGCAGATATTGTCGTGGGAGTTTTGTGCGCATGGGCACAAGGAGCACGTCCCGCGCCGGGCGCTCCTCTCGCAGGCCGCCGAGCTTGGCATCTTTGGCCGCCAAGCAAACCCTGCAATCCGCAATCCCCTCTTATTTGCACATGCGGAAATCTCACAACTCCGTTCTTGCAGATTCTGTCGTGGGAATTCTGCGCGCACGGGCACGAGGAGCACGTCCCGCGCCGGGCGCTCCTCTCGCAGGCCGCCGAGCTGGCGTTCCTGGGCGCGAAGCTGCAGGGCGAGGTGCGCACGCCGGAGGATCTGCAGGCGCACTGCAGTGCGTTGGCCGCAGTTACAAAGCAGCTGGCTTTGAACTTGGAGCAGCCAACAGTGAACGACCTGGGGTTCACCAAGCGCTACGTGCGCTGCCTGCAGGTAAGTTGCACTTGTGTTTCTAGTCCTTGGGGTTCGCTTCCTCAGGTGGTGAGATTTGAGCAAGCTTCAAGTGTAGTAGCGGGGAAGAGGACCTGGAATGGATCTGGAGCAGCTAATAGAGAACGACCTGGGGTTCAGCAAGCGATACGAGCGCTGCCTGCAGGTTAGAAACCTAGATGTGAACGTTCAAAACTTTCAGATGTGACTGTTTGTGATTTCCCAAGCCAGGCTTGCAAGCGTGGTGGCGAAATGAAGCAGCTGGCACTGAGCTCGCAGAACATTGCGTGCAGGCTTTTCTTCTTGTTTCCGTCCCGGTTCGCCCCCCACTTCGCCCCTCCTCCCTTTGTTTGATGTTTTCACATCAGTCATCTTTCTTCGTTTCTTAGACAAAGTCTTCGTTTCTCTTAAGTGAGGCCAAAAACAAATTCCAAGATTCTGTGCGCCTTTCCGCCTGTAGATCTCCGAAGTGGTCGACAACATGAAGGACCTGATTTCCTTCAACCGGGAGACCGGCCTGGGCCCCGTCGCGAGCCTGCGGGCCTACGCGGCACAGCACGAGAGCGCTCGTCCGGGGGGGTTACAGGGCCTCCGGCAAGGGTCGGCGGAGGGGGGGGAGCATCCCCCCCCGTTCCGAGACAAAGCGCGCCCGACGCAGTCGCACAGCTTCTCGGCAGGGGTAAGAAAGCGCTGCTAGTGTTCTGGGGGGGAAGGAGGAAAAGTTCTTGTGCGGGAGGGGTGGGTGTGGAAGATTTTGAGCACCAACCTTGAGCAGGCACAAGCAAGCGTGGTTAGCTTTGCGAAGGGTGAGGGTTCTCTTTGAAGGGTGATCGAAAGCTATGGAGCTAGAGTCTCGAAACAGAGCTTTCTTGCAAGCAGGAGAAGCTGTGCTGTGGTCCTTCTGATCGGAAAAAAGCCGCTGATTCCCGTTGGGAGGGAAGAGGTCTGATATTTTTCAAGGAAAAAGCAGTCCGAGGGGCAAGGCATACGGATAGAGCATGCCTTCTCCGCAGGCAAAACAAAGAGTTGCTCTTGTGAAGGGCGCGCAAAACCCTCTTTCTCTCGTGGTTGATTTGGCTCTGTGCATCCGTCCAAAGTCTCCAAATCGGCGACTATCGGAGTACGAGCTGACTCGAGCGCTGTTGATCTTGAAGAGCGAGAGCGTAATACGGGGAAACGGCAAAGAACTTTGAAGTGAAACCAAGAGAAAGAAACCAAATGTTCCGGGGGGTCCTCATGCTTCACTATTTTCTGATATCTCTCCCCCGCTTCCGCAGGAGCCCGACCCCGAGACTGCGTTTCAGCAGTACGTCCAACAAAAGCTCGGCCGCTCGACGCTGCCCGAAGGCCCTGTCGCGCTGCGCACCCCGCTCGGCAACGTGGGCGGCCTCCAGCTGACGCCGTCAACGGGCCTCCCAACAGGGCCCGAATCTCTTGGGGGGGGGGGCTGATGGACCAGTTTTCGGCCGCCAGCATCTTGAGGGGCCCCGCAAAGCACGGGATTGAAATCCCGACCACGAGCGGGGGGGAGTTCCGGGGGGGAACGGGGGGGGCGGCGGGGAGTTCCGGGCGTCGGATCTGAACGGGCTAACTAGTATGTCGCAGATACAGGCGCTGCTCATGGGGGACAACGACGAGGACGAACTAGACGTGGCGGCGTTGGGAGTGTCGGAACTGCCCTCCCCCGGAGCCCTGGACGAGTTCATGTTCCGGCTGCCCGGGTGATCTCCCCGGGCGGATTCCGGCTCCGCTTTGAGGAGGCGGAGCAGCGCGAGGCGCGAGTAGTAGGCAAAGAGCGCGTCTCGGGCGGGGGCGGTTTTGCTCGCGGGGTGGAAAAGCCGATTTTCTGTTGCCCGGCTCTCTATCAGAGGGCAACATCAAGCCCCGCATGACGCAATCGTCCTTATCGAGCTTCCCGTCCTCGGGTGGACATGTCTAGTTTAGCCTGTCCCCTCGGGGGATCCCCCAAGTTGTGTTCAGCCTGGCCCGGGGGGATCCCCCGGGTGGCGGGTGTATCTTATGGGTGTGCCCGGGATGAAGACCTGGGAACGGGGCGGGTTAATATTAGCTTTACTGCCGAGGCGCGTTTTGGGTTGCGAGTGCACTTCCGTATTGTTCCCCCGATCTGACTTCCTTAAGGGTCTGCGCTGCGGCTGATAAGTTGCCAGCCTCCCGCTGTTTGTAGAAACGAGAACAGGATTTTGAAATTGGAGCCGTACTAGTTGGTGCATGGTACCTTTCCCGCTGACCAAGTGCTGATCACGCCGTTTAACCGTTGGTTAACAGGGATAGGACCCCAGGCTTTGCGGCCATCGCGCACCCTGGCTTAGAGTAAAGTATCGAGTTCGGTCAAAGGTAGAGTCGCCGCGGCGCGCTTTAGACCATCACGGTCAGTCGCTTGAGCACTTAGAATTGGTTATCGGGTAGACACGGATTGCACCAGTCTGAGATCCTTACGGTACAGATGTGAATAAACTAGGTTTTTGAGGATGACACCAGGTAGTGGCGAGAGAGAGACGCATGGTGCACTTGACCACGCAAAAACGCAAGATCAGAAGCGAGAATCAGCTCCGTACGTCCCAGCGAAAGACTGGTCATCCGACCGCAGTTCTCTGCATCTAACTTTTATGGTTCAAAAATTGCAATCGAGGTTTGATAGACTTGTGGAGCACACATTTAATTTTTAGATCCGATTTTCTGCCCCTGATCGACTCGAATGCATCCATGATGTTCAGGAACATGCCTCGACCTGTGTCACTCTTATCAACTCTTATATCAAGCATGCAGGCTTTCACCAAAGTTAGCGGGCAATTTCGTACCAACTGGCCGCGTAATCGCACCGTATACGGGGTTCAATGTCTTCGACCCTCCCAATCCGGTAATCCAACCAGGTCATATACCTGAGTTGGATCGCGAGCCGTATTGCAATTAGATGCATACTATACGCTTTGCCCGCTCGGGCGACGAGCCAGGCTTCATGCACGCATTGCTTCGTGCATGCACATAATTGCACCTACACTCCGCGACACAGAAGAATTGCTGCATGCAACGTGTGCCAATACTAATGTTGGACACTTCGCGGCCATGCATGTACTCGCAGACTGCAATGATGGCGCTCAGCCTTGGCTCACCATATAATGAGCTCATGAGGGCACAGCTCCTTAGCACCGATCTCCCAAATAGAGTCGCTTGAGGTGGACTTCGTCGTATATTGGATTCTGTCGCATTGCATATAGGACGCAATGATCACAAGAAGATGTATGCTTTTCAATACATTCGATGTTTGAAGTTCGGTAGTCACGGTGAACTAGGACTGTCCTTGCCAACGCCATTCGCTATGGGTTGTCCGAACCACCTATCGCTTCTCAACACACCTGGTTGCGCATGCATCGAACAGACAGGGCGCCTCTATCAAACTTATCCAACGTGACGCATGGGCGACCCTAGCGCTTAGACGCACGGCATGTCCGTCGCCGACAACGCCCACTCCTTGGACGGGTACATCTTCGTTTTGAGCGACGGGTGGCCCCTTCCGTGCTCGGCGATCATGCGCGAGAAGGGCGGAATCGCGCGCAGAATGGACGGAATTCCGTTCTCCGACGCTCCGCTGCGGCACGCGTCCAAAGAGGCCGCCACCTCCTCCGCGCTCGGGAGAGGGGACGAGAAGACGGCGTCGGGGAATTTCTGGATCTGCAAGAAACGTATTCAGGAGATAGTCAGATTGTGTGACACAGAGCGGAGGTCGAGGATACGGCGTCGTGGTATTTCTGGATTTGCAGGAAATAGATGCAGGAGATGCTCCAGAGCTGCGACGCAGAGCGGAGAATCGCGAGGTCGACGTTTGAAAGTTCGGTACTCCTGAGATTCTCAGTGAGTGCGCGTGAAAGACCAGGCTTGAATGTCCATTGTTGGGTGTCCAATCTTCAGCACCCTACCAGTCAAGATCCGGCGGTACTAACTTTCTCCACGTGTGCTCGCAATCCATTCGCTTACGAAGCAGATTCCACATTTTTTACCGCTTGATTAGAGGGTCCTTGAGTCTTTATAGGTCCCTTCTCAAACCAAGGGAGTGGTAACCTGCCTCAGAAAACCGTGTACTAAATTGACTGTGGAAAAGGAGAGCGGAAACTCGCCTGCTGACGGATGCTCTCGTCCCGGTGCTTGCGAAGGTACACCTTGTAAGGGGTGCCACCTGTGGCCGCCTCCTTGGCAGTCTTGCGCCCGATGTACAGGTCCGAATAGATAACGTGCATCGCGCTGCAGAATAGCACAACAGTCTCCGGTCAGATCGTATTGTTGCGAAGCTCCTACCGAAAGGCGTTTTACAAGCTCAATCCATCTTTCTCGATCAACAGTTGTCCTGGAGTGCAAGGGCAAGTCGAGTCCGTTGCAGATGTATTTCCGGCCGAGACATGTTCCGCGGTTTAGAAACGGCGCGTTTCTGGAACCCTACGGTTGGACTGGAACGTAAATAGAGACAAGAGGAGACCGGTGAGCGGCTCCTTTGGGGAATTGCCGATTGAAATCTCGGTGCAGCTTTCTGGGTAACAAAAAGTCCTGTTTTTGTCCCGCAACTCGCCTTATCGAGGCGTCTCATGGAAAGATCTGAAGGAATTTCGTCAGGCAAGGTTGTCTGTTTGTAAATGCAAACGCTCGTCGTCTGGAACAGTCTGAAACGATTTTGGCTTTCTGTGCCTTCGCAGGGAGGTCCCGGCCCGGATTTCAAAGAAACTGTTTGGGAAAGTCAACCGAAAAATCCCTGGAACTTCAAAACGGAAAATGACTGAACGCGCGAGAGGAAAGACTTGCGAAGGGTGCTCGACGTCTTCAATACGACGAAGGCACTCTTTCCTTCTCCTTTCCATCCAAATAAAGCTACAGAACCGCTATCGAGTCTTCACCAAGAATCTACTAAGATAACTCATAAGAAACCCACAAGAATCTACTAAAAAACCCATAAGAAACCCACAAGAATCTACTAAGATAACCCATAAGAAACCCACAAACGAATACTCACCGGAAGAGGTAGACAGCCATGACGCACTCGTTGAAAGTCGCCGCGAGCTCGCGCGACCCGCGCTCTTCCACGAGCGCGCGCAGGGCGTGCGCGCGGGTGACGTCAGCGCGCGGTTCGCTGACGTCATCGCCCCACATGGCGCGCCGCATGTCCTGGAGGTACCGCCGGTGCCCCGCGGGGCGGTAGTCTTCCAGCTCCTGAATGGGCAGAAAATCAAGGAGGGTTTTTGCGACTGAGACGAGAAATAATGATAGGGTTTCGTGAGGGAGTAAAAGGAGGTAATGAACTCTGTTGAAGGGCCAAAATAACGATATTCATTTGGAACGAGGAAAGGATTCACTTTGCCAACTGCATAGGAGCATTGAAGGGTCTTCAGAAACAGGACGTGAGACCCAAAGTGAAAGCAAAGTCCGTAAGATCAGAATACATGAGGTGAGGAGTTTAATTCCGGTATCGAGGTACGAGGGTCCCGACCCTGAGCATCTGAAAGTGTGCGTCATCCCCGGCAGCGCATTCACCACTGATTTTTTGAAAGGGTAATGTTTCTGCTGAAAGTCACATAGAACACCAAAAGCTTAAAGCTCAAAAGGTCAAAACCTTATCTCACCCTGAGCACCTGCCAGAGCGCGTCACGCGCGTGCTTGCTCCCCAGCACCGTTCATAACATCAACGTTCTGCTGAAAGTCACCCGAATTCAAAATCAGAAACTCAGAAGCTCGGAAGTTTGAAAGTCTCCTCTCACCTTGAGCATTTGAAAGTGCGCGTCATGCGCGTGCTCGACCCCCAGCAGCGGCTTTAATATCGAGACTGCCATCGTTCTACTAGAAGTCACAATATAAAATCTTTTTAAAAGGTTCAGAAATCCTAAAAACCTCATCTCACCTTGAGCATTTGGAAGAGCGCGTCATGCGCGTGCTCGATCCCCAGAAGCGCATCCAGCACGGGGATGATGTTGCTCTGCGCGCCGGTCTCGCCCCGCAGGAACTGGGGCTGGTTATCCAGAACCCCGTCGAAAACCACGCCGTCCGGGAAGTCCGGGTTGTTCTTGTAGCCGAAGATCCACGGCCGGACTTTGTCCACGTAGCACTCCGGGTCGGAGGCGTTGAACATCTGAAGGCCGCAGACCAATAGCCGCTGCGAGGAGGTGCGGAAAGGATTGGCTTCTGGAATTCATGCTTTGAGGAGAAGAGTAGAGTTTGTTAGCACCACAACATCATTAGCAAATGTCGTCAGCAAGTGAGTATGGACCGGGCTTTACGTTTTGAGCCAGCACACAAGCAGAAAGGTTTGCCTGGTTGATGCGAATCCATGACGGAATAAGAATGGACTATGGATTGGCGTTGATACTGTTGTAAGAGGTACAAGATACCGCAATACGCACTAGAAAAGCCGCACGGGTCCAGGCAGATCGATCACTGAAGTTGGTGCGGTAAGCTGTAAATATTGAAGTACAACAGTTGAAAGACCGACTTAAATTCCACAGCAGAGGACTATGTTTCTTGATCTTGAGAGGGACGGCCCCAAATTACGTCAGCATAAACGTCACCCATACTCACCTCCTGTACCTTGAGCAACTCCTTGAGCCCCTCCTCGCACGCGGCCACGTCAGCGGCCTTAACCGCCTCCTTAACCCGCTCGATAACCTCGATCATGCGCGGCGTGTTGTGCTCGATGATCGAGTGAATGAGAATGAAGGTCGCCTCCTCAGGACCCCCGTCGAACGAGCGGATGAGCCGGAGCTTGGTCCAGTCGCCCTCGGAGCCGTCCACCGAGTAGAAGTTGTTCAGGCAACTGAGAAAGGAAAGTGCCCGGTTGGTCAGGTCGGGGGTACACGGTAGGAGTTCGAAGGGGTGACAAAAAGGGATGTCATAGGAAAGTCGAAGGAAAGGGTTGCTTTACAAAGGGTGAGGACTTTATAGGAGGCACTGACAGAAGAACGAAGGGGTACCGAGAAAGAGCTATGCAAAATGGTGCGACCTCAACTTGAGTCCTTCAGGAACCGACGTGATTGTATGAAGGGAGCAGGAAATTGGGTCAGACCCTTCCGGAAGGCCGCAGAAGATGCAAATGCACAGATTGGCCATTCAGATTTTTCAACGTCATTCCAACCTCGCTATGCACTGCCTTCTCGCCTATCCAAAGAATACGCTTTGACTTCTTCAATCGTACACGATTGAAAGCACTCTGGAAAAAGGATGGCGACTCACTTAAAAAATTGGTGTGAAGGCCTCATGACAAGGCAAAGCCACAGGAGAACACAAAAGACCCTGACGGAAGCGTCGTCCTCATGGCACTACAAATGGTTTCTCATCCATCTTCGCCCCAGAACAAAACGTGTCGGACGTCTATACACGAGACCACTGCCAGCGTCGAGCTTCGAAGCATGCTCAGTAATGAACGACAGGGCTGAGAACTATCATGGCACTCGATCACTAACAGGGACCGTTCCATGCTTAGTTGCCGATCCTTACAGTGCAGCCCCAGAGCAGACGTCCCATATCCAACAAGTAGCCCTCAAAATTGTTTCTAGAAGATGACTCGCTCACTACGAAGAGTACTCCATGATCAGCTGCTGGTCGACGCGCTTCGCGGCAGCATAGAAAGGGCGCGCGAGGACCGCTGGGACGAGCGCGCGGGAATGGTTCTCCTTTTGCCGGCCCTCGGTGATGTAAGCGGCGGTCAGGATGCTGAGGTCACGGTACACGGCCTGCAGAGGCGGAGGAGACACTTGCACTCGTCAGCAAAGCATATAAGGGGAGAAACACGGGGAAAGCATGTAGAGGGACAGTCTCAAAGAGTCGTCAGCATCAGAAATGAGGTGGATACATTAGTGCGGGAGGAAAAGGGAGCGAAGCGAGTCAGTGACATAGAGGGAAGAGGGAAGGAAGCGTTGCTCACTCAAGAAGGGGTGGGAATCTGTTTTCGAGAGGTAAAGGAAAGATTTCGACACGGGCAACTAGTGTGTCTCAGATGGGGCCTTCTAAACACATTATGCTGTCCTGTTACGGTGTCCTCCAAGCTTTCTGAAAGGACGATCCAAGTAACTCTCCTCTGAGTCGGACTTCGTATAAGGGTCCCATTTCATGTGAAGGCATGAGGCTGTCTGCTGCACCAAGATCCTCTAGCAAAGTACAAGCAGGGTCCGAGACTGGGATGCAAGTTCTAGCAACTCGCAATTTGAACGAAAAAATGGCTTCTATCAGGCAGACAGTTCGCCAGACCCCTCTCCTTTCAAACCCTCTCAATGTCCTATACCTTCCTGGATCTGGACATTTGAACGATGTATGAAGAGCCCCTTGATGTATTTCTCTAGCAGTTTCCCGGATCTGAAAGCGGGCCGGTTCACATACTTATGTCGCAGCTGGATCTCTCCTTTTCTAGCAACCCTATGCAACCCTTTTATTTTGGGGCATGAGGATATGCTCACACCTCAACATGGAACACGAGCCCACTTCATGGACTCAATCTGATAAGAACTAACGATGCACAATTAAGAACACCACCCCTCCTGTCTTTCCAATGAAGGATGCTATCGAGCATTTCACGGTCTGAATTAGCTTCCACCTCGCTAATCATAGTACTCCAAGAACTGGCTTCAATACAAGGCCTGAGGGAATGGCAAAGGACTTTTACGTTATACCTGAGCCAGCTGTGTATCTTCTTCCACCTCAATGGCTGCTCGCCAGTCTTCAGCCACACTCTCAGGAATCGCAAGGACCTCTTTCTTCAGGGCATCAGGTGCAGCCTCCTTGAGAGCGATAGGGATGCGCTGCATGATGGTCTCCAGCAGATCATACCTGAAATAGAAAAGGAATGATCAGGGGCGTTCAGAGAAGAAAACTGAAATCCCCAAAAAGTAGCTGCAATGGACAGGGAGCATCACGAAGCTGTTTTGAGGATGACTTATTTTCACAATAGCTGACTCCAAAGTGAGCAAGAGTGTGTTGCAGGAATACAAGGGACGTTCCTCTGGAAAGGGCACCACTTGGTGAGAAGAAGGTACCGCCAAACAAGTACCAGGAAAGTTCCTGTTCTTCTTTTGATCTTCATAATCAGACGGCACAAGATAACTTCTCAGGAACTACACGAAAGACCATAAGGCTTTCTGAAGAAAGCTCACAAAGCAAGAGGAGGACTACAGGAAGCAATTCACTGGAATAGGTAATCAGGGATTGTAAAAGGTGGTGACATCCTGGGAGTTTGAAAGGTGGTGCACATGATTGCCCCCAATATTTCCGTGTGATGCGTATTGGCCTTTCCCCCAACTTATTTATAGCTTCTGTCTTCTAACAGATCGAACAAGCTCTCCTTATCATGTAGAATATGAGCTCACCTGCCTGGAGGGAGCTGCCCTTGGCATCGAACATAAGAGCATAACGTGTAACATAAGTGTAACATTTTACATAAGAGCTGTCCAAAGCACGTAACGTAAGAGCTCACCTCCCTGAAGGGAGCTGCCTAAGAGCAGGAACCAACGGCAGGAAGCCATTCTGTCCCGTAACTTTGAAGACACCGTCAGCTGCCGCTGGGGGTAGGCTAATTTCTGACTGCTGCACGGCACTTTGGGGCTGGTGGTGCTTGATTGGGTCACCACTAACCGCAGGCTTAACCTCCTTGATTGCCATGCTCGATTGCTGGTTGGGGGTTGTGCGCTCGGAGGAGCCCGAAGAAGCTTGCTCTTTGAGCTGAACAGAGCTGAGGCTTGCGTCTTTTCCGTCTCCGGAACACAGCGTGGGAGTTTGGCAGCAATTGGTGTGAGAAAGTATTGCACCAAGCAGGGAAAGTTTTAAACTGACAATTGATTGAGCAGAAGCACAGAGTTTGAGCCATATTGCTGGCCTTTATAGGCTGTGCTGCAGGTTTGCTCCAGAGCCCAAGGCTTGGACGTTGGGCTTGGAAGTTAGCGCCTTCAATCATAATGCGAGGAAGACGAGGGGAGGACTGTTGCTTTGCACAGTTGCGGGCGCCATGCTGGATCCCTCGTCAGGGCACGTCAGCTCGCCCCTCGCGCAGTGGTTCCCTCGTAGCGACCCTCTAGAGCTTCTCTCGGATGGGGGAATTCGCCCTGTGTGATCAATTCCGCTTGAGGACGAGCGAAATTGCGCGGATCTGCCTAAGCATCCCGCGCAGGCCGATCCGTGGCCGATCAAAGATGCCCGGAACTATCTACCGGGCAAGAGCTACTGGTAATTCTTCACGGGATTCAGCTCCCGGGGCTTACTTCTGAGAAGGCCGATCGTGGCCGATCATTGGCCGATCAATGGCCGATCAAAGCGCGCGGGGGAGTGCTCTCGGGTGCCTCGAGGCTTGAACATTTGGCTGAGATAAGTTCCCGGGGCTTGCTACCGGCGAGGCCGATCCTGGCCAATCAATTGAGCTGTGAATCCGCGGAGTGAACCTGCACGAGATTGATACCCGGGAGTCGATCACCGGGCATTTTACGCCAGCCAAATCTTAAGATTGACCGAGCCTCGATGAAATAACCGGGGAGGCCGATCAATTTTTGATCGGCCACTCTGAGCACTGGTCGCACGCGCATGCGGGCGTTCAACTTCAAGACTTCGAGATCCAGCCCGCGCATGCGAGCTGCACATGCTTAGCAAGTTAGCATGCGTTCCGGACTGATTTGCGGTAGAGCAGTAGGACTGAGCAGGCGAGGCGATACAGGCTGCAATTGATAAATACTACATCTATTCAAAGCTGCTGCGGCCTTTCCGACTTTCTGTACATGAGACAGGCAAAATTACAGCTACTATAGTACAAGTAAACAAGCGCCATGCCAGCTGGCCAGAAGAGTTTGGAAAGTTGGGCACCAGGTTGGGGATTCCTGCAGATTCCTGCATCTGCGGCATCAGTTAAACACTGGGGAAGCGAGGAACTGATCAATTCATGCAGATCTGCACTGATCAGCAGAATTTTGGGTACGTATGTACGACGTATGACACATCAACGTATTGGACGACGACCAAAGGCCCACATACGTTGTCCGTATGCTAGGCTGATTTGGAGGCTGTCTGAACGTACCGGCACATCCGAGATGCGTCTCCAGGTTAACAACATTCCCACAACATTCTACTCATCGACGCTCCTCGCTTCCAAGTCTTGAACTCCCCGCACGAGTGCATTGCTTGTGGGGGCTCAGTGCCAGTACTTCACATCCTGCCTGTTCCTTCCTATGTTGCTGAGCTGACGGTGCTTGTAATGATAACTGGGACTGCTTAATCTGCTTACATCCCATGTCCGTTCAAAGTCGAACATACTTCTCTAAGATCTACTTATCCAAGTTTCAAATTAACGCCGCTGCATTTACCTTCGCATTTACGCCATCGTCACTAAAGGGCAATGTACAAAACGCAGAGACCACGTACTGACCCCGTTCCCCCCCCGTTCTGGCAATCTGCACTAGTCCGTTGCTTCGTTGCTCAAGGGGCGCCTACGAACCTTTTGCAAGTGACCCCAGTAACAACGGAAATGCAGTGCTAAACCGCAAACGGTGCCGCACTCTCGTCGACTTTGCCAGCTCAGCCTCGATCAAGTTTACTTTTGCTATTCACACAACACTGTGCTTTGCTGTACTCTCGTGCAGTGCTGTTTCTGTGTATGTCCTGAATGTCTAGATGTGGATGAAATGGAACGGTTAAGACATAAGCAAGACGTATTGAGGTAAGAGGACACCGTGTCGAAAGACAGCTACTAAGAACCGTAACAACGTGTTATGCAACGGGTCAAAGAATCCACATCACGGCCCTGACGCCACTTCCGAGTCCGTTCCGGTCAGGACTTTGAGTTCCGGTGCAAGTGCGTTCGAATCATTCGAAGCTTCATGTATTTCATGCATTGTGGGGCATACCAAAAGTAATTCGACATGTTCGAGAGGTCGAGCTTTCGGTCAAAGCTGGCTTGCAACAGAAAGAAAGTGAAGGCAACAGATTAGAAGTTGCTTTCGAACCGTTAGGTTGTTCACAAGAGCGAGACGTAGTCGATGCCGCAACATATGCAACTCGTTTCGTGTCAGCTTATCAGTAGACCCTAGAATCTTTGAACTCGTAATTCAAATACTCCGACCGTTTGTTACAAAAGAAAGGTGGGCTAGTAACCAATGCCAAGCTTAGTGGATCTGTAAGTCGAGGTGGATCGGCCACTGAGACTCGATAAAACCTGCTGAGACAATCCACTGAAGCGGCATTTTGCTTTTTTCTTTGAGTCCCTCGAGAACAGCTTACAATGACGTCCATAGAGCGGAGCTTGCCATGCTAGGGGACTCGGAGAGCATTCGAATCAACAGCCGTTCAGATTTGAATTTATTTCTGGTTCAACTAAAACTACTATTACAATCTGCTGCATGCAGCCATGCCGAGTCTCCTATAGTACACCTATTACACTGCTCCGCTTTCAAGCAGATCGTTAGAGTTACCTTGTTCGTCGATCTGCAGCTCTGCACATATGACAGCTGGCATCTGTCCTGCATTGACCAATCAACTTTATATTGAGCTACGTAAAGCAATGCAATTTTTGCCATTATCAAATAGACTGCTCGCGAATGCGGCCCTGATACAAGACCTAAAGACGACCTCTTACCCAGCCTGTCTATCGAGCCTACCACCGACCACTCAAAGCTCAACCTTTCCAGCCAGCTTATTCCTATCCTGCCAAGTTGCTCAAATCGGTTTGCCTACTTCGCAGTCAATTGCCACGTAGGGCCCTTTCGACCTCCGAGCGTTGACACGTGTCACCAGGACGTGGAGGAGGACGGTGAGAATCGCAACCGCTGCCAGGTGGCTCGCAAACAGCCAGGTGACTAGGCCCGCTGCCCGGTCGGTTGCGTAACCGGAAGCACAGACAACTGGCCTGAAGTTGGGGTCGTTTTCGGGGTCCATAAGCGTTGGCTTGCATCCGGTGGGCATGGTTCCTGGGGCAAAAAGAATTAACGTAAGATTGTCAGTTCAAGGTTTTGATGTTTTGAAAAGTTGGGACTTTGAGGAGCTTGAGGTGGTGTATGAATGAAAAAGTGAATGGGCGGTGGTCAAGGGAAAGAAAGAAGAGGTCGAGATGATCGGATGAATGAAAGGGGGAGGACCCGCGTAAGACTTCTGCTTGCGGGAAAGAGCAGGGGTTTGACATGGGGAATGATCAAAAAAAGTAGCATCTTGAAAGCAACTTCGAGGAGAATAAGGAGACAGAACGAACTGCAATCAGATTTCTTACAGTAGAGGGTGCAGCTGCTCTGCCTGACTTGCTGACTCCCTGCTTCATACTTCTTCAGGCAAAAATGTGACTTCCGAACCCCAGTCCACTGTGCGAAGTTTGAGAGAAGCTGATCAAGGCCCTTTACGTACGTATAGCTGGTTAAGCACCTGAAAAGAAGCTGGTTTCAAGTAGGAACTGCCTATCTGCGACCCAATGAAGAATTCTCAAAGCGCCCCAGATTATGAAGGTCTCCTTTTGAGTGGCGTGTTCCAGATTCACACAGTGTTGCTGCAGACTTCTCAGACGCTGCGGATTGGGGATGTTGACACAAACACATACTCCTCCCAGTCCTGCACGTGACATATAGCCACCGGTGGACACTTTAGAAGTCATACTTATTACTTTCTGACCAGACAAAACATTGGACATAGGTAATGGTAGCTGGTCTTGATTGACCAACGGCAGAGATTTGAAAATCCTTCGAACAATGAGAGAAAAAGCTGAACCCCAGCTCACGCGCTTTCTGCCCCGGCCCACACTACTTACCAGAGTAGCCCAACTATCACCTGAGCCCGTACTGTCGTAAGTCGCTCAGCTATTGACTCACTCAGCAGGCCTGGCTGGAGCATTGCCACTGGATTGAAGGGGCTCTCTTTTGACTCTTTATGGTTTGAACGTTCAAACTCCACACCCAAACAGAAGGACCTCATTATGAGACTCACCTGGGATGAATAAAAGGAACGCCGCCTGCACGAGCCAGGTCCCCTGCAGCGTGAGCGCCGCCGCGGCTCCCAAGTCCACCATCACATTGTGCCAATGCCCCGCCGCCTGTAACAACGCGAGCGCCATACACGCGCCCACCGGCAGACTGTACATATTGTGCACCGTCATTTGCAACCATTCCACCCCTTCGAACATGTGGGACCGAATCAACACAAAAATGATCATCCATTGCACGCCCCACGCGCCGTGCAGCGCGCCCGCCGGGAGGTCCAGCCACGCTGAGCGCGCCTCGGCCGCTCGCGCGAGCGCCGCGCACAGGACGAACCCTGCGTAGATGACGAAATGTTGGTAGTTCTGGAGGCCCGTTATGCTGGGTTCGCCAGTCGCACGGCCGTCCGGTGAGATTAGCTCGACAAAGGTCCAGGCTACGATGATCGGCACTCCAGCTATGCCCATAAGCGCGTACAGCTCTATGTGTTTGAGCCAGCCTTTGCCGGCCCGGTGATACACGCGCGCGACGTAGACGGTCCCCGCGGATTTGGTCCGTGCGAATGCGGCGAGGCAGTTGAGGGTGTGCCAGACGCCCATTGCAAAGAACAGGAGACCAACGGATGTGTGCTCAATAACAAGATAGTATTGGGGTACCAAAGAGACTAGCCCCATCTTTGCTCCGTAGAAAAGTCCGCGGCCGTCTCTTGGTCTCTTGGCGCTCGTTGCAGTCCCTTTGCTCTGCAGCTGTGTTCTCAAAGTGACTGCTCTCCTTTGATCCTTGCACCAATGTTAAAGGCTGTTCTTACCTCAAACAGAGTCTACTTCACTAGTGACTGGCCTTGCTCATCTTCCCCGTTTAACTTCTCTTCTTAGTTTTAATCCCCCCTGTAGCTTTATTGGTGGTGAGGCCGAGAACTACCTAGCTATCTGCCCGCTATCTGATTCTGATTTGTAAGCATGAACTGAGCAGGCTACTCCCTCCAGGCTCAGCTGCCTATCGGCTGAGGACTCAAATTAGAGTGCAAACTTAGTACTATCGCGGTACCTAGTAGGACAGTCGATATGCGAGACGTTGCCAGCGACAGCTTGCTATGGATATGGACCACGAGTTGACGTCTTGCCACTTGGTCTCCTGCAGGCTTGAACCAGGCAATCATTCAATCATTACATATCGATACGGTAGTACTAAGTAGTAAGTAGGACCACTAATTTGACCAGTGGGGCCGCGTCTCAAGTGTTCACACACCGCACATGGGCTGTTAACTAAATTACAAAAATAATCAGAATTGTAGCTCAAAATAGCTCAAAAGAAGACGAGTATTTTAACACTACAGATCCGAACCCAAACATTCACGTCCTGATCCGAACCATTGCCCAATCTAAACCCCCTCATAAACCCACTCGTTCCAGTGACTATAAGTTGAGCTTATGCTGCTGTAAAGAAATGTTACATTATAGTTGTGAGTAATGAGTCTAGGTAAGTAATACCTACGTATAGAGCGACACACTAGGCTGTGCCATGATTGTGGCACCGTACTGCAGTACTGTTGCAGTGTTGCACGCGCATCGTGACGCGGATGTCCACAATAATTGTAGCACGCCGCCCATGCATGCGAGCAGTACGATCAGGGGACGTCAGCTGACAGCGGCCAGCCACAGAAACTCAGTGAACGTCCCGGGCCATCCGATTCTGGATTTATGGGGTCTGAGTCAGGACCACAAAGACCGATCGGGGGAACCAATCAGCACCTCCCGATAATCATTGAGCACATTAAGTGGGACGGTGACGTCCGTCACGCGTGCGAACGTCTAATTTGATTTTGTCGACATGTATGTCGACATGCAGTAAACACCTTACTGGGCAACGCGCGTGTCCACTGTGCAGTGTGAACTGCTTGGAAGAGGGCTCCAGCCTCCCGGGATAATATGCTCGCGTACTTGATCGTGTACGGTCAAGCTCTTGGTATTGCTATCATACGTCTATTGCTCAGTCTGTGTTGGACAGCTGGAAGCTGTAGAGGAGCTAGCTATAGTAGACAGTCCTTGTTTGAAGTTGATTCCATCTTCAAGTAATTGTTCAATCAATTGCGAATCGAGGTTGATCACCTCAGAGCACCTGTCATATTAAGAAGCGGCCATGCATTCTCATCTGACCGTCATCATTCATGCTATTGCGATCTAGCGGCCGACCGGCCCCCTTCAGGTCGATCTCCGGTCGGCCACTACATCAGACCCACTATATTAGCAGTGTCGCCCAGTGCATGTCCTTCAATCTACATCAAGATGCAAGCGAAATCGAAAATCGTCTATAGTTTGCAACGCGCGGTGGTCGTCAAAATTTCAAAGGTGGGGGAGGTTTCAAGTTGCACCAGCAAGTCTTAAAGTATAAGTTTATGTATAAAAGATGTATAAAAGACGGGACGCTATGTAGGCTGTTCTATGTGCTTAAGGTGCTCTATAAATTTACCAACAGCAATCTGCGAACAAGGACCATACACATATTGGAGATTCGACTGGGGTTAAATTAGGCCTCCAGCAGTGCCTCGAGGTTTTGGGGGCACCCTTTAAGCAGCTGTTAGGTGCGTAGGCACTGAGTCAGCTGCCAGTGCAAGGAAGCCTGATTCAATCTGGTCCCGGCAAGTGCCCGGAAACGCTCAAAGAAACATATGATGACAAATCTCACATTGCAGCCACTATATTCAGTGCATTGGCAAACCACGTTTGGGGTCAACTTGTTCACGTCTACTTGATGTGCGCCGCTGCAACTGGAAACACTCCCAACCCTTTCTTTCCACTCGTCACATTCTAGATATGTCCGGATACGAGTACTGCCAACTCGGGATTTAGTACTTCGACGAGTCCTGCAACTGGAACGCGCTCGCCGAGTCTAGCAACCAGCGGTGATGCACAACCACCGAGCCTTTGCCCGCGGACCCGGACAGCCCCAGTGCCTCGGCGCGCCTGCCGTCCGCGGCGTCCGTTTTCGCGCCCGGGGGGCCGTCTGCACCGGCAGGCTGACCCCCGAAGTAGAGAATGACCGTTTCCGGTGACTTGTGGGACTTGCTCGATGGGGCCGGTGCCGCCTGCAGCCAGGAAAACGGTCCGCTTGAGTTAGTCATTTGGCTAGAATTGCGAGTTTCCGCTTACTTTGTTCTGTCACCAACACTACATCAAACGGTTTGAGTCGAATCAGTTTCAAAGCGTCAACAAAGCATGCTCAGGAGCAGATGCTCCTCCTCCCCCAAACCAGCAGTAAGCCACATGCGCCTTATTCGCTGCCTTAAAGGCTCACTCGGCTTCCTCCCAACCATTTATCTTGTTTCGTCACGAGACGCATGCTGACTTTGGCAGCGAAGAGCCTACAATTGCCGCAAAACAACTCTTGAGCTAGAAGGTACCCAGATCTTTGTAAGAATTGGGACCGAACAAGGTTATCGGAACGCATCAGGTAATCAGAAGGGCTGCGTTGTAGAGCGAGCTTCACCTCATTGGGGAGGGGCCTCCGCGCCAGCACCGTACCCCCCCCTGCCGAGACGACGGCCGCCATGTCCGCCTTTGAGGGCGTCCCAGGCCAATCACCGGACAGGAAGAAGTCGATGCCGTCGAACAGGGGGGCAGCGCCCTGGAAAGATTGATTTTGTGGTTAGCAGGACGTTATCGACAAACCCTTTTGACAGGACGTCGAGGTCTCTGAGCGCTGAAACGACTGCCAAAGTGATGGGGAGTGTCAGAATAGGAGAGACTGTGGAATGGCGATGGAAGCTTTACAAGGAGGAGCGTGAGCAGGCAAGGAGAAACTCAAGAAAAGCAGATGATAAGCGCTACGTCGACTGTCTAGTAGAAGCGAAACACTCAAACGGACGCAGCAGGCACTTTTGCGCGGTTGCGTGGAAGAGAGGCTTCAATATAGTCTAGAATATCTTCCTTGAAAGCTACTTGTAGTTACTCATTTATTCATCACTGTAGGGTTTTTGTGTAAGCCCCGCGCATTGTGACATCTCCTGCGCCGCTCTCTGCGCTTTACTTGATTGGTGAATAGACGGAGCACAGACGGCATGACCCTTTTCCTTGTTTCTGCTTTCATAGCAAGACAAACTTCGCCTCAAGCACGACCGCTCTCGACTAAGAAGGAAAACACCATCTGGGCAATAATGGACACTCTGAGAGAGTAATGCAAAAGTGAACCCCGGCGCGAGGAAGAAAGGGAAGACGCCAAGAGGGAAGACGGAAAGAGGAGTGTGTACTAACCTTGCGAGCTGCCATTCGGCCCTTCTTAGGGCCACCGGTTTCGTTTTGCGCGTCGCCCAAGACCTCGAACGATGCCTCCTTAGCGGGCTGGCTCAGCGCGAGGCTCTCGGTGACCCCTGTAGCAAAAAGACTCAGCAATTGAACCTCGAAACCTTATAAAGGCAGTATTTTTGCTGGTACTGCACGGCAGTACTGCATAACTGGAGTTTATCCTCCCGTTGACCCCAAGGAAACAAGCACAGACACCATAGAACAGGCAGGAGCAGGGCGGAACAAATGCAGAAAGGAAGAACCGAGCGAAGTATACTCGTTTGAGCAGAAGATGCAAGTATTGATGTTCAAAATGCATAGAACGAGAGGGAGCAAGGCGAACAAAGCCAGAAAAGAAGGAATCGAGTCACGTATATCAATCCGAGCAGATGATACAAGTAATAAAATTTAGAAAACATAGAACGAAGGGAGCAAGGCGAAACAATGCAGAAAGAAAGGAACCGAGCCAAGTATATTCATCGGGACATATGGAAAAAATCGACGAAAACAATACATAGGTAAAAGTCAGGGACTAGAGAGCAATAGGAGCAGATTAAATTCGGCCGTCAAAATTGAGGCAGTTGAGGCCGGATTGCGGAAGACGTTGGAAAAAGAGGAAAACGGAACAGAGAAGCCGGAGAGACGGGCTCACATTCTGGAGTAACGACCCACTGCCCGGTCAGAACGGCGGTCAGGTATTTGAGCGTGCGCTTCGAGCGGAGCTTCTCGTCGACGCCCGTGATGACGTGGGTCACGGCGGGCGACCAGTCCTTCACCACCTGCGCGCCCGACGAATGCGCGAGCAGCGCCAGGTCATCCTGACGTGGTGGGAACGTTATCCAGTTAGTTCAGAGTAACCCAGTCTGGAACCATAAGACTTGAAAGGCAGGGCGGACAAGGTGATTCGGTCAGCTTAGGAAACTCTGAATTCTGGTGGATTTTCTGGGAGTAGGGCACTGCTCTCTCGAGAGGTGTCACGTAAGAGCCGAGAACTGGACGCGTTTGTGACCGCAAAGAGCATAAGACTGGAAGGATTGCTCAAACATAATGTCGGAGTCTGGGAGAAAAAAGTACTTTGTAAGCAGGGAACGGTAGTCGTTATCGAGCCGGCAATGTGCCATTCTAGTGGGAATGGCACTCGACAAGCCGGACGACCAAGCGAACAGCGCAAGTCGGCTTAGGAGAAAGGAAAGCGATGCACTTTCTTCAGCATTTCCAAAGCGCTGTTTTCGTTGAACAGTGACGACTTTTGTCCCTGCATCTCCTCGCGCAAATCTGTAACGCTTGCAGCTTGCGTCAGGTTGGCCAGTTCCTTTAGAAAAGATTGGGCCACGAGAAAGTAGCTAGAAAATTCACACGGCCTCCTACCGCCCAGTCATGCCCAGATTCGCATTGCAATGTTTGCCCAGTGACAAAGTCAAAGCAGAACGTATATTCCTCGATGGCTCGTCAGGTCGAAGAGTGACGTACCTTTTCTTTTGGAGAGAGGCCGGAGCCCGTGAGCACCCACTTGGTGCCAGGCGCGCCCGCCCACTTCATGCTTGCCGGGGTTGCTTGCACGGATGGGGCAGTCTTCGCACGCTTTGGACCTCTGCAAGGAAGAACCAAGAGCTTGAGTCCCTGATTCGATTGAAGGAAAAGAGTATTCGAGTCCTCGCGTGCAATGTGGAGCAGAGAACCTGAATCCCTGAAGTGAATTGTTGCAGCATAGGCAATGAAAGTCACTTCTCCTGTGAAAAAAGTAAAGACGGTCATTGTTAAAAAGCGCCTTCTGACTGTGACCGGTAGATCTGTGCATTCGTTGCAAACCGGTCTGCTTGGGTGCGCCAGCTTGTGAAGACCCGCTTGGGCAATCGTTTGACGGTTTGAACCGCTGCTGCATGTTACAAGATCTTACAAAGCGTAGACTTTCAACCGCGTAGGACTGCTTTATCATCCGAAAGGGCAGACACGCGAAAATAAAGTCAAAACAACGGAAATTTTCGGAAGGGAAATGAAGGGAATGCGATTCGTACCGTGCAGTCTCGGCGGCCTTCCGCTTCTTCGCCCCGCCCTTGTCCTTGCCGTTCGCGGGCGCTTCTTCCTGATCTGAACCGTCGAATTCGTCGATCTCCATCTCAAACGGCAGCTTCTCCGAGGAGTGATCGGGGCACAGCATGACGTACGACTCCTGCGGATCGGAGGCGACAGCTTGTCAGTACAAAATCGAAGCGGGAGCTTATGGACTTCGTGTTTGTTCTTGTTTTGGTCTGCAAATGTGGTTCGCCCGAGCGCAGAAGACATTCTGCGGCCTGACTGTGGCAACAGAGAGAATAACAGAACTTGCAACGAGAGCATCGGGTGGAGGCGATCCGGGTAAGACAGCAGGCCCCACAACACTTCCCGCGTTCAGGAATCCCCTATGGGCTTCGTTCCTTTACGGGCAACCCAGATTCTATGCAGAAATAGGTTCGTAGGGCCTTTAGAATTGTGTCTTCGAAAGGTGTGGGCGGAGGCGAGGGCGCGTACCGCCCCATTTCAAAAGCAGCCGGGAGAGGCCTTCCACCCTTGTTGCAAAGTCATTGAAAACGCGGCGTGGAAGGGTAAGGCCGATCGCTTTGAACGCTTCAATTTCACCGTTTTGTCTTGTTGGATCGACTCATTTTATTGCTAACCTCCTTCATGGCTTCACCAAGACCATTCTAAGTTTCCGTCACCTCGTACCAGCTCGTGGGTTCAATGTTTTTTTGAAGTCCCCCTCACCTCGTCAAAGCGGCAGCCCTCAAGCTGCCGGCTGCATGCGTAGTGGTACGTGTGGCGGCAGCGGGGCAGGAAGCACCCGAGCGCGGCACCGCGGCGGCTGCACACGCTGCACTTGAGCTGGCGGGAGCGGGCCAGCTCAGAGTCCAGGTTTGCCAGCTCCTCGCCCTCGAAGAACACGTTGGGCGCCCTAGGGTAGGAGTAAAGAAGCACCTCAAAAAGAAGCGGAAAAGTTGGAAGCCATGGATATCATGTGCATTACTTTCAACGTACGCTCCCTGCTTTGGTGCGAGACAATGAAGTTTTCAGCTCTGAAGCGCCAAACGAACACGGTTGATAGGCGGATAGCTTTGGGTGAAATGACCACATTGGGAACATAAAACGAGCGGTGGCTTTTCTCCTGATCTTAGCAGATGAGTCTGCTTTGAAGATCGCAAAGTCGATTGACACAACCGTTCCATTGCCTAAGCTTGTCCCGAAGGTGAGGATACGTGCTTTTGAATTAGAAATAGAGTCGTGATGACAGGAATCACAAGTCAAGGACCACACCATCACTCCTCAAACTGCGACAACGACCTTCCTCCTATCGGATGAGCAGTCTCACCACTGTGCGCAGAGCTCGTGCACCACCACGCTCGCCAGCTGCACCCTCTTGCGTTTCCCCCCACTCTCGTTGTCCGCTCCCCTCTCCTCAAAGCCTTCCGCCGCCAGGAGCCCAATTTGCGCCGCCCCTTTCCTCACCAGCTTTCCCGCAACGCTGGAGTCATCACCTAGCCCACAGAATCCGCACACGGGCTTCTCGCAAAACACGGGGGGCCCTCCTGAGTTGGGGGGGCGGGAAGTCGAGGGACACAGGCCAGTGTCACCAGGGGTTTTGGCGGGCACGCTCGGCGTCTTTCCGCCCTCTCCTGCGGGCTTCTTGCTAACATGAGGCGTGGTGCTCGGGGCCGCGGCTGCACTGACAGCTGTTGGCTCGGCGCTGACACCTGTTGCCTTGCCGGCGGCCGCCGGGCCTGCGACGATCCCCCTCTTCCTCTTGCCCGCCGCGGCGGCCCTCTGCTTCGGCTTGTGCTCGCTTGCTGACGTCACTTTCCCCTCCTCTGCTGACGTCACCTTTCCCTCACCCTCTGCCGCGAGTCGTGCGACATGGCTGGCTGCCCCAGACGCTGTTTTTGTCAACCCAACCGCCGCAGCGACAGACGCCCGAATCTCGGCTTTGAGCTTTCCCTTTTCCGACACGGCCGCTTCCTCCCCCTTCGGTTCCACAGCGTTCCGCTTTGGCTCCTTGGCCCCCTGCTTGCTCCCTCCCTTCTTCCCTTTCCCGCCCTTCTTCTGTACGCCCTTGGCCTCACCCTTTGTGGACGGTGAGGGGGGGAGTGACGCCTCTTGAACCCCAAGCCCATCCTCTTGAAGGAACGCGTCAAACGGAGTATCGTCCTCGCAGCTGTAGAACTCCTCCCTTGCCACCTTCTCCCCATCTTCTTTTCCCGCACCTTTCCCCCTTGCTTTCCGACCTTTGTTTGCCGCTTTGGCCCCTTTCTCGGTGCCCACAATCTCCCTTGACACCAATTCCCCCGGCGAGGCAGCGCCTTCTTTCAACCTCATCGCGCCCTTCTTCCCGCTGCTGACCAGGTCGCTGAAGCTCATCGGGGGGGAGGCTTGCGTGGGCCGCAGCTGCGTACCTCCCTCGGGGTCCTGAGTCCCGACTTGCCCCCCCATCCAGAAGAACGGCTGGAAGCCGCTCCCTCCCGGAGAGAACCCCGCACCCCTCTGGTCAGACGTCGGCGCCGACTCAGCCAGTGCAGGAAGGGGCGGGGAGAGAGCCGCCTCCTTGTCCAATGCATCGAGCTTTGCCGATGCACCTCCTGCAAGCTTTCCCCCTGCCTTCTTCTTAGCAGACTTCTTCTTGGCTTTCCCCGCTGCCAAACCGCTGCTTTCTGGGGGGGGCACTTCGGTTTCTGCAAGGCTTTGCTTGGACCCCCCACAGGCGACCAGACCCGCACTCAGCTTCGCATCTCCCGGCTTCTCAGCCCCCTGGCCCATCTTGGCACCGTTCTTGGGAGTTTTGAAAGCATTGCTCTCCTGCGCGGAAAGACCCCTGGCTTCCTTTCCGAGCTTCTCTGCCCGTGCGTTGGCCCTTGGAACTTCGTTCTCCTTCCCCTCTTCTGCTATTTTCTGCATCTTCGACTTTGGCTTCTTTCTCTTCCCTTGGGCCTCTTCCTCATTATCGTCCTGGGGGGGTGGTTTGGCAGGCTGAGAGCAGAGGATCTGGACCCCCAGGGCGCGTTCCATCTCGGCGTATGCGGCAACGACTTGGTCCACACTGGCAGCAGGGCGGAGATCTGGAAGGCGACAGATTGCTCTGGGTAAAAGCCAGTGCCAAGGGATTTGATGGGCGCCAGTGCCAAGGGATTTGATGGGCGCCAGTGCCAAGGGATTTGATGGGCGCCCTTCATGCATCTCATGAATGCACAAAAGCTAGGTTGTTCTGAAGCAAGAGGGACAGAGGAAGTGCTTACGAACGGGAAGAAGAAGGAATAGGCATGACAACTGCACCTCTACATGGACAGACATGGGAGAACATTGCTTTAGAGATTTAGCGTTGGTGGCACTGGCGGAAGCAGTCTCGTCTGCTGGTTGAGAATGTAAGAGACAAGTTGCCTTGGCTGACATTTTTGACAAATTTGAGAGGATGGCAGCTTTGAGTCTGAGGAAGCGAAACACAAAAGCATTTCGCTCACCCCTCTTGTGCGCCGGCTTCTTGCACACTGGACATGACGCCTTGGTCAAGATGGACTGCTGGATGCATCCCCTGAATTTGAAGAGCAACAAAAATTGAAGCCTGGTATCTGTAAAGCGTGCATGCCCAGAAAGGGTCTTAGAGAAGCAATGAAATGATTAGGCCTGCAGAAGCACTGCATGCTTGAGGAAAACGGACTTTAATACAAATACTTTGCTTCGTGTCAGGATGCTTAGCTTCCACATAGGCGGTTTACATCCTCTAGCTCCACATGGGACAAAGCTACTGGTTGAACGTGCTTGTCAGTTACTGTGTGCTTCAGAGAGACATTGAGAACCAGATACAAGCAAGTATTTGTTGTAAGGCATCGTGTGAGAGGCATCGATTTGACACTTGCTTCAGAAAAGCTCGACTAGAATGGCATACCTGCAGAAGCAGTGGTTGCAGGCAAGGTGGACTGCACTTTTCAAAAGGCCAAGGCTGCAGAGCAAGAGCGATCAGTATGATTAGCAAGTATCCATCTCGGAAGGTTTTTGCTTCACAAGCTGCTGCAGGTTAGCAGATCAATTGGACTCCCTAGGTGAACAAACTTGAAAGGATATTTCGTGCATTCTTTTCCTCAGAGGACGTCTTCTCAGTCAGCATCTGAAGGAATATGCACATCAGCTGCCTTGAGAATTCTCAATATCACAACTGCAGGTTACATGCTTCAAGGTGTCATGATTCTTTGTCTCCCCAAAGTGCTTTCTCACTCCTTCTCCAGCTCCATGCTTACAACCATTGGTCAAAGGTTTCTTTGCTGGAGACTGTCAACTTAGCATCCTGTTGCAAGTATCAGGCATCCCGGCAAGTGCTAAAGAGATTTCCACGAGGCTGTCAATGTTCAACTCACCAAATGGGGCAGGTCAATTCTTTGCCCAGCTTGAGGACTGACTCCGCCTGCATTTTGCAAGGCAACAGCTAAGACTAGGTCAAGACTTTGACTTTGAATTGTCTCTGCTGATTGCAACAGCTACATACCGTAGAAGATTAGCAGCTCGACAACATCCCCGCAGTGTCCTCGCACAAGGCACTAGAAAAGCCCTTCTTTTTGGCCAAAGCGCTCTCCTTCCAACGCGCTTCGACTTCGGAGTCTTCCGCTGCCTTGGGCATTTTTGGAAGCTGAGGCTAGAATTCGCGGTGTTTGGCGGGAGTGTTTCAAAGGTCCAGGGTTTGGTAGGACGTCCGCGCCGGCCATTCCGAAGCCGGCCGCGCACATTGCATTCGCCGGGCGGCCGCGCGCGGCAGCGCCAAAGTCACTTCAATGCCCCGGTATGGTACCTTCCAAGTATCAAGTGCTAGCAGGCTACAGTCTACGTTGCGATAATACAACATCATGGTATGTACCGGCCCGTTGATGACACACAGCCACCTCATTTCAGACAGCTCATTGGCGTGAGCTACGGAAGCGCCTGCATTGACATCATTGTTGAGCTACGTTCCTTTTCGGCTCTAGCTTTAGGGTTTTGTTCTACCTCCCGCCTCCTTCTAGCTCGCACTGTTTTCCAGATTGTCAGCAAAGCAAGCATTAGAAAATCAATTTCTCCGGTTTTTGACATATTCTGGTGGAAAAGATGGCCAAGCGTGGCCGCGCGACGGTGGTCGTGCTGGGGGACCTGGGGCGAAGCCCCCGGATGCAGTATCACGCTTTGTCCCTGGCAGAGCAGGTATGTATGCGGCCAAGGATTTTCGTAACTTGAAACAAAGGTCGTAGGCCAGTTTTGTTGAGACCACTTTTTGGTTGCCCCTTACTTGCTCCTATTCAAGCCTGCTTCTGTTTTGCATGTCCTGTTCGCGACTGCTTAGTCACGCTGAAGGAGAGGGGGTGAAGGATTTCATGCAGAATCATGACCTATGCCTGCAATGCTGAGACGCTGTAGCTTTGCTTTATGCAAAATTGTTCGAAAGTGACGATTGTCTTAGCTTTAACCAGCTTTGAGTAGCTATGAATACTGGTGTGCAATCTGGGTTGGGCTCTGGTGCTCCATAAAATTCACTTCTTAAGGTTGAGATGTTGTCAGTTTGGTCTGCCTTGCTTTGCATACGTGAATTGGGCACTGGTTTGAAGCGAAGGCATTTGTTCAAAGTTTGTAAACTTTTTCTCGGAGGTAAATACAAATTCACTTCCTCGAAATAACGGGACATACTTGTCCGGAGACCATACCGTGAGTATACGGGGGCTACTATGGTAGAGAGACATCTTCAGTTGGTGCTAAGGGTGCTGACAAGACTGTTCACCAACTGTTCCTAGGATGACTTCCACATTATCAGAAAGATGATTTTGGGCTTCTCTTGAGCGCCTTCATATGGAGCAATGGTATAGCAGCTGCAGTGGGCTGTCCTCTACTCCTACTTTGAGCACATCTAGTTCTCCTGTTGATCAAATAAAATTCACAATTTTCAAAAGGTGGCTTCTTTGCTCTCGAAAACAATGTCACATTGCAGCGCCAAGCGCCCCTTGTCAACATACAAGCCAGAAAGCTTCGACCGAATGTAGATTGTACTGACACCAGCTAGAACCTCTAAACAAATGTAGGTTGAAGCGACCCGAGCCAGGAACCTACGGTTCAACAATAGTAGTCATATATGTCAATCTTATGTGTTATCTTTGACACAGGCTGAGCTGCAAGTCGACGTTGTGGCGCACGCAGGGAGCGAGCCCCTCACGGCCCTCAAGGAGCACCCAAACGTCCACCTTCATCTTTCTGTGAGGCTGCCCTCCAGAGTGCCAGACATTCTTTCCATGGTGTCAATGTTGCGGGTCTTCTCTTCAGATGTTGGGGCAGTCACTGTACTGCTGATACCAGTGTTCACTGCTGCTTGTTCATTGAATTCGATGACTCGCAAAAATCTGTCATTGGTTCTGCTGCAACCTATTCCGAGTGCATAGCGTTAAACCCCCACAGCGTCAAGGGGCAACACAAAGGTTTGCCACAGACATGTGAAACGATTTTCCCAAGGTCGCAGTCCGTGTCACAAACAGCCTTTCGCAGAGTCTCTGACGGCTACCGTCAGTAGCCAAGCAAAGGGATCCCTCATCGCATATGACGACAGGCCATCTGAAGCGCAAGAGGAACCAACCTAGTTGCCCCTTTTTCTGACCACTCAAGTGTCACTTGAGAGGCAGGAAATTGGGTATGCTTCTCTTCTCATCTTGGTTCGCTTGCTGCGCCGGGTTACTTTCTTCTTGACACCGTTTCTTTGCTGCAGTCTCCGCCATGGTCTGCCAACTTGCCACGTGTCATGTACCTCCTGCTGCTGCCCTTCAAGGTCCTCGCGCAGTTTGTGTCGCTCCTGTGGGTGCTCTGTGTGACGATACCCCCACCGGACTTTATCATTGTTCAGGTGAGCCCCTTGTTGTGTCTCTTCCATCCTTTTTGGTCAGCTTTGTTTGTTGTTAATGACCTGCACTTGCTAGTCTTTGGTGAAGAAGACGTTTATGCAGGAATTGTTGTTCTGTGGAACATGGTATCCAATATTCGGGCCAGCGACACTAGTTGCTACCCTACAGATGTTTCATTATTTTAGGACGGTATTATTGGTTTAAACGTTCCCTTTTGCATACTTCTCCTCTCCACCATGTTCTCAACCCCTAGGAGAAAGTGGTAGAGCTTGCAACCAGATGTTGAGCCTTTGAGCTTTTGAGGGCCGTTGTTGACTGCCGCTGTGTCTGTCCCCATTATCCCACTGTACCACTTCTTCATCTTGCCGAGCATCATGGAACTTTCCAGAGAATTTTTCTCGCTTTCTCTTGCTGCAGAACCCCCCGTCCATCCCTTCCCTGACGGTGGTCCTGTTCGTGTGCTGGCTGCGCGGCGCGGCTATGGTGATTGACTGGCACAACTTTGGCTACACGCTCCTGGGGCTGAAGCTGGGGCTCTCGCACCCCTTCGTGCGCTACTACAAATGGTAATATATTATTAGGCGGAAGAAGCACTCGTTGTCTTGAGGTTCCAGACACGAGCTACTTTATGTTTCTCAGTCATTTCGGGGCTGGAGGTCTTCACGCTGAGCCGTCTTGATTCTCGAGCTCGGGACTTTCTCGGCACGAGGGGGTGTTGCACCCCTCGTGAGCCACAGTTGGTCACAAGCGTGTTGGGAATCCTATATTGCTCCAGTCCAAATCGACTCTTCGGCCGCTCTCCCCCAGCAAGCGTCCCCGCCCCCCTCAAAACGTCACCCGTTCGTCTGGAACAACCATCTGTCTTGTTTCCCCCGGGTATGAGAGGAAGTACGGCCGGATGGCTCACACCCACCTGTGCGTCATCAAGGCGTTGCAGCAGGAGCTCGCATCGACGCTAGCGCCTCTCCTCCCCACAGAAAAAATCCTCTTCAAAACAGCGCCTTATGGTTTGAACAGATATCCGTTTCCCGTTCCCCCCAGGTACGAAAGAAACTACAGCCGAACAATTTATGTCTCACCATTTTGTGACCAGAGCGAATTGGGGCATCAATGATAGCGCCTCTCTTCCCCAATAAAACGTTTTCTTGCCCCTCAAAAACATTGCGCGTGTTTCCCTCTTATAACAAATGTATGATGTGTTCCCCCCCAGGTACGAAAGAAACTATGGTCGGATGGCGCACGCTCATCTGTGCGTCACCAAAGCGATGCAACAGGAGCTCGCGGCGAACTGGGGAATCAACGCCACGGTTCTCTACGACCGGCCCCCCGCCTTCTTCCGCCCGGCCACGCTCGAGGAGCGCCACGCGGTCAGCATGACGTCATCTCAACCACTCCAGCTGTGTCCTTGGTTTGCGTTCTGCTGCTTGTCTTCGACTTGTTTGGATTCTGCGTTTGGGGGTCACCTCTCGAAGCGATTGGGTTGCGCGAGAAACTTACAAGGAGTGCGATATATGCACAAAACGAAAGCAGATTGAAAGGATCCAAACGGGAGGTGGAAGGAACTACAATTAGAAACGAATGGTCAAGAATTGATACGAAATTCTGCGTTCTGCCTGCAGCTATTCTTGAAGCTGAACGACGCGATCTGCCGCCCCCCGAGTGACGTCAGCGACTGTTGCGGGACTGGGTCGTCAGAACCGGGGACTTCGGAGCGGAAGGGCGAACAGGACGATTCGTTGGACGACTACGTCATTGTGCCTCCGAGGTGAGTAGCGTGCGCTCTTCTGTCTTCTCATTAAGGACTTGCTTGAAGTTGAAAAAGTCATGATGGCTCGCTTGTAAGTTGAAGAAGCCGATATACGTTATGTATGCTTATCTGGATTTGGCCAGCTGAAACGTGGAGAGAGATACAGAAGAGGAGCCAGGGCGGTGGAGTGCAAGTAAGGATTCGTGGTCGAAACCCTAGACGGAAACGCCGAAAAGGTTAATCGGATAAGGGAGACTAGGTTTGAGCCGATGACTCTCTTTTCCTCTCCTTCTGAGGCCCAGCTAACCCATCACCAAACCCACAACTCACAATTTCTCAACTCTACCCAAGTGTACGTTCTGACCCGGATCCACAGGGTTGAGAAGACCGTCACCTCTTCCCACCATCTTGGCAGCATTGTTTCGCCCGGCGGCCGACGATTTGCTTTCCTTATCGTCAAAAACCCCGTCAGGAAACGATATGAAACCAGATTTAACCCGATTTCTGACCCCGCTTTCCAGGGTTGAGGAGACCGTGATCTCTTCCCACCACATGGGCAGCATCGCTCCCCCGTCTTCGGACGGGGATGGCGCGTCGTCGTCCGGCGGATCTTCGGACACGGTGTACGAGGAACAGGGGATCGCGCTCAAGCCGGACCGGCCGGCCGTCATTGTGAGCAGCACGAGCTGGTGAGAATACGCCCCCAATCGACGCCCCCGATGATTGCTGGTTGTAGTGGGTCTCCATGAGAAAACTCCTTCACAACAGGATGGGTTTTGTTTTTTTTGCAACAAACAGATACAACCAGGAGATTGCGCAAAACATCAAATAGGTTGAGAAGATACGTTGTTAATCGGCTTCTTCAATTCAGGGCTACCAGTGAAGTCCCCCCGACTGCTCTCGATATGGTCCCAATATGCCGTTTGAGCTCTGTTGTCTAGTCCCGTCACAACGTCCGGCTCTTCTACCGAATTGCTTCTTCTCGATCATTGCCGTAAGCTGGAAAGCGGAGTCTTTTTTGATCGCCTGAAAGGCAGAATCACGTGCAATCTCGCAGTTGCCTGATCCACAAGTCCAATATTCGGCATTTCAAAATTCCGTGTGTAACACCGAACGAGGATTTTGACGTCCTGTTGCAAGCGGCGATGATGAACAAGCTCCGAACCCCTTACCCATCTCCTTCTCGGAATGTTTGTTATCTGTCGAAGGCCCGGATCTCCTGTGATCTTCCTACTTCCTGAATTTACGTGCCTTTTGCAATTTTTTGCAGGACACCCGACGAGGACTTCGACGTCCTATTGCAAGCGGCCATGATGTATGATCTTCGAGCGGCCAAGCTGATGGGGGACAACACGCCGGGCGAGCCGTCGACCGCTGGATCGCAGCGCTACCCCCGCCTGCTCTTCCTCATCACGGGTACGTCATCTTTTCAGATCGAAGCATGCGAAAGGAAAAAAGAGGAAAACCTGAAGCATTCTTGGTTCGCCGCCTGCTCTTACTCATTATGCGTACGTCATCTCAATCAAACAAAAGGGGATGGGAAGCAGAGGACAAAGAACACAGCGTTATCATTTTCCAACCGCCTCTTCATCATTACGAGTGGGTCATCTTCCTAAAAAGGAGGATTTCCTGGGGGAAAAGCGTATGAGAAGAAAACATGTGAACCATAGTGGGTTCCCCACCTCCTCTTCGTTGTTACCGGTACGTCATCTAATCGGAACGGAGAGTTGGGGTGGGAAAGAGATCAGAAGCAAGACACAGAGTGTTACGGGTATTTCCGACTGCTTTTCCTTATTGAGGATATTTGTCCTGATGTAACAAACTCTGGTGATGCGAAGGACATGAGGAGAAGGAAAGCAGGGAATATCTCGCTTTGTGAGAGTGCAACTGTGCGGGCGGTCAAGTTGTGGGTCGCCAATGGCCACTCTGACTGACTGTATCTTTGACGTGAGAATCCTCGACCTAGTGTTTGAAGTGTCTGCCCTGCTCCGAAGTTTTGCTCGACGTGTGCAAAGATTTATTGTAGACTGATGCTTTGATCTTTGAATCTTTGTACTCGCTGGGGACTTCTTGGCATTGACAAACGAAGTCGGTTTCAGAGGTCGTTTTCTTTTCTCTTGCAATTAGGACAGTGGTGGCATTTTGGTGTTCGATAATCTGCAGAAGCTCGGCAGCGAGTGGAGGTTGAGCTTAGCTCCACCCTCGGTGCATTCTTTCTGCTTGTCGGGGAACGATTGGGTGTAGTCTTTTATCAACCCAGCTTTACAGGACATTCTGGTCTTTCACATCCTTTCATCTGACCCTTTCCCTCCCCTTCTCCCGCAGGCAAGGGCCCGCTGAAGGCGCAGTTTGAGGAACGCGTCGCTAAGCTGCGCCTCAAGCGCGTGGCCTTCCGTACGCTCTGGCTCAGCTCGGAGGACTACCCGCGACTCCTTGGTGAGCCTTCTCTAGTTCTTCCTTTCCCACTCCACTGCTCCTCTGCATTGGACTTTGCGCTGTGCACTTTGCGCTTCTGCCTTTCATCTTTCTTTGCTCGCGGCCGCTTGGTGAGCCTCCTCTAGTTCTTTCCCTCTCCCGTCTCCTACTCCTCTGCTTTGCGCTTCCGCCTTTCTTTCTCTTTTCCCTTTCTTCCGTTTCACTTGTAATTCTGCTTTCTACGTGCGCCCGATCTCTCGCTTCTTCGGCAGCTGCTTGGTGATCATTTCTGGGTGAGACAACCCCTTGCCTAACGACCCCTTCTTTTTTCTCAAGCTTCGCTGACCTCGGCGCCTCGCTACATATATCTTCCTTGGGCGTGGACCTGGCAGTAGTACTCGAAAGTTTTCTGATTTCTTCGCAATCATTTCAGAATCGGACATTCCTGAGACTTCAGTGTACCAAACAATCCCTCGATTCTCCACTCTGCTGCCCTGAGTGTCTCGCTGCACGCGTTCTCCCCCGGGCCGGATCCTCTCGTAAAATTGGGTTTGGTTATGTTTGCTTGAAAACCCCAATAAGCTTAACCCTCAAAATGCAAGAAACCTCGACCTCCGTTCCAACAGGCGCTGCTGATATTGGCGTGTCAATGCACACGTCCTCCTCGGGCCTGGACCTGACATCAGGGTTTTGAGTACGCTTGGATATGACTTCCCTGCCGATTATCTCTGGGACTCGGTTGTACCTAACGAAGCTCGTTCCTCTCTATACTCTGCTGACCTCGGCGTCTCGCTGCACACGTCGTCCTCAAGTCGGGACCTGCGCATGCCAATGCTGGACATATATTGCCATCCCCAGAGATCCTCGACAAGAAAAGTTCCAAACACTTATATTGCCAATCTCTTGCAGGCTCTGCTGACCTCGGCGTCTCGCTGCACACGTCATCCTCTGGCCTGGACCCGCCCGTGAAGGTGGCGGACAGATTCTGATACGTTGACCTGCAATTTCCACACCCGGAATAAGACCCTTACCGACTTGACAACTCTCTTTCCTTTCCAGGTTCTGCTGATCTCGGCGTCTCGCTGCACACGTCCTCCTCGGGCCTGGACCTGCCGATGAAGGTGGTGGACATGTTTGGGTGCGCGCTCCCCGTGTGCGCGCGCGCCTACTCGTGCATCGGCGAGCTCGTGCGCGACCGCGAGAACGGCCTCCTCTTCTCCGCGCCGACGGAGCTGGCGGACCAGCTGATGGAGCTCTTCCGAGGCTTTCCGCAGGTGGGGCGTTACAAGGGTTTTAAAGGTACTATTGTATTATAGCTTTTGAGGGTATTAGGGTCGTAGAGCTCTTCCGGTTTCAGTGTCTCAAAAAGCTGTAGCGTTGAGGTCTTTAATGTCCTATGGAGTTCAAGTTTACAGACCCCGGAGATGGAGAGCGGACTAGCTGTGGACCTTTTCCGAGGTTTTCCACAGGTGCGGTTGAGTATTCCAAGAGTTTCAGCTTGAGACCTTCAGGGTTGTGTTAGGTTCAGGCGTGCGGATCACTGTTGCTGACCCGGCGTGCTCTTACAAGTACAAACGGTCTCGCTCTTTTCAGCGCGCTCGGAGCTGTCCACCTGCTTTGCAATTCCAACATCTGGAGATTCCTGGATCCGTCTCATCAAATTTTGGGGATGAAGCTCTGACATGATTTTGAATCCGCACGTCAGGGCAATGGGCGTCATTTCCCGCCCCTCAGAGCTCCTGGACTAGAGAAGTGCCACGTGTCAGCGGACTCCGTTTCCAGCAAACGCAGATTGCAACGTGTCACTTGACTATTTGCCCTCTTTTCATCGCAGAGCGGGGGCGAGCTGCTCAAGGGCCTGCGGAAGGGCTCAGCGCAGAGCAGGGCTGTCGGTTGGCAAGAGGAGTGGGGGAAGCGCGTTCTCCCGCTCCTGGAGGGTCTCAAAAGAGCGTAGTTCGGAAAATCTCGGAGGGACTATCTAGTGGGCGCTGTACTTATGTTGACTCGAAGCTCGTTTGAGGGCTACTGTATGCGAAGGGCCTGCTTGGCAGTCGTTCAAATAGTTGCATATGTGTGGTTCGTTAGTTCGGAGTACGGTCGGTTATGGGACCATTGTATATGTATGTCTAGGTTTACGCAAGGCTCGCTCGTAGGTGCTTGTTTGGGTGGGGCTGCCCAACTTGTAGATTGCTCGAATGGGTTCGAAGCTTGCCCTCAGTGTACAAAACAACACCACTAATGCTTGAGGACATCAGGCAGATCGTATTGGTTGGATCGACCCATGTCACTGTTGTGCCTGCAATGAGGGTTCGCATCGACCCTAATAAAAGCAGCAAAAAAGCTGCCACCTTTCTGAGCTTGTGTCATTTGAAATGTTTAGTAGATCCACGTAGTGGAACAAACCAAAAGCTACGGTATTTTGGCCTGAAAAGTACCGCACGATCCTTAGCTGGGCCGGGTGTGTATTGGAGGCCTAACCTTGTCATGGCAAGCGATATCCATGGCATTTCTTGCCAATGAGATTGCGTTACCGGTTTTGCTGCTTTCGGAAACTGATGACGGCGATGCACATGAGCTCGGGATCGATCTGCCCAGCTGCAGATTCGTTGTGGATTGCTCATGATGTTTATATGTCCCAATGCTAACGGTCATATATCTTGGGTCGGCAAGCATGGCGGCCGGAAATTATATTGAATACTCACAAGCAACCTACGGTGGGTATCGGCGGTCTCGATCGCGCGACGATCCGGTCACAAATTTGAATCACCGGTGTGTCGCGTCGCGACAATTACTGTACGCGGTACTGACGACCGTGCAGACCGGTACTTGAGAATCCGGTCCGAGTTCATAAATTAGAATCTGTCTGACATTCCGATCGTCAGAAACTTCCGGAGTTTCCGGCGGTACGGTACCGATCAAGTCTGACCGTACGTGAAATTTGAAAATCATGGTTTCGATCGGAAGTTCCGACTCGAACCACCCTAGAGTACCGCGGTACCTAACTTGAAAGGAGAGTGCAGAAGATGGAAACGGGAGTGTAGGGAATGGCGCTTTTTAGAAGCAAGCAATGGCGGCCAACTTTGCAGCCACGATGGTGCTTCTTCCGATTTGTCCTCAACATAACAAGATGTTGGAGCTTCGAAGGAGCCTTCATGACGCTCTCCCAACATTTTTTTCTGCTTGTCAGAGGTTTTTATAAGCTGCATATGGCTCTTCTTTGCGTGCCAATTTGATGCTCCTCTCAAAGTGTAAAACCTGACACTGTCTAAGAATCTCCTCACACTTACTTACGGCCCGGCAAAATTTTTCTGAGTATTTGTACCGCCCGAGTAACATAAACCTGAGTAGCCGTGACGCGAACCGCCGGTAACACTGACGATATTCGATACGCGCTAAATCGATTTTGTGGCGGCCGGAGTCGGAATCGACTCGGCCGGTACCCACCATAGGTAGCTTGTGCTGTACATTATCGAATTATTGCAAACCTGAGGGGGAAACCAGGCCGTAATTGAATGATTGCAATTGTGCTAGCCAATGTAAGAATCGATCTTTTGCGTGTACGTCATGATCGACACATGCCAAATAAAACTTACGTATGACCGCCCTTGCCGAAATATTGGCCGTCTGCGCGCACATGCGTAATTGTAACGCGTCGTAAACTATCTGCGCCCAGTGCACACATGTGGCAAATTCAAAACCTCATCCATTGTCTCAGCTTGCCGGTCGAACCCCCGCGTGCGGCCGCAGCCCACCAACGTTCGAGGCGGCCTTAGTTGCCCGGCGCCATGCAGCGCAGCTGGTCCAGAAGCAGCCTTCAACTTGTTAATTCGGTACAACGCGGCGCGCCTAGCTAGCCGAAGCGTGTCACGGTGCCGCCCATGCATGATGGTAACTTCCAATTTATTATAACGCCCTTAGCCGCCATGGCCGTGGAGCACGGTCTTCGGCGCGGCCGGCCGGGAATTTGTTCTCTTTGCTCTGCAGCTTGCTACGCGGCTGCAAGTCATGTCCATAATCCTACAACCTACATCATGCAACAAGGAAACTAGCGGCGAGTATGCTAGCTACAGACTCGTGTAGCCATGTGATCTTTGCGGTTCCAATAACCTTGCTAGCATGCAACCGACTACGGAGAACTTTGGAACTTACACAACGGAAGGCCTGTATGACTGCTTTCGACAACTTGTTCATAAATGGTTTTTGTGGGCCTGCCAGGCTATGCTAGAGCAACTCCTCGGAGCACTTTTAATATGCTCTAAATTAGGCCCCGGAACATGGAATATCGGAATACGGAATACCCATTTTTGGAAGCGGAAGAATCCGGAATACCCAAATTTGGGCCTTGGAATACTAGAATACAGAATACAGGGCTTTTCCGAGCATACCTAAGAGTACATGTGGCAAACAACGGCATAATACTTGACTTCGAAGTAAAAAGACTTCCAAAAGCATGCTTCGAAGGGAAGAAGATTGTAAAAGAACTCACACGACAAGCGCACTCCTTACGTACTAACCTTTCAAAATGTCAAAAGTCACATTTGCGAAACAGAATACAGAATACTTGAGCACCCTGGAATACGGAATACTGCCTTTTCCAAACCTTGGAATACAGAATACTGGGGGTCAAGTATTCCATGTTCCGGGGCCAGCTAAATGCCCCACAAATTGTTGCAGTAGTGAGGGCCCTCCGTTGCGGTCTCCGCAGGCTTATGGGTGGTTGGCCCAATGTCAGTGCATGCCTGCAGGTATAAGTTGCAATGCTTGTTGAACATGGGCCCGGTTAAAAACTTCCCGCATGGAGAAGAAGAAGGTCGGTACCATGAGGTGAAAAGAAACAGGTTGTGCTCACGTTGTGCTCTCGTTGTGCTGAACCAAATCATCATTCGAGGCATGCACTGGTGCACCGTTTGAGGCCGCGCCTGGCATGAGGCCGGGCGGGCGGCCAGGGCCGGGGCGGCCAGGGCCCAACCCAGCTAGAACCGGATTGCAACGTGGCCGTTCCGGCGTGTCACGGTCGTCCCCTGCATACTTCTCTAGAATATGTTTAGTAAGCTCAAGGTTTAGTAAGAACGAGCTAACACTAAAAACCTAAACCCAAATAATCACTCGCTCCGCACCCGCACCCACCCTAACCACCATACTAACCCTACCCGTCCCAGGCGTAAACATTGAGCTTACTAAACATATTCTAGAGAACGATGTCCCCTGCACCGTCGATTCGTACTGGCCTTGGCCGGTTTGAATTTTGAATGGAAGAGCAGCTGCAACTTGCAAATTTCAAGGTCCAACTGGTCCCGCCCAGTCACTGTCACAGCCAGAGTGGGTACGGTAGGACTCTAGGAGTCTAGGACTACGGTAGGAGGATGAAATCTGAAGCAATTCCTGAATTCTGAGCTTCCAAAGGCACGCCGCACGAACTTCGCTGGAGAGGTCAAACGGAGCTGGAACCTTGTAACCACCTGGTACTGCAATCAGGAACCCAGGAAAGTGCCTTGAAGTTGATCAGGGGATTGGGACAGGCAATGTAGCTGTTGATCAACCTGAGAGTGCTGCGCTGCCATGAAACCTTTGTCACCCATACCGGAGCTCGATGAGATGGAAGCTGCAGAAGAAGCATCTGTGCTTCCTGCGTCAAAGAAGCAGAAGGCGGATGGTGGGTGCACAGCAAGCGGGGTGTGGAAAGGTTCCACACTGTCTCTGTCCAGTACTGGTCGACCTTCTTTGGGTGGTCGTCATCCGGCCCCAGGCCTCAGTCTGAGAAGCGCCAGTCTTGCAGGCGAATCATCCAGAAGCTGCACAGGAGTTAAGCCTTCACTTCCTGCCAGCAGCAGAAGGGTGCCGGTTGGCAAGGAGAATCAGAGCTCTGAGCAGAACCTACAAGGTGTGAGGAACAGCTATTGCCGCTGGAGAGGCCTAGTCCCCTTGTCCAATCCAACCAGGCGGCTGGCCCTGCTGCTAGCAGACGGCGTTCAGGAAGACAGCAAGCGCAGCGGACAGCGGGGCTGCTCAAGCAGTCAGAAGGGACTCGCAGAGCAGCCAGTGAGGCCACTCGAACCTCACAACTCAATAGGGGGCCTTCTATGACGGAGAAGGAAGCTCTGAACCCACAGCCTGTCAAAGCATCCACCGCTGCTGTGAGTGGTCCCCCTCTGACAGAGCGCAGCGGTCCGCTGGCAGAGGCAGACCCGACAGGAGACTCACTGCTTGAGACAGCTGACGGGACAGGGGCTGCTCAAAGCAATTGGGAGAGAGAGCCGCTCGAAGAAGGAGAGCGGCCTGAGGAGTACAAGGAAGAGCAGCTCTGCCTGTGGGACCGCTTCGGTGGACAAGACATCCGCATCTTCGTTCCGCGCAGTCTCTATTGTCAAGGTAAGGGCACAGTCATTGGCTCATGCATTTTACCATAGTGCTTCTTGAGTGGGCAACAGCGTTGGCGATCTCTCTGCTGACTAACCCAAAATGCAGACAAGAGGACACAAGGAGGATTTTCATTGTGTGTCTCATTCATGACAGCTCTGACTGACTCTGTCTCACAGCATGTTCAATGACTCCTGACTCCTTGACTGAAGATACGTCAACTGTTCTTTTCGGGTTCCCCTTCCCAGTAACTGGGATGGTGTAGATTCTTGCGGGCATGTCTCTTGGGTGAAACCAGCCTATCATACCTGATGTCTCCATGTCATGTCGTGCAGAGACTGAACCCACCGAAGAGGTGCTCACTCAACGCGTCTCAAAAGCCCGCCCTGTCCTACCTGATCTGAGCAAGGCGATTGGGGCACGTTCGGTGCAACGGAGCACAAAGTATACGCTTGGCCAGGTTAGCCCCACCCTCATCTGCAGCGACAGGATCAACGGGTACACTTGATTCTAGGCACTGTCTGTAGTGCACTTTCCGCGTTGCTTGTCAGCAGGCGCTGCGAGGAGAATTGCTGAAGTTCCACCAGTCACAAAGCTGCGCGCTCCTGTCCTGCAGATAAATGTCGGGGACAAGAAGGTGGACTTGACATCGTTGAAGCAAGGAGACGAGTTCCTCGGAACATTTGGCAAACCTCAGCATGCGACAGCTGCGAGTCAGCTTAGAGCTCATCTGAAGGATGTCCCGAGAAAGCTGAGAGAGTGAGTATGTGGGCGATCCTCAGGCAACCTTTATTTGCAAATAGGTATGGCACCATGCTACATATGCAGGTGGATCCTTTGCACGTGTCTTTCAAGGGTCCTGGATGCTCTTCACAGGGAGAAGAAGTGTTCTTGAGGTGTCTGCCTGAGTGTGCAGAAGGAGCTGCGCATAGATGGCCTTTGCAGGGAGCTGTTCACGTTGCTGTAAAGCCTTGGAAGCAATTCTGATGATGAGCACCTTTGTCCAGGCTTTGACGCCAAGCATGGCTGAGTCTTATCTGCAAAGTGGCTGGCCTACCAACCTCTTCCTCATTCTCATCACAAACGGTTCACCAGATCCAATCTGAATAAGAAAACACAACATCTTTTCCTTCTTGCAGGGGGCTGCTACCCTCAGAAGGGCCAGAAGAGGAGCCGGACCCAACGGTCGTCATCAAAATGAGCAAGGACTGCATAAAGCTCAGAGAGAGGATCCAGACGTTCGGCATCACCGAACCAGACACCCCCGTGGACTTCAAGAGGCAGATCGAAGACAAGACTCAGTACATTGAGGCAAAAAGCACCAGGTTCTGCGCGGTGGGGAAGCCAGGAAGCCGCAAGAGCCTTACCTGTAACAGGTACGAGTCTTCAATGAGATAACAGTGCACATCTGTCACCCTTTTCAGGTTTTCTTTATTCTATTTGCAGGATAGCAAGGGCAGCATATACAAGGAGGAGTTGACTTGGACATGTTTGGACCAGATTTAAAACGACCACCTCGTTTTGCGCCTCTTTTTACAATTGCAAGGTGTCTAGCTGTCAATGGAATCGGATGAATTTTTCCTCCGTGCTATAAAAGTAGGCACATATGCTTCGAATAACGAAACCAAGCTGTCAATCCCTGGCAGATGCGACATCCCAAAGGTGCTTTCGCATTCTGGCAACATTGACGGCAGAGATTGTGTTGTTACAGTCACTAGGTGCGGTCTTCGTTTCTAACTGTTCCCTTACTTATCTTTCAAAGGCATGCTTTGCATATCTGAGAAGCTGGCCCTCAATAGCACCGCTCCTGAAGTCTTTATTTCCTACAGGCTTGCTGGCTTTCCTGGTGAGAGGGGTCCTTTCTTCTATTGCCCCGAAACCCGAGACCACGGTACAAAAATCACAACCTCGATCCTCAAGACAGCTGAGCCTGGGCTACACGTCCGTACACTTCTGCGTCGGAAGAGCGTGTACGAGCAGCTTGTGGAAAGGAGGTTCAAGGCTGGGAGTATCTCGCCAGAAGAGCTGCGAGATAACTATCACTGCAAGGTCATGGAAGGGCCTGAGGGCAAGGTAAGGTGGCAACTAAGACGATATACGAAGTGGTTGACAGGAAGAGATATGAGTGCAGGCTCAAAGGCCGTTTGAGACACATAACGTGACTAAATCCAGTAGTCTCTTTAAATAACCCAAAAGGCTTTATATTGGTAGTCGAGGTCCTGATGCATTTACTTGAGGCAACTCGTCTAGGCCATTCACTGAAGCAGATCGGGATTGGCTGCAGCCGTGTCTCTTGCGAGGATGCAGCACTTGGAAATGCTTCAGCCGTTTCTAATACAGGACTGACCCACTCTCCCCTCTCTTAACTTGAGTTTAAGTGCTGGCTTAAACTTTGGCTGCGTTTTCACAGGTGCGATGGTCCTCCCCGGACCAGCCAATGGCGGTTCGTCCAATCGAGGAAGTGATTCCTGGCGTGAACCTGCTCGTCGATCCTGTGGAAGGGGCACATATGTACTCGAGCGGCCTCAGCAACTACACTCCAGCTGAGCAGCTCATGATTGCAGAGGTCGAAATGTCTTCCAACGCGTGGCCAGGCTTGGATGAGGGTCAGAAGCTAGTGGACGTAAGTCATCTCAAATTCGAAACGAGACCGCTATGGCTCTGTCATTATCCTACTCCTCATTCATCAAGTTTCCAGGTCATTCTGCGCAAGCGAGGGACCTATCTGGTGAAAACGGGCGATTGCCAATCCCTTCTCAGCAACCACTTTGTATGGGTTTGCAACTCCGCTCTCAGTCCTCAGCAAGCAGTTTGCAGGAATAGTGTTTTGGAGTTGAAAAGTTTACAAAGATGCATCCTTCTCAACGAATGCATGTCAGCGTTTGATCCCCGGAATCGGGCTCAATTGCTCAGTTGCTGATTCTGCTGTGCAATGCTCCCTGGTCCAATGTCACCATTACAAAGCTCTTTCTTTGGTTGCAGTGCGTTGGCTTCCTCGAGGCGCAAGAGGGGCAGTCAGACTTCAGGAGTGTGACGGACGACATCGTTCGTGAGGACGTCAAGGGCGCTAACGTCATCATACCCTGTACCAGTGACCGTGTGCGCACAGAGGAAGACGGCAACCTTCTCGCTAAGCTGGGCCTCTTCGATGGCACACCGGACACCTTCCCCATCTTAGTCTGTCCCGACTTGCCGAGCGTCCTTTCGTCACTGGAGGTGAGGGCTGTCCTGTTCGTGACCCATTTGGTCGGACACAAAGTGCGCAAGATGTGCACCGGATTCTTCCCCTCAACCGCTTGTGCGAGGTTCGTGAGTTTTTGGGTTCGTGAAACAGATGTTCCAAAGAATCCTTGGTACTATCATAGGCAAGCTTCATAGAAAACAACACTTTTCCTAATGTGAATTCTTTGCTTAGAATGCGGTCACTGATTCCGAAGGGTGAGTTGACCTCTATTTTGTGTTCTTCCAGAAAGTGCACGATGACAACGTGAACGCGTTAGCGGGCGCCTTCAAGAAACCGGAGCAGCTTGTGGCCCGAAATGTTCCAAACGTCCAGCATCTCATCCAATTGCAAGAGCCCATCATCCAGCATATCAGCGAGAATCTCTTTGTCATGCAGCCAGTCACGGCCCTTAACAGCCACGTAAGTCTTGCTGCCATCAAGGTTCAAGGAAGATTAACAGAGTCTCTAGGCTCCCCTGATCGTCCAATAACCTCTTATCATAAGCAAGAAGCCTGTTGGACGTCTAGCGTCCTTACATTACCTCGGAGGCTACTACGTAAAGGAGCATTCATGACCAGAGTCGTTCGAATATAGGGCCTTACTGCAGCTCCTATTAGTAGCTTTCTGAGATGTTGCTTTGCTGACGATGGCCTGCTTCGTCTCGGCAGAGGAGTTTTGATCTCATAAGAGCTGTGGCCTGCTGCTCCGAAGAAAGTTGATCTTTTGGATACAAGTTGAGATGCTTCTCGTGCAGGAACTGAAGGAGGACATCGCCAAGATGGTCAATAAGGCCCAGGTGGCTGTGCTCGTGCAGAGCATCTCCATCTGGATAACCTGGACTCTGATGAAGCTCAGAGCTTTCAAAGCGCGCTCGGTGAGGAAGTCCGTTCATCCGAGCGCTCGGGAATCCTTACTCTGTTGAAATTTTTGAAGGCTGTGCTGCTTCTTGCCCTGTTTATGCAGCTCTTGACAAACATGGGTTGCGGAGAAATTGGATCAAGAACGCGTCATGTCTGCATTGAGGCATCCGCCGAACAAGCACCAGCCTTTGCGTGCAGGCCGCCCCCGTCGCTCCTCGAGCTGAAGGAGCTACGTACGAGCTCAAGTGCGAGAAGAAGATTCGAGACGGGATGGGCGCATTCACAACCCAATTTGCGTGACTTTCCTCAATTCTGATTGGTGTTAGTTGCGCTCTTCATCCATGTCATTCGCTGCTTGTTATCTGCTAGCACCAGCATTTCAATGATGTTGTGACTTGCCTCCTGATTCAAAAGCAATAAAGAGCACAACTGTTTTGCGCTTCCACCCTCCGCCGTCCATTCGAGTCTCTCCCCTTCCAGGGAGACGATCGTTGGCCTTGAAGTGACTGCAAGCGAGCTCCTGGAGGAAGCAAGCAGGACTTACTTCGGAAACGTCTGGATTCAGTTGGAGGCTGAGGGAATTGAGGACATGCAGCAAGCGTTCGAGCACTTGCTGGAGAGGGGTGCTGTGTCCTCCGATAGCAATATCTACCAGTTCCTTTTCCAGGTAAGTAATCGTGAATTCGTCAAGTGTCTGGAGTTTTTTTTGTCAGATTAGATTTGTAGACCATCTTCGTTTGAGCTCGCATCTGTCAAGGGGCTTCGATGAAGCACTACCTGCCTTTCTACATGTGTCTTTCAAATGTCGCTAAGCTTCATCAAAGCCTCTGGACTCTGTTTCTCAATTCTGCGCAGCCTTCTCGATTTCGTATCTAGAGCTAGGAAATCGCCGTTCAGACTTAACGAGCTTTTGCTGCACAGGTCTTCGACAACGTCATTGCGAGGGGTCGCAAAGATCTGGTCGAGCACCAGAGTGCAATCCTAAAGGCTCTGATTGAGCTCAGGGACGGAAAGAAGAAGGTACGTAGTATGGCGAAGGACATGCTCACCTGGGTACTCGATTGGCCTGGACGGGAGGAGTTGAGCAACGCTACTTGGATTGATCTCATCTCGTTGTGTACGGCCTTGAGGGATGACGATTGGCAAGTCATAAGAGCAAGGGCATTTCCAATCCTTATGACACAGTAATGGTACAGTGTCTCTTTATCCGCAGGACCTAGGAAGTGAGGCAGACGCCTCCCTCTTGCAAGCAGAAACGGCAGGCAAGCTAGCAGTCGAGAGAGCTGCACAGGGCCTGAAAAATGGCCCGAGCGCCATGGAGGACGCAATCCAGTGGACGGACTCCAATCGTGAGTGCGCCCAGTCAGGGAGGGGGTGCGACATTCGCGAGTACATCAACAAAGTTTGCAAGGATGCAGTGAGGGAAGCTCTGACGAAACCAAGTAAGTCTTTCCGTTCTTATTGGTTCGTGAAAAGCAGAAAAGGCAATCGGTTCTCTTGTTTCCTGCACTTGGACACCTCTTCTTTGTCGGGTTATAGGGTCTTCCCTTAATAAGTCGGAGTATGCCTTAGAGCTTGGTAACCCTACTCTTCGTTCCAGCTTCGTGACGGCTGTCCTTACGACCTAGTGCTCATCCAAGCACTTGTAAAGGCTCTATGTAAGCATGGACAGAAACAAAGCAGCATTCAAGCAGATCTCGCGCGTAATATTCTCTTCCACTCTTAACCGATCTTCTGGTTATCTTCCAGTCCAGGATGAGGCCGAAGACCACTTCGTCTCTATTCTGAAGAGGTGTCTCTTGGAGTCGTCCGGGCGCACGCGCTTGGGGCTAGTCAAGCCCCTCGTCTTGAGAATCCTGGAGTGGGCTGAGACTACCTACACCGACTTCCTGATAGAACACTGCAAGAGAAGCCTCGAGATGCTGAAACCAGATTTGGATGCAAAGCGACCCGTCGGAGGAGGACAGTTGCAGGGCGTCGTGAGCGATCTTGCTGCGGTGGCAAAGGAGGTGAAGGAGCAAGCTATCAAGGTCTCGAACATGTAAGAGCTCTCTCTTTGCGCGTGTGGCTGATTAGCTGAGTTCTCCGTTTGGCCGTCCTTTAGCTGCAGTCGCTTCTTCCCTCTTCACCGTTGAGCTTACACCCTGCTGTCTGTCAAGCTGCCAGATTCACCAACAGTCGACTTTGGTTGCGAATCACTCTTTTAACAAGAAGCGGGTTGAGCAAACGGTTACCATTGTTGTTCTTCTTTCACTCATAAGGAGACCTAAAGTGCTTACTTTGGCCATAGCGCAACCTGTGCGGAAACCAGCCTTTCGACTGTGCGGTTCGATTTGTCAAACTCCATTAGGCTTTGCTTTCTCTTGCTTCCAATGTCCAGAGGAACTACTTAACAAGCTTGTTCTAGAAAAGTTCGATGCACGAGTGTTCAGATTCAGTCTTCATGCAGAAAAGTAGCAACTGTTGTTCCCAGGGCGACACACAAGAAGGCGTACGAGGAGCAGGCACTCCCCAAGCCACTCATAAGGAAGCCACAGACGAGGGACATTGCTCAGGGCAGGTACGGTTCACCTTAGGCAGCAAAAGTAGAAACAGACCTTGGGAGGACCTACTCTTGTCCTCCAAAGCTTGCCAAGACCATTTTTGAAGCTTTCCTCATGCTTTTCATTGCTGAGAGACTTGGACGTTTCTATCCGGATGTGTGCGCATATATCCAAAAGCTTCGCGAAACACTTCGTGCTTTTGGTCCCAGACTTAGGTATGTGCACATGCTGGTGACTTCTCGAGTGCAGCGGCCATTGACAAAATGGCCCTAGGAACCAGATTTTCTGCACTCTGATGTTCCCAACCGCTAGTCACTCTAGGCGTCCATTGCTGAGCTCAATGTCGATTTCTGATCTGAGTGCACTCATCTGCAGTGTCAAACTCCTCCCGGAGGTCGACTTCCAGCAGATCGAGGTCGTCAAAGTTCCTGGCCTGGAGATCGCCCTCTCGGATCTGGTGCCGGAGCCAGCAGCGATGGGAAAGCAGGTTGTGACCGGGAGGATGGAGGTCGGTGAAGATCTGCTTCCGATCGTTGACGCATACAACCGCGCCACCACCAACGCAGTGAAGGAGCGCGGTGCTGCCGGGCCTAAGACCACTGACCCTCCACGTGTCGTCTTCTACCCGTCGGAGGTGAGTAGAAGCTAGCTCTTGAGCTTCGGAACACACGAAACGAAACAAAGAGAGCATACGATGGCTCACCGTTCCGTGCATCCTTCGATTTTAGTGTTCACTTCTTCCAAGACAACCGTTGCTGACTTGCTGTTGATTTGTGCCTGAAGTTGTGTTCTTTCCGCTTCTGTAGCTTCAACCGGGGCAGAGGGACAGCAGCGTCCGGTTTGACTTCCGTCCGAGCCATCCACAGGGCATCGGTCGCACCATGTGGAGCCCCATTTCTTATGTCGTATGTCGGGAGAGCGAGGTGAGATGGTCGGTGACACCATACACGTGCTGGCATTAGGGATCTGGGCAGCAAAAGTGCATGAGCACTTCGACAAACCAGCAACTCTTGAACTTGTGTGCTGCACTTACCCGTGCTCTGCCTGCAAAGTTTAGCTCGTTGTCTCCGTTCATGTCAGTTCTCTGTTTTTCAAAAATTCAAGGTTTGTCATTCGAATTCCTTGCTTCATGAAAAGCTCAGCGTAGCTTCTGACAAATGCCTCACTTGACGGTCCCTTCTGCTTCAGGCTGAGAACCACCGCCGTCTCCTAAACGGAGTCGAGGGCACTACCCTTGTCACCGTCCCCAACGACAGCAAGAGGCACGTGTACTACTCGGCTGCTCAAATCGTGTACTGGCTCCTGCACAAGCCAGACTTGGAGGAGGGCTACGGCAGCTATTTCCTCATGCCGAACAACGTCGAGGAGATTATCGAGGTCTCCCCGAAGTCGTTTGCGACACAAGGGTCCAGTCTCCAGCGGTGGAGCACCTTCGCGCAGCAGGCAAGCTTGTAACTCTATCGTTCTCTTGGAGCAGACGACTTACAAGTCTGCTTAAGTTTGTCCTTGATGAGCTTGCAATGTCGAGGGGTGCTCCTTCCGTCCCGCTGCTCTGTCCGTAAAGTCGGCCTAGAAGTCGAGCTGTCTCACGTACGGCTGAAGCTTTCGAAAGATTAGATGCTCGACTACAGCTGGTCTACACTTTGATGTTACGCATTGTTTAACAGGTTGCTTTAGCTTGTCGATTACTGGCTGGATATTTGTCGACGATCCCGCTTTTGGCATTGAATCAGACGTCAAGTCGCATAGGGGTGATTGAAATAACAATGACAAAGGGAAGCATGAGTGCAGATTTTCGATCATGAGCGACCCCTGTCTCCGTACGAGCACAAACTTGTGGACCTCGTCTCTTTCATAGAACCCTATCTAGACTGAGACCCTGGCGAATCTGTCAGGTACTGCATCAAGAGCGACAGCGGAAGGGGAGGGCCTTGCTGGCCTACATGTCGGTGCTGTATGGGCCCTTCCATCTGGCGCTGATGGAGGCGCTGAACGCAGACAATAGCGGGGAGATCGTAAAGGTCATGGGGGCATTCGGGGAGCTCTTCCCTCCAAACCACAAGCGCCTAACCTTCCCGAAGTGAGTGCTGTCCTGACAAAAGGGGTCCCTTTTCTCCACCTGAGTCAAGTCAATATTTTGTCCCAGCTCTGAACTGCAAACATTCTCTGTCAAAACGATGGTCACGACAACACAATATGTGGGGTGCAGTACTTGGAAATAGGCACAATCTTCTGAAGAAAAGGAACCTTGTTAGCTGCTGGATTGCTACGTACACGCCAAATCCCGGAGTTTTTCTTCATTCTGATTGCAGTGCATCTCGTAGTTTGGATCGAAAAAGTGTGAAGCCTGACAGGCGTGGTTGCCTGAATTGTGAGGGGTCGGTGCAAGGGAATGCTCAAAACGTACAAAGAATCCTCTACCAGATAGAATGTTGACTTCTCACGAGTTCCTTTGCTTTTTCCCGGGTCAGCGATTGAACCTTCGCAGGCTCCATCTCTATAGCGCTCTTTCCGTAAAAGCTTTTCAAGACCCAGCAAAACCACTTTTCTTGTGTGACTTCAGGTCCGAGATAGAGGACCTGGTGAGAACGTGCAAGGGCCCCCATACACGGGAGCTGCTGCAGAAGATGCTGCAGCATCTTGAGACTACTGTGGGCGTGAGCTGCCACCTGGCTCGCTTTGGAACGCAGACGTTAATGTCGGACGCTTATCCGGACAACGTTTTCCAGCCAAGGACAGCAGCGCCCGCGACCACCTTCTGGCTTGTCGACGCCCGCGGAACGGCGGTCGTCTCGCCCCTCCACGTGGCAGGCTTCAACCAGAGCCCTCACGAGGACTTCCTCCCGTGCGCACGGCGTTTGTACAAGCCGTTCGACGCACTCGGATGGCGCAGCCTGGCAACCCCGACCTACCACTGGAGGCAACTGCGGCAAACCTACAACAAACCCGAGAGCGGTAAGACATCGTGGAGGATTGCGTACCATCAGCTTCTGAAGATAAGGGCTTGAAGACTTTGACGGATTGAGGCCCTATTCTCATTAGCGGCGGACGGCACAACAATTTTTAATCTAAATCTTCTGATTGGCTCCGGCGAATGTGGAAAACTTCTACCGCGCTTCCACTAGCAGTTGTGCCGGCGGAACTCGATAAAAAAATGCTTACGTCAGCGGCACAAAAATATTAAAAAGTTCGACCCTTGTGCCCCCTCGGGTCGAACTCCTATTTTTCTGTGCCGGGCAACCACGTGGTTGAACTGGCCACTCACAGCCCGAGGTGCTAGATTCTGGCGCGCCAGGGCTGCAAGTTGCAACGTAGTGATGACTGTGCACAGGAGGCAAGCACAGCAGCTGTAGGATAGCCTGTAGGGTACCTAGCTGGTCTTTTGCCTGCTCGGGGTTTAGGGTTTTGCATGCCAGCGTGGCAATTCCCGATTTTGTACCAGGACTTGTGCCGTGGTGTGATTTCACTTGCGGCCGGCACAACTTCACGCTTTTCGCTTTTTTGGGCACTTCCGGGCAAGTTCCGGGCAAAAAAGGATTTATTAATTGTTGTGCCGTCCGCCGCCAATGAGAACAGAGCCTGAAACCACTACAGCAGAATCTCGAGCACTGCCAGATTAGCAGATTGTTGAAGTTGGTCGCTTTTACCCTCGAGGTTGCGGGGTACTACTTGCGCCAAGATCTGATGGCAGGTTAATGCTCGAGGCCGCTAGAAGATCCAGAGCTGCTCGAGCAAATCGCGGTGCCCTCTCCTTCCTACACTCTGTCTTTGTCAAGGGCCAGTGTTCGGATCTCTCCTTTCCTTCCGCAGGTTTCCTCTACAAGCAACCCGTTGACGCCCTGAGCTTGACGAAGATTGAGAAGGCTTTGAGAAATCAGCCTACTCTCAAGAGCTTCTCCAAACCGGAGGGCGCTCTTGCTCTAGAGGCTAAGCTGCCCGCTTCGAGGACGGTGTTGCCCTCCGCCGAGAAGCTGCGTGACTCGGGCGTGCGGGGCAACGGCCTTGCTCTCGCTATCGTGTCATCTGCGCTCAAACAACAACCTCGCACGCTGAGGAGTCAGGTCGGCGCTCATGTGAAGAAGAAGTACGCGTCCCTCAAGCTTCCAAGGGTGACCTCGCCAGCAGAGGCCGGGCAGTGGGCAAACGGTGAGCGGTTCTTTGAAGTCCGCATAGACTGGTTGTACTCTAGGCAGCACCTCCTGTTTGCGTTGGCTTAAAGGAGTCAGCTCCTTTGCCGCTGTTCAAAAGGGGCTCCTTTCACCATCTCGCTTGCGTTCAGCTGTCCTTCTACGGGACTCCTAATACACTCGCCCTGCGAAAGCATATTCGAAGTGCTGCCTTTCCTTCTTTAGCGAGACTTCTTGTGTTTAACCGTCGCGGTCATCGTCCGCCGAATTTCAGTGTGCGCGAAACTGCTGATCTCGTTTTCCCGGGCTGATGAAAAGTGAGACACTTGGTGCAGTAGGTTCGAATGGAGCACATCTGCAGGTGGTCCCTGCTTTCTACAAAGCTTCTGAAGCCCATACAGCCGCTGCTTTAATGCTCAATGTAACGGTTGACTCTTTTAATTTGCAGAGCACGCGCAGGAGGGCTCAGGCCTGGAGCTCGACTTCGTGCATGCGGCAGCCAGCTGCAAGGGCATCAACTTGGTGGTCGCTCTCGTGAACAAGGCCGGGCAGCTTCGGTACTACCAGGCCATTGGCGATGACAAGAAGCCGGAGGTGTCGTATGTGTTCGGTTTTGCAGACGGCGTTTACAGCCCTATCGGCTGGCGGAAGGACGAGGACGATGAGTAGGTCGTGCCCAGGAGGAGTTGTGGTTGCTCAGAACAGTATCTGTAACTGAGCGGTTGTAAATTACGTCGGTTAGGGTCAGCTAAGTGTCCTTGTGGGTGTCGGTCACGTCTACCGCGCTGGTTTCGAGAGAGAAGCCTCGCAGTTGAAGACTGACGTCAGAACTGATCAGCGGTCGGTCTCACTTATTGCAAGGGGCTTGTCTAGTATGTACATTACCTTAAATGAACACTCGAGAAGATGTTTGTCAGGCTAAAAAATAGCGTCCTCCTACACCCTCAAGCACCGACTTTACAGTCTCGATGCAAGATGCAACCCTGCCCTATCACGTCCTCTGATTCAGAGAATGCACGTACCTATGTGCGTTTTCTTACCAATCTGGACTATGCATATCCAATTAGCTCAAATACATGCATGCGCTCACCAAATATACTCATTCTTGTGCCGCTAATGCAACGTGACCAGGACATATTCTAGATACACGCACCATGTTTTCAATTAACACACGGAACAGCTTGTTGACGCACGTTTTGTGCAGCTATCGCGGTGATGTGCCAGCTTTGAATACAGAGACTCACTGACATATCATGCGCACAAGCTTAGTATAGGTATAGGTGCTTATAAGGATCGATCGAGTGCAATGATCTGCCACATGTGGCATGATTGTCGTTTACCGTACCTATACTGTCCACACATGACGTACATGATTGACTAAGTGCATGCGCTGAAGGTGTCGGATTGAAGAGCATTATATAGAGCGTGCGTGCTACGTGACCACGACGGAATTTGTTGCTCAGCTTGCGTCATTCGACTCCAGAGCTCGTGAAATCTAGCGATCAAAAGCCTTTCTGAAGCAATTTTATATAACCGATTTGTGATGCGTTGACTTGCTAACAGGGGTACCATTCAATCTACACTATTATAAACGTTGATGTAAGACGTCACGGATCCAAGTCTACCGTCAACATGCTGACCGCAACGTAAGCGCATACCCAGGTGGCCCTTCTTCTACTCACGTAAATTGCTGTCCGACCGGGCTTCGTACGCTTGCGCGGTCCGTCGCCTGGTCAGCTCGGGGCAGGCCTCTCCCAGGGCTCCCGCTGACGTCACCATAAGCTGGAGAGCACACTCTGACGCCCCCCGAGCGGTCAGCGACATGCCCAGCTCGAAGACACGTGTCCACCCGTGGCCGCGAGCGCGCACAGCGCCAATTCCCTGAAGCCCACTGGCAGGACCTCTGCCGCCGTTGCGTCCGAACCGTCGCTGACGTCAGGGAGAGCGCCCGCGAGGCTCGAGCAAGTAGGCCGCCTTGGCGAGACCGCCGGAGATGCCACGTGGCGCATCCGGACAAAATTCCAAATTGTCTGACGGGGTTCCCCTAGTGTCCTTATCTTCCCCAATGCTCGGGCGACTGGGTGCCCCGTTCGGAGAAGAAGGGCTTGCGCTACCGCTGCTGACGTCACTTGCGCTTTCTGCTGCCGTTTCCTCCAGGATTCCGAAACAGCGCACGCTGTTGCGGAGCTTTGTGACGGCCCCCGCCCGCAAAGCATGCTGGCCCGCCCTGCGCCGCCGCCGGACGTGTGAATGCCCACCAGCCCCGGGTTTTCACACCTGCTCCTGGAGGATCCTCTCCTGGCACGGGCGTCGCCGCCGCCGACTTGCTGACGTCACCCTTTGTTTTCTTGGTTTCGCGCCGGTGGACGCGCTCGGCGGCCGCGGGATTGTGAAGTTCGACTCCGGCCGCTTGACCTCGTTCTAGGGGCTGGCTTTCCCGCTTCCAGGAGCCGGGGTTTGCGCGGGTTTCATGTCGGGTTGCGCTGATTCCAGCGCGATGTTCAGCCGCTCGATCCAGGGCCCGTCGCGCGCGAACCACTCGCGCATCTTTCGAACGTCGCGGCTCCAAGCGGCCGCGAAAGTACGTATTTCTGGAGTGTTACTGCAGAGGCGATCCGACTCAATTCCAGCGCCGCCTGTTCTGGGCTCAGGGCCTCCTGTAGAACGGGGTCCTCAGCGGTCTGCACCGTGGACCCGCTCCGACTCTCGCTCCTTTTCCCGTCATCCTTAGCCGACGCTTTCTTGGTCAGCTTCTTTGCGCCCCCTCCTTTCCCTTTTGCCTGGAATTATCCTCCTGCACTTTTCTTTCCCGCTCAACATAACCCGGCCGCTTGTCCCAGGCCCTCACGATTCTCTTCCAACTCGCCGCCCCACTCGCCACCCGTTCGGTTTCCCCCCTCCCGCACTGCCCCTTCAACAACTCTCACGGCGAGCTCGAACGCGCGTGGATGGGCTGCGAGGTCGCCCTTCCGGGCGGCCCACGCCTTTTCACACCCGCCCGCAAGGTGTAAATGCACTCCCAGCATTTGAGCGGCAGCATCGGCGGGGGATCGGCGGAATCTTTCGACCGACAGCAAGAAAGTTATTCTCAAACGACGGCCAGTCTGGATCCGTCGGTAGTTTCCCTCTAGTAGTCGATTCTGCGCCTCTGCTTCTCGTCTCACCTTCTCCCCAGCCTCTTCTTTCCCCCTTCTTTCGACCCTATCGCCGCAGCAGAGCTTCCCGACCTGGGCGCATTTTCACTCTCTTTGGAGACGCTCTTTCTGTGGAGTGTGAAGACCCCCAGGTCCATTATTCCAACAGCTTTCACCGCCTCGACCTCCGCTGTAACCGCCAGCCTTTCGAACAGCTGTGACCTCAGCCCGGCCGCAACCTTCACAGCTCCTGACGTCAGCCCAGCCGTCTGATTGATCGTCGCCAACACACGTGGCAGCCGGCGAGCAGGGGCTGTATCGCCGGGCATTTTTCGGGTAGGTTCGCAGGGAGCGGGACCACCCGGTTGTAGAACCGGGTCACCGCTTTGTACACTAAAGGGGCGCATGTACACAGCGCCGCGGCCTGCGCCGCGATCAGCAGGCGGTGCGCTTGATTGTGGCGCTCGACTTGCGATGGAAGGAGCGAGTGCGGGGTTTGGGCGGGGTTTAGCGCGCGCAGCGGCCTGGGCGCGGCTTTGGACTCCATAAAAAGGACCTGGGTCGCGCAGGAAAAGAAGGTGACGTCAGTGGATTGGGCGACTGCTGCAAGCGGGACGGCTTCAGGAGGATAAAAGTTTAATGTATGTTTTTGATCTACAACACGACTCTCAATTTGAAGGAGGACTTAGGGTTGTTGGAGTTGATAAGCCTCAAACATGTTTCCACCTTTTCGAATAGAGGTGTAACCCACTGTGCACACGTCTAACTTTGCTCGCTGCTTCATTGACCGTGCGAAAGCTGGAGAGACGAAGTCAACTTTTCCTCAGTCCTGCCTCCCTTCTCTTTGTGTTTTCGAACACTTTGAAGTTTGGTGAGCAACATGCGCCTCCGCTTTCGTATGCTTTTCAAAAGACTGTTCTACTGACTGTGATCCTTGAAACTTTTGACTGCCTCTTTGACCCCGGGGACCACATAGCTACCAATCCTCACCTGGACGAAGCTTCTGAGCAGCGTGTGGGGCGCCCCCCGAGTCCCGCGTCTCCGTCGCCGTGAGCTGGTCGCCGAAAAGTCGCTCCACCCCGTCTTCATCCACTGCTACCTTCTCCACCGAATGGGCGACCACCGGCCGCGCCGCGGATAGCGCGTCTTTTGGGCACCCCACCCGGTGAGCGTCAGTGTCAGGTACGCTTGACACCGTAGTTTTGGCAGGGGTGACCGGGGGGTTGCTGGGCCCGACGGTGTCAGTGAGGGCGCCAGTCGCATCGTAGAAAGCGAGCGCGAAGATGTAGCGCTCGTTGGGCGTCAGGCCCGAGACGGTGATGACATCAGAGAGGGGGGCGCACGTGCCCGCCTGCAGATGGAAAGTCCGGTAGTGAGTTGAAAGCTACCCGCAAACCTTCGAAAAGTGATGGAAGCTTTCTTGGTGGTGGCCACAGAAATCGGAAAGGTTCATAAGGCGTTAGTCAGGAGACATGGAGGTACGGCAGCGATGCAGCGAAACCAGAAGCTTTTGGCCGAGTAGTATAACCAGATAAAAGTAGAGTTTCGAGCGGTGAAGCGGAAATCTATCATTCTCAACTTCTAGGGACAATCAACTTACGCACAGGCTACGTCTACTCTGCGTCGGATTTGGTTTGCCTTCAGGATAGGCAAATCTTAGCTCATACTACAAAGGAAAGATAAGGATCAGCACCTGTCCCGGGGGAAGTCTGTGTTGTGCAGCGAGACCCCCACTCCGCTCCCCGCGACCTTCCCAAATACCGCGTGCGCGACCCGCTTTCCGTCCGGCGAGTCCCTTCCGCCGGAGCTCTTTCCGCTCTCTGATCGGGCAGGAAAAGCAGCAGCGGGCCGAATGGTTACCGACACACTGGTCCTCGTCAAGATGAGGGGGCCCGGAACGCCTCTACTAAACTGGTCCCTTCGCCGGCTAAGGCCAGAGCGCGCGCGCTTTCCTTCAGGGCGCGCGCGTTTTATGAGCTCCGCCTGCGCCTGCTGCAGGAAGAGCGCGCGGTCGGCTTGAGACGGGCGCGTCACGGCGATCTGTGTGAGCGCGCGCGCGCGCTGGTAGGGGTTGGCGTTGCACTCTCCGCGAAGCTCCTTTTCGACCTGCGGATGTGGAGTGGGGAGGTTGAATTCTGGGGTACGAAGTTCCAAAAGTTCTGAAAAGTTCTGAAAATTTTAGAAGGAAAAACGTAAGTTCGCCCGAGAGAGACGGCGAGGTTGTTTGCTGAAAAAACCAACGATCTAAGCATCCAGCTCGTACCTGCAGACAGTGAATTACATCCTAATGTATGCTTGACCTGCCGCTTGAACAGGATTACTGCAAAGACTAGGAAGGAGGCAAACTTTCAACAGAACTTTCAGCGGCAAGCAGACCCCGAGAAATGGCGTCACAACAGCTGGTTCTCTTCAACAAGCAGAGCTCGTGAGATACCCTGACTGGTACGTGAACACAAAGTACAAGATCAACAGATCCTCAACGGAAGACTTCGGAGAAACGGGTGTTCTGGAGCCGAGTTGACGGAAGACTTCGGGGAAACTGGTGCCAAATGATTTATTCAGCCCACGCTGCACAGTTAAGTCTGCTTCCACCGAAGCTCGAATCTCTTTCGGTCTCCGACCCCTATGCACAACGCCAAACTGCAAATCAAACCGCGAAAAGCGAGGCAATGAGGAGCAAAGCGCAAGAGAACCCAAAAGCTATTGCAGGCAAAGCAAAACGAAATTGCGGAGAACAAGGGAAAAAATTTCGTGGCATAGCCCACCTTTCCGGAAAGCCGCGGCGGCCGGCCGACGCGTGTCAGCCTGTCCTGCGCCTCCTTCTTCCCCTTGAGCGTCATCGCACCAAAGATGCTCGACTGCTGCTCGCGCTTGCGCAGCGTGCTCTCCTCGCGGCTCAGCCGCGCAGCCGCCTCCGCGGCCTCCGCGTGCCCGCCCAGCCGCTGCAGAATATACCTGTCGGTTATTTCTGATTCGATGGCTCGTCAACTCCAACCAAGCCAGTCCCGTTGTCTTGATTCGGGTTCTTTCAATCCGCCACAGAAGAATGAAACTTCGTTTCGGAGAATCATCTGTCTAGCTTTAGTTCACACTCCACTGCTGGCCGACAATCTGACCGTCCAGTCATGCCACTGACGGGAATTTGGCTAAAGGGTTTCTCTTATGAGGATAAGCGGCTACATTTTGCGCCGAAGCGTCCGATGAATCTTGTACAATGACCATTTGCTGGACACCGACCTTCCGAGGAGTTGTAAGCAGTGCTCAATTGAGCCCCACGAGAAGATAAGACTTGTTTAATACCGACAGTGACAAGAACCGACCGGAGTCCGCCAGGGGATGCTAGCTGAGCTCTCAAACTTACAAGCCGCAGTTGGCAGTACGTCATCAGGAGGTCCACGTGGCAGCTCCTCAGCACCTTCTGCGCCTCGTCGCCCAGGCCGCCCTCCCGCGCCTCCGCCCAACTCGGGTCGCTGACGTCATCGTGACGCGCACTTCTTGCTTGCGGTTATGACAGCAACGCAGGTACTCATCACCGGTGGGCAGCTCCTGTGCCGCTTGATCTGAAATGATCTGCAAGCGCAAAATAAAGGGGCTTATTCCTCATAAATTCCAGGCCGAGTATCACAACCTATTCCGAGCGCAGGGTCTCCCAACATTGGGCAGCTCATGCGGCGCTCCATCTCTTAGACTCTGCAAGGTCCAAGCAAGAGGGCTTCGTTCTCATTCTTCCACAACTACAAGGATTAAGTATGAGTCCGTGATGTCGGGTCTAATCATTTACTTCAGAAAAGCAGCCTGTCATCCGGAGATACTCATCAAGTGGGCAGCTCCTACGCCACTTACTCTTCAAACAATATGCGGATCAACAACAGAACAATCAGCCTAAGGATGCTTGGATGCCTCTTCGGTGGTTCGCACATGCTGCAACCGTCCTTCTCAGAGCCTTTACTGCTGACTCATCAAGGTACTCTTCAGCTTTGGGCAGCGGAGATTCTCAAAAGCTCTCCTCATGGAGCCCAGTTGCCTCTTCGAGCTTGCACAAACAATGGTCTCCCCAATGTCCCCACATGTTGCCACAAACTTAATGCAGGTTTCGACTTCTCCCAGTTCGAGGCTTACCATAGAAGCCCCATACCTCAACGCTTGCTCCAAGATGTCTCGGAAGTCTCTCCCCAACATGCCTCCCGCTACCGCAGCTATTGATTCTTGCTCGGCAGACGACAGGTGCTGAGCATTATCGGCTGATCATCGTGCGGCACGTGTGACACTTGAGACCATGCGGGTCTGCATCATCTGAAGGAAGGCCCAAAGAGTGGTATCAGGATCGATATATCAAGGTGCAATTTGTCAGCGAAAGAGCCTGGGAAGGCGATTACTTCTAGCGTGGAAAGAGCTAAACCGTGCGAATGTGCTCTCCGTCAGCTACAACAACTTGCATGGAATCACCGGCCCTCCAAGGGAGACAATTTGCACCAACCCTTATATACCGAATACATTTATAAGCCATGCGAACTATCTACTATCCGTCAGCTATGACATTCTACCAAGGATGGCGGCCCTGCAGGCCAGACAGGTTGCACCGACCCTTCTTTACAGAAGAAATCTCAGGGCCGTGCAATGAGGCTGTTTTTTGCCGTAAGCTATAACATTCTACCGGGAATGGCCGGCCCTGCAGGCAGAAAACTGGCACCAACCCTTCCGTGCAATTTGTCTAGCAGGGTCGCACAGCGGCTGCCTTCTCACCTGACCGTGTCTTCAGTTGCTCCTTGCAGTCACGGCGCCCCTCACGGGGGCGGGGGCTCCTGCTCGAGAGTTCATCTCTGCGGACGCCCTGCCCTACTCGAGGTGGCCCGCAGCCGACAAAGCGACGGCTCGCTGAAAGCCCTCGAGCAGGGCCGACTTTGGGACGTCAGCCAGCGCATGGAGGCGCTCGTGGCAGCCCCGAAGGCCCCACGTCAGGCAGCCTCCGTCCAGAAAGGGCCGGCCGACCCGCATGCCTCCCTCGCCAGCCCACCCACGCTCCCCGCGTCACTTTGCCAGACGCGCCCCCCCTCACGGCCGCCTTCAGAAGCGCGCTCCTGACCCAACTTTGGATTGTCGGTGAGGGAGACACCGTCTGCGCTCGAGACACGGGGGGGCGCTGAGCGGGTCCTCTTGCCTTTCCCATGGTCGTCTTTGAGGCCTGCATGAGAAGAGCGTGGAACCTCAGTTGGAGGAGAAGGAGGGCCATGCCTATGGGGAACTGGGAACACTGTGATCAATGGCATGTACCAGAAATCGAGGGCTTCACTTCTAAACAGAACAGACCTTTCTTCGATACACTGCAAGGAATACTTGCCCTACCCGTGCATATGCATTGTTAATGGCAGGTGTACCGAGAATCAGGAGCTTTACTTCAAGAAGAACAGACCTTCCTTTGGTACAAGGGAGGTTTGCAGCATCACCTGGAGTGCGATGCAGAAACCTTCATCCTCGTCACAATCTGCATCGATGGGGGCCCATGGATCTCTTGCTGCGGGATCGACCTGGACAGAGGACACCAGATACTCAACACCTCAGGAGAGCCCTAGCGACACCCCACCTTGGTGCTGCGCTAACGCAGTCTTTGCGGATGCTCGGGTCCGTGCTGCGACTTGCTACCCCGTTCATTCCAATCTTCGCACAGTACATCATTGGTTGCGCTGCGCTTTGAGCTCCACGGGCAGCCAACAAGCTGGTAATCAGTGCAGAGATTGAGCGCAACCACCTGGACAGCCAGAAGCTGAGAGGAGTGATGAAATTGCCTCCTACCGTCACGCTTTCAGCGCATCCCTGCAATCCCATCAGGTAGCAGGCCGCACTAGTTTCAAAACCTTTCTTACACTTGCAGCTTGTCGCTGTAAGCAGCGAGCTTCCTCAAAGGAAACCTCCACCAACTGGCAGCGACTGTACAACGTTGAGAAAGACAAAGGGCCTGACCTTACCTCTCCTGAGCAATTGGGCTCTATCTGCTTGGTGCGTCCTGAACTGCTTCATTCTTCGGATGCAAATGCCAGCTAGGCAGGCCAAGACTCTGAGGAGTCCTATTTCATGGGAAACCGTTACAAGCAGGCGGCAGCAAGGTGATGATTCTCACTTTTTAAATATTGGCCACGCTCACCCCCCCCGATGAAGCGGCCCCCAGGATTCAGCCGCGCACTCTTGGATTCATCCTATCTACATCCAACGCCTCACCGGTGATGAAACCCCCAAAGTTGTGTCCTGCAAGCGCCCTGCTGCCCCCTTCTACCTCTCTTCTTTGCCCTCTGGGGGATCCCTCTGGGCTATACCGAAACCATCTCTCTTTCAACACCTAGGTACTCGTACTGGTCGGCCCACGGACGGGCGGCCGCCCGGCTCAGGAGGCGCGGCCGGCCAGGCGGCCTCAGGAGTCAGGATCATTGACACACTATTAGTATTAATTAGTATGCATGCATGTAGACGGTGACCACTGGGTGGAGGCTGCCAACTTCCACCTTTCCCGGCAATTGGTAAATTCTCAAAGCACAAGCAACTGAGGCCGCTGCGCAAGTTGATCGTTATCTTACTTGTAAATTGCTTGTACATTCTACAGATGCGAGTTGGCAGGTCCATCAAGTCTTCTGCTATGATGCTGCCGCCCGGTCTTTCCTATCCCACTCAGACGGAAGGCATGTCAGCACCTTAACGCCACATGCGTTGCAGCCCCGCACAGTATGGCGGCCGTCCCTTTGCATCTCAGTAGGATAAACCTCTCCTTTTGCCTCCTCATTGTACTCTCCTCATACATCATTGGACCGGTAGCGGGGCAATTCCCCATCCCCTGGGGACCGCCGGAAGAAGAGCGGTTCATCAACGGGCAGATCACAACGAGCCCCTTTGCCTTCCAGCCGGGGACTCCCCTCGACGGCCGCTACCAGTGTCTTACCAACACGAGCCTCCTCCCGCCCCTAGTTGTCACAGCCCCCTGCTTCACGGCAGCCAGCACCGACTCCCCCAACCTTGCTGACAAGTGGACTTGGAATTTCCAGAATAGGACGGTCAACCCCTGGGTCGGGCTGCAGTATCGGCAGCCGGGGGCGTATTGTCTCGATGGCGGATCCCTCAGCATTGCCCCCGGGAGCGTGTACTCAGACGCCTTCATTTTGATCGCGCCGTGCGTCGACAGAGCCCCCGCACAGCAATGGGCCTGGGATGGCGCGTATCTTCAGATTGTGCCGACCATTCAAAAGGACCGGTGGTTCGCGGTCAGCGCGCAGGACGCGACGCACTTCCAGCTGACGAGTAACCGTTCGCTGGCGGCGCCGCTCAACTTCGTATTGCCACCATACACCAACATCTGTGAGTTGTTTTTCAAATGTAATCTTTTGGTATCTTTTCTTGCAGCCGGCGAGCCTTGTTAGACCCGTGGAAGTTTCGTACGTTTCTGGTCCAATATCGCTATTTTTGCGCTGGTCATTGGCCTTTTTCGCATGCAGTTTGGAATTGTGTCAGCATCTTAACAAAAAAAGAAGATGGCAATTGAGAGAACAATGAAAGTGGAGGTGCATCGAGGACCGGGTAACAAGCGAAGAGCGTAGGAAGAATGCATGTTGAGTCTTTAAAAAGCTGGATGTTGGTCAATGTGAAATTCTGTATCACTTGACAGTATGCATCTCAGCAATGATTGTCTGTTAGGGTCAGCTCTCTCCCCTCCGACGATCGTGCTCCGCGGGCTGGGCTCCTTGATGAGAAGATTTTCTTCCGTTTCGTAAGCTTCAAAAGTTGCGCGTCTACGTCCTGACACTGGAGTATGATGCCTGCGCATCAGAAGGATGAAAGGCACAGCGCTCGAGTGTAATAAAGAATACAAGAAAGATCCATAAGCGTCCCTGTTACGCACATGCAGCGACGTACACAATTCAGCCTGGCAGTGTCCACTCCGATCCCAACGGCGTAACTCTCGCGATTCCAAGCAACATCGGCGACGGGCCGGGGCCGTGTCCGTACGGCCCCCACGCGGCCGGGACGTTTTCCAGTTCTGTCGACTGTTCCGCCAGGTCAGCACATACCGAATTGCAGGCATCAGGCCCCCGTCGGTTCCGGATGATTCGCATATAGTGTTGACTTTCATACTTGGAGGATCCTAGACCCTCAGAATAGTGATTGTCCATGATCATGTTGTACTCAGGGGCGATTCGCACCCAAGCAGATAAGGCCAACTTTCCAGATAACGAATCTGAAATTCATTCGCACATAAGCGCAGATTGGTCGATCTGAAAGTTGGAGCGTTCGCACATAAGCGCAGATTCAAGGCTCGAATTTGCGCGGCGTTCGCATATGAAGTCAGATTGCTCCGCAGATACAATGCGAATCTGAAAAAGCAAAACGACGAGACAACTTTGCCTGTGGACCTAAAAGGATAGGAAGGGGGTCCTTTTAGCCGTTTTGGAGTACATTTTCGTACTCGGCGGGGGCATATAAGTGTACATGGTCGGTACACCTTGTGTACAACGTGCGTACACCAGCACATTTGACTTTTTATCGTCGAAGTGCAAATTGGGGGCATCTCGTGGCTTCCAATCTGATCTGCGCTTATCTGAATCTGGAAAGCGGCGCAGTTTCGCTTATCCGAAAGCTGCCCGGGTTATGCGCAGGTCAGATTGGCTTATTTGATCTGAGAAACTTTCAGATCAGATAAGAGGTCCAATCTGATCTGCAAAGTTGCTCGGGTGCGAATCGCCCCTCAGACTGTTGGCTTGGGTAGTTCCTTAGTAGTGTGTGTGAACGGAAAGCAGTTCGTGCAGTGCTGAGTTTGCAAAACGTAGGCCCCGTCAGTTCCCGATGGCTACGTTCGTTGTGTGGACCATCATCTGGTAGGAGGATCCTAGACTCTCAGACTCGTGATCGCACAGTACTTGGACATTCGGCTTGGCCAACGCTTTCACAAACATGTGTGTCTGTGTATAGGTGCGACGCCACGCCCGGCTGCCTCGGGACCAACTTCGGCATTTCGGGGGGCATCGGGTGCTGCTATCTCAAGGCGTACTTTCCCCCCGCAACGACGTCGAGCACCTCAGGCTACAGTACGTACGTCAAGGGCACGGCAGGTAAGGTCGGTGGTTGCATAATTCTCGATATGATGTATGGTGAACTTTAAGGGCAGTGAAGGAAAAGCCTCGACCTGGTACTGTTATTCTAATCCAAAGCTTTACGGTTCACGCACCCGCACCCACCCTAACTCTTCACTAACCCCACTTGTCCTTTCATTGACTACCGAGCTTGTTGATTGTGTTGATCGAAACGATGGGTGTCGGGAGAGAGAGGCAGTACAGTTTTCTACAGCTTGGTTAATCCGTTGTTCCGCTCAATTCGTTCGGTTTAGTTCTTTGAATGACATCCTGATGTTAGCTTCCACCCTCAGTGAAGTCATCCTTTAGTTTTGTGAGGCATGCTGACCTCAGACAGGCTCAGCTTTCATAATGAGCCTGCCTTCACTGGCGGCAAGAGGAGGAATCCCTCACTCCCTTTTCCGCGCCGCTCAGGCAACTCCTCGGGTTTGAACACTGATTCCGGGTCAAACTCGGGAAGGGTGATACAATGACTGTGCCCAATGGTAGCAGCACTGCGCCAAGGCTTGAACTTAACGGAGATAACGGATAATCAATCTTTGCGGTAAGAGCAGACACTGCATGTACGTTCCAGCACTTTCCAGATATTAAAGACCATTCTGCTTTCACAATGCCTGGCAAGCCCTTAGTAAAGCAGTTTGAGAGTTTGATGAAAGGAGTATTGCATCGACAAGGTTTAACCACCATGCTATTTATTTGCCTGCAGCGGAACCCTGGTTTCCAGCACTAAACCTCCCCTCCAGCCCCCGGGCCCCCGCACCCGCTCCCGGCCCCCAAGTTAACCCGATACTTAACCCAGAACCCAGTTCGAGCTCTGCTTCCGCGGCCATTGCCGGGGGGGTGGCTGGCGGTGTCGCTCTGTTGGCCCTCTTAGCGGTTCTCGGCTTTTGCTGCATTTGGGGCCGTCGACGCAGGCGGCGTGCCGAGCCACCGGCCGAGGATCCTGAGGGGAGCGATTATGAGAAGTCCGCGGCGCCCTATGCGCCCAGCATGGCGTCACCTGGCAGCAGTGAGCTCGAGAGTTTTTACTTTTTCTTCTTAACGTTAATAATAACGAAGTATTGGAACTGATTCCCGATTAACTAACAGTAAGAAGTAGCTAACTTTAAGATCAACGCCCTCAGACGTTAGTAATTGCGTTTTGGTTGGACCAACCTCGAGCTGGGTCTCAATCTTCCACGCTTTGGCAGACCCTTGGAAAAAGGCAGAGGGCAGCTCTCCGCCGTCGGTTTCTCTGGTGTGGCTGGTGTGTTTCAGAGCTTTGCTCCGACGCTCTATGCGATGTGAGTCCGGACAATTATGAGTGCAGCAATCTATTCGCTGACCCTAGCTGGGTCAGCCACTTACTAGACCATAATGTATTCATTGTCGTATCGATTCATCTAATATCTTCGGCAGCATCACTGGCAACCTTCGCACAGAAATGAGGAGGGCATGGAGCAGACTGCAGAAGCGAAGTCTCGATGGACACGATTGAACGGAAGCGAAAGGGCCTCCGCTGCTGACGTCGCCTTACATTCAAGCCGTTCGTTTCTTTCAAAGCTCTCCTAGGATCCCGGATAGTTTTGACGGGGCTTCGGCAAAGGCTCAGATCGGCGAGCGTTCTGACTCAAAGGGCGCTTGCAACAATGGGGGCAGACGAGTGGACCAATCTGATTTACTAAACAATCTCTTGTGTTCTCGTATGAGCGGTCACTGTTGAGGCAGTTTAAAACATCCGACGGTCATTGTGATGGTATTGATCATCAGAGAAGAGTACACAAGTTAGAAACTCGATGCTCGCCCCCGCGCAGATGTGAGCAGTCACCAAGCGTTCCTCCCGTGGAAGGAGTACCTTCAACAATCTTGCATCAAATGAAAGACAAGTAGAAGAATGCTTTTAGTGTTAAGGATAAATCACGAAATTGAAGATGGCAAGTTCGCCCCCGCGCAGATGTGAGCAGTCACCAAGCCTTCCTCCCGTGGAAGGAGTACCGGTACGAGGAGCTGTTCCTGGCAACCGGGCACTTTTCGCGGGCGAATCTGCTCGGCGAAGGCGCGTTTGGGAGCGTCTACCGGGGCGCGCTGCCGGACGGGACGGCCGTGGCCGTCAAACAGCTCAAAGCCGGGCCGAAGGTGGGCGGACACGTGTCGGCTTTTCGTTGGGCTGTGCTGTTAGAAACTCCGAAGAACTGCAGACATGCAGACGTGGCCAATCGAGAGCTCAAAGCGGGGCCGAAGGTGGGCGGACAAGTGTCACATTTTCATTGGGCTTTGTTGTTTGAGATGTATCAGAATTGTAGACGGGCAGACGTGGCAGTCAAACAGCTCGAAGCGGAGCCGAAGGTGGGCGGACAAGTGTCGACTCCTCATTGCACCACAGACTCCTCATTGCACCACAGCATTGTTGGAACTGATCAGGAGATAGAACATAGGAACATGGGAGTCTTGCAAGGTCTCAGCTGCCACTTTCAAAGGTTTCTCGAATTGATCATTAAATTGACAATCACGGGAAATGCAGATGAAAGGCAGAAGAGATGCAAGAAGCATTGGGTTGAGCAACGGCCATATGAAATTGCCGATAAGCTTCAAGGAGAGGTCCTCGTTGGATGTTAATCGCAGAGCGTTTGCTTATGTGCTATTTCGGACGACCAAAGCGCTAATCCAAGAGGACACTGGAAGAACTCAATGTTTGTGACTTGGGGAGCAAACATCCAAGCTTTAAGGCCAAACGAAAGCGGCTGATCATTTCTGGTGAAAGACCTCTCTTCTAATTTCAGGGTCTCCGCCGCTCTCGTTCCTTTGCTTTGTCCGCTCACTGTGGAGTCTGGATTCTATCCATCGCTAACTCCTGTCAGTAACCGGCACAAAGCCATGCAACCGCTAATGCTATTCATTACTATCCCGTAGTCATTCCTCTGAGCTATGCAATCGCTGATGCTAGTCACTACTAAACCGTGCAGCTAACCCGCGCAAAGTCATGCAACAATCCTTTCCAAGTCATCACTAACCCATGTTATTAACCCGCGCAGAACGCGGCAAAGAGCGACTTCGAGGCGGAGGTGAGCGCTCTGAGCCGCGTAAGCCACAAGAACCTGATCGCGTTCCGGGGTTACTGCGTAACCAGCGACAGTTACTACCTGGTTTTGGACCTGGCATCCCGAGGCAATCTGGACGTGGCGTTGCGGAGACCGCAGATGCGGACAGGTGCGTCGCTTTTCTTCTTTCGTGACCTTTCCTCATATTGCAACGAGGTTTCAAGACTGATCGAGGCAGATTAATACCCGGATTGTCAGTCGGTGCGTTCAAGAATGCTATCAACTGCAGGAGTCAAGCGTTTCCAGAGGTCTGGATGTTCAGCCCAGGCGCCCTCGAGAAGTAGCAGTGGAAAGAAGGCGTTTTTCATATCCGTTGTAAGATCAGCCCCAAAGCAGACATTCTTAGGGCGGTCTCGCCATGGCTTTGTATCCGGGGTTTAAGTAACGGTGTTGGAGCGGTATCTAAGAGCTTCTGTTCAGAAGACTGATCTCTTTGGTGATTGGAGCAGATTTGCTCAGACTGAGTCTTTTTGCTCAGCTCTGTATTAAGTAACAGTGCTCGGAGCGAATCGTTCCAGGCATACCGCAGCGCGTGAAGAAAGCACCGTTTCTCTTAATGCGGAACGAAAGAGAAAAGTTGCCTTACAGCAGCAAAAACGCGCCCTCCGTTGCGTGCGCTCTCGGCAATCAAGCCCTAGAGGGCCCGGCCGATAAGCATCCCGAAAACCCGCTAGTTCCTGAACGCCTAGAATTGTTAGAGCCTGATTCGGGGAAACTTACGGAATCCTGAAACCCCGAAAATCCTTGACTCGTGGCACTCCCATCCGCTGCCAGATGTGCAAGTTCTCACGTGGTCCGAGCGCCTCCATATCGCGGCGGCCGCAGCACACGGCATAGCGTATCTGCATTACGACTGCTCCCCTGCGTTCATCCACAGGTGGGCGGAGGCTTACCTTTCTGCTGACGTCACCTTCTTTATCAACGTGTCAGGTTGACGAGCCACGTTTTCACTTGGGCTCATTTAAGTGCTGGTTTATCGAGGGGTGCGGCTGGCGGAACGAAGTCCATGTCAATTGCTCGGTACTTGATTGTCGTAATTGGGTCCTGATAAAGTTGAAGAAAGCGTGCAAGCTAAGTTTGGGAGGTATCGTCAAGCTGTTGGTGTTCTTTGCTGGGACTCTGGGGCTTAACTGCCAGCCTCCGGCTATTGCTGACGTGGGCATCCCTCCGGCTATTGCTGATGTGGACATTCCTCCAACTATTGCTGATGTGGGCATACGAATCCCACGAACACTAGTCCTTGTACCTGACCCGAAAGCTGGGGTCGCTATCATGGCCTAGCACTTCTGCTCTGCTGCTCTTGTCCGATGTCACTATTTTGAAGTATCCGGGTGTGGTATGTGGTCTAGGACATGCGTTGAGTCTTGCGTCCTATGTGTAGGTCATTCCAAAATATGCAAACTTTTAAAACTCTATATCCTCATTGCGCAGGGACATAAAGGCGGCCAACATCCTCTTGGATTCGAAGCAGTACGCTAAGGTAAAAACTCTCCTCAGATTATCAGAAGCATTAGACCGTTAAGGTAACTTGTCCGCCTCAAAAGCATCTAAATTGTCAGGGAGCTCGGGAACTCGTTACGTTGTCATTGAAAACTCGCTTTTGAGACTCCAACGTGGCTCTCGGGTCCTTCCGTCCCTCACAGACCTCACAAACCTGAAGTTTTTCTGCTTGTTTGCTTTCATTTCTGCCCCGCAATAGCTCACGGTCTCAAGTCTAGGAGGTGACGATGAGTATAAGCACTTCGAATAAGCAATAAGCAATTCTTGCAAGTTCCGGGCAGATTGATCTCCATGCACTTGCTTCCCCAATACAGTGTCCGAGGTCATTGGGCGCATGACGAACTTTCTGTCGTGTGCTCGATTGATTCTTCGGGCGACCTCTCAGCCGGGTTTTTGCTATTTGCAGGTCGCCGACTTCGGGCTCGCGAAGCTGATGGACGATCAGGACGACGCCGGCACGATGACATTAAAGGGCAGCTGGGGATACTTGGCACCGGAGTACGCACTCCAGGGACAGGTACGTACCGTTTTCTGCCGATCTTCGCTTCTCTACAAGGGGAGCGCCATGATGGCTGACATCAAGGCTTGGCGACGGGTGGGATTAGCTAGGTATTAATACTGTGGGTATGGGTACGGTCGCGTAGCAAACTTGATTCTTTGTTTTTAAATTGGTCATAAGTTGTGCTGTAACGCTTATGGGCGCTTATTCTTTCTGCAACCGAAATTTACAACGGTTGGGTGGTGCGAGGATGAGGTCGTGTCAAACTCATCGGCACACGCGTACCTGACTTTGGGTTTCGATCTTTTGGGGAGTCGTCGGAGGCCATTTGTTTTTTTTGCAGTCAATAAGTTGCACACCTGCAACTCTGTGAGCAAGTCTGTTGATTTCTAATGAAAGCCAGCAAATGGATCCCTAAACTGCTGAGACACAGTCAGAAAGGACATTCGCATTCTATAACGAGTCAGGGGAATGATATTCTGGTGGGATGGCCGCTTACACAAAATAACCCATCAGGAAGTCGTTCATTCAGAATCTGGGTCGCGCAAGCTGGTCGCCGGTGCGACGGAGAAAAGATGGGACCGTGGCAGAACCTTCTTGAGATCAGGACTGCAAAGCGCCCGAATTGGCAAAACTGGGTCAATAAGAAGGGGTGGGCCTGGAATACAAATCCCAGTTGCTTTTGCGGTTCCTTTGAGTCTTGTATTCAGATAGAGAGGGCCTCCTTCCCCCTCTGGTTGCGGCCCCGAAAGAACAAAGGGAAGAAGAGGAAGTACAAAGTGCTGACGCTTTTTTTGAGCCCGCCTCCCCAGGTCACCAAAAAGTCGGACGTCTACAGCTTTGGCGTGGTTCTCTTGGAGCTCCTCACCGGCCGCCGCGCTCAGCGCGCCTTCCCCAACGGAACGCGCCAAAATTTGACGGACCAGGTGAGGGGTTTTGGATGTTTTGGTTCAGGGTTTTGGTTTAATGTTCCAAGCTTTTCTAAGTTTATGGCTGTAAGGGAGCACGTTTGAATAAAGCGGCTGTTAAATGCGGTGCTATAGACTTGTTAGTTGCTCACGGAAAAGAGTTTTGAAGCGCTTTCGCAATAAAAAATGGTGCAGGCAAACCGGTCAGACTTGCAGGACGGAGTTGGCTACAAATTCAACTTCAATTCCGTTGGTACATGTCAGATTTTCTGGAATCTGCCGTCAAGTTCTTGTTTTTGAAGGTTACATACAATGAATCACGGTGCGGGCGGCGGAGTTTGCACACCGGCACTTGCCGAACTGCCGTAGGTCAGAAGGGTTAAATCAAGAGCCGAGCCTTTGCTTTTACCTATGAAAGAAGAAGCAGTGATTCCCTGAACTTAGAGCGATCCCCGGCCGTTCCTTTTCCGTGTCGTTTGAAGACCTTAGGTCTAAGCGTCTGAAGGTTCCTGGGTTTCGGGTTTTTCTTTTCTTGGGCTCTTGGTTTTGTGGAGTTTGGATTTTCGGTCTCGACATGGTACAGGTTGACCGTCGAGCTTGTTCAGTCCCCGACCAGATTTTCTGGGCGTATGTCATATCAGGCGCTTGCAGCGCCCTTCTTCTACCAAGAGTAGCCCGGCGAAAAAAAAACGGCCGCCACTCGTCGTAATTTTCCCGGATCGACTTTGCGTGTTGGACATGTAACGGGGCTCTTACCTTTTTATCAGTCGGGTTACGGTCTGTTTAGTGCACGAATCTGGTTTCTAGATTCATCGCCAGTGCTTAACCAGGCCATGTAAGACTATGGTTAGCGATAAAACAAAATCTCAGCTTGTTGCTGACTCCGTCGTCTCCTCGCAGGTCATTGCTCTCCTCCGGCAGGGCGCCCCCGTTCCGCTTGATCCGCTCCTCAAGGAAGACGTTCCGCCGGAACAAGCCGCGTACCTCCTGAACATCGCGCTCGCCTGCACCGACCTGCAAGATTACATGCGCCCGTCCATCGGTGAAGTGTACCGGGCGCTCGAGGGCCTCGCCAAAGGGGTTGTCGGCCCGAGCTTCTTCCGGTCGGACGGCACCCTACGGCCCGGCGAGTCCATTCCGCCGGGGGTCGTGATTCCGGCGGTTCCGGTGTTTAGGTTTGGGACCCCCGCGGGCACACCCGAGGCGAGCTTCGCATCGGGGCGAGGCGAGACGGTGACGTCCTTTGCGGGGACCGACGTCAGCGCGGTGTCGTCCGTGAGTAACGACGTGAGTCAGATCCTGGATGGGCGGTAGCTACACTGCAGAGCTGTGATACCGGTTGTATGGACAAGAGGAGAGCTGCGTCCGTTTCTGAACGGCAAACGTACAAGTGCAAGCGCGCTCCCTAAGCATCGAATGACGGCCGTCAAAGGGGAGTGAGGGGTTCGACCAAGTTCGTCGCGGCAAGCGACGCGTCGTTTGGATTGAGGGTCAAATGTCCGACAGGCCGAACAATGGGATGCCAAGTGTATTAATGGTTGCAATAGAGGAACTAGATCGACGCCTTGCACTCTAGTTCAGTAACTTATTGAACCGATGCTGCATTTGCTGCCGCTCCGAATATAGCTTGAGAGGTCCGACCAAGCGCCACTTACAGTACAAAAGCTTAACTTGATTACGATTCGCTCACCAGTGGGACCCGTTTAGGCTTCTCTACGAGAGAGCTCTTACAAGCGGCGCGAGAGGAATGGAATTGACACGGTGGTTCACTACGGCCCTAGTAAGCGGAAGCCTGACAGCTGTATACGAACATGATAGCAGTCCAATCTGTACATTCAGAAAGATGTCGTTTGTACTATATTGCCAAGCGCTTCCAGGCTCCATTGTCGTGGATATGAGGTGTAGAAAGTTGGTTCGCTGAATGTCTGAAGCGAGTAACGGCGACTGATCCCCGTACGTTCAGCCGGCCGCGTGACCGCGTAATCTGCGTTTGTAGATTTCTCTCAAGCTAGTCCAATTTTTCAATCGTTAATAGACGTACATGATTGGCCAGAAGCCAGGTAATTTCTGACCCGGTGTTCGAGCTTCTTGTACGTGTTGGAATTGCACGTTTCACGGATAAGTTAGATTGAACCGGCCCTCTTCGCTGTCATGTACCCCATGCCGCGGCCTGACATAAGTTTATGCATTGATTGAGCCTACATATGCGGTACTTGATATTCAGATGCATGCGAATATTCAATCCTCAACGCGCCTAAGGCATGATGCACGCACGTCAAAGTACCAGATAATGATCTAACTAGCAGCTAGACGGTCAGAACGCCTGTAGCGTACAAACTTTCGAATTAACAAACCGAGAGCTTGTGAGCAAGAGCTGCAACTATATCGAAGTATTGCGTGTTTGGATAACAAAATTTGAAGGCTGGCTCATATACTTGTAAGGTGCCCAAATCGACCGGCATGACTAGGCTAAGATTACGCTGCCTGTCTCCTTCACAGATGCTCCTCCATGTTTGTGTATGATCCTACTGAAGGTCTCGACACCCATTGTGCGATTCATTTAGTAGGTGCCAATTAAGAAAGCTTCCGGAACTGCACTAACCGCCAAGCTGCATGCTTTCGTGCTTGTGACCAAAGCCCCCCGAATCAGTCAATATCCCTCTAAGCTCAGCCTCCGAGCAGTTTCGTCCTTACGAACGCATCGAGCAGATTATGAGGCCGAACGTACGTACTCCCGGCGAAGATCTCCCGAGCCACCAAGCGGTAGAAAGCCGTGGTCCCGTGCAAACCGTCCCAAAAGAGAGACTGGTTGGGGTCGTCACAGACCGTAAACCCGGGTGAGCCGCACGGGGTGACCACGTTTGCCGGCCCGCCCCCGCCGCAGCACGCGCGGTCCGCCACGGTAAGACCTGCAGAAAAGGTTGAAGAAGATATGTGGGCGAGTATTGCACATACTATACAGTAGAGTGTTGGAACGGCAATCAAATACCGGGACTCGCAGGACACGACTGAGTTTCGAGGCGCCTGCAGCTGTACACTGCAACTCTGAATGAATGTTTGTAACATTTGATCTGGTTTTGGACTCAACTCGAGTGAGATGGACAGAATCAACAACAAGCTTCGTGTGCTATCCATCAGAGCTATCTGTATTTCCCCCGTTTATAAGGGTCCTTGCTGCGGTCATTTCCTCTGGGCCGGCTTTCGGACCATGCTCGATGACTGTCCGAATGAAGACGTTCTGGGTCGGTGACGTTCAAGTCCAATCCTAACGGCCGGGTACTTCGTTCTAGAAATGCATAGCATCCTTTACTTTGATTTGTTCTCTCATACATAACCTTCTCTTCCTTTGTCAATGCTTCTTTCCAGGCGGGCTCGAAACGCACCAAAAGCGGCGGGATACCCTATGGCGTCCCTGGTGAAGTTGTACAAGTCGGCCAACAGGAAAGTCGCGTTGGGAAGCGCCGCCCCTAGTTGCTGCACCAGCGGGTCAAACCCCGCGCTCAGGGTTTGGACCGCGGCCGCGAGCGGCGCGAAACAGGCGCCGTCCGCGCTCAGGTTTCGCACGGCGGGGGCGCAGTCAATGGGGGGCACATTTGAGAGGAGAAAGCTGCGGGCGCCAAGAGCGTATGTCTCCTGCGCAATGAAGAGAGGAGCGTGTCAGTTCTGGGGTTCCAGAAGTGTATGTGTCCTCCACAGGAAAGGAGCGGATGAGGGAAAGGCGACGGTGCAATATTTTTGTTTGTTACAGTAATTTCATGTTGTCCTCTGTGACGAAGGGCCATCTTTAATTGGCATTGCTTCGATGATTGATGCACGATTGGCGCAGACTATTTGCTCCGCTTCGCAGAGCATTGTCAGAAAGCCCCTCCCCGGTAGGCGTCCTGCGGGTTTTCCATTTGGTAATTGTAACAGAGGGTGGGCCGAAATGCAATCGGGTCATTTCACAGATCCCCCGATTCCTAACATGCGCACTCGTTGTGATCTAGCTCATTCAGCCGCCTCAGCAGGGCTTCCGAACTTAATGGAAAATAGGAAAGCGAGATAAAGAGGAATTGAAGTAAATGAAGGAATTACTAGGAGATAACGTCGAGAAGAAAGCGCAGATTGCGACACGACTTCTCACCGTGACTGCGGTGCCTATGGACGTCAGCACCGCTTGAGCGAAGCCGGCGGGGTCCGTCAAAGCCCTGACGGCGTCTTTGAGATCGTTTCCTCCCGTCGCAAACACGTAGAGCGCCGATGCGAAGGCGTCGGGGCGGGGGAAGCGGGGCGTGACGTCAGCGGCGGCCGCTGCGCTAGACCAGTAGGCCGCGGAGTCTTGGACGAGCTTTGCGAAGAGCTGGGTCTGCAGAAGAAGGAGGGAGTTGTCTCGGAGCTTGGTCTGGGTTAGAAGCTTGTTCGAAGGCTTGTGTTTGGTAAGGATTTCCTCCTCCACTCAAAACCTCCCCAGATCCGTGCAAGACGAGCTTTCGAATGTATATACAAACCCGTTAATCAAGGTTATTGATCGAGTCGTGAATCAACCCTCAGGTAGAGCGCAGATTCATCCATCCTCGGTCAGATTTCCTAATAATGCGTTTTGGCTCATCTTTTTCAGAAATCGACCGAGCATCAATGAAATTCCAAAGCTCAAGAATCCTAAAACGCCAAGACCTGGTTGTAAAGGGGTATCGCAGTCTTAGGGTCCCCGGTGGAGTTGAGCGCGCCGCTGCCGGCAGAGGCGAAGTTGGCTCCGTAGAAAAAGTTGCCACCTGGCAGCAAAATAGGATCTCCAAACGGAAGGCCCAGGAACTCTGCAAGGTAATCGACGGTGTTGGGGCCGTTACAAGGGCGCCCACTGCAAGGAGAGAGTTGGGAGTCTAAAAGTCCATTTTGAGCTTATCCCTTTCCTGAAGGCAATGTCTGTGCACTTGGCCTCTTATTCAATGTCCTTAATCCATCATGCGAGCTTAAGATAGCGAGAATCTGTCGGTTGTATGGTACGGGTGAGTCTGAGGCGCTTCAAGATTGTCCTGCGTCTAATGGCACCGGAACCATTAAACTTGATTCTCAACCAAACAACATCCAACCATTGTTCTATACCAGTAGGTGATCAGGAAGCCTCGAGCGGATCACACGCTGCAGGGACGTAAGTTCTGGAACCGTGAGTGTTAGTAGACGCGCTTTTCATCTTGAGAAGTGACTCGAGTCAGAGCTGTTCGCCCGATTTGATGCCTCACGTAACGTTGAGCCGCCCTCCGGGGGTCACTCCATTTGGATACCCCTTGGCGGACGACCGAGGATCAAGGAGAACGCTGCGACAACAAGAATTTTGTTGAGAGTGATGGACGTGGAGCCTTTCTGTAAAAGTGAAGCTGTAAGATGGCCTGTCTCAGGTTTTTGCTGGTCGTTTCAAAGTCCTGGATATGAAGAAATTTTGAGCCGCATCTGGTGGAAAGATGGCTGTAAGCACTCTCACAGGCTCGATCAGAAGAGGACTGCGCAAAAATGATGGAAATTGGGGATATGAAAAGAGCTAAGATGGTCTTGCTCGCCCTCAACCATGCTGAGATTCCAATCATAGCCACCACTAGTAAACGGTCAAACACTTTCTAGTTTGACAATGTTTGACAATTACAGCCAGAAGTATTCTTTCTGCTTCTCTCGATTGGATATATAGAATCACTGGTTACCAGCAATATCCCACCAGGCTCCCATCGGAGACAAAGTTTGCGGGCTCACATGTTGCCAGTATCCACCAGCGAATCGCCTGTGCAAAAAAGAGGAAGCCACGTCAAAGAATCAACCATGATTTTCATCCTAGCGTCATGCAATAGCTCACAAGTGCGGATTCTTCGGCATATCAGGCGTCGACGCCAATCCAGCCCTAACTCTGCAAAGACTTGTCGCCTTTGGCGCTGACAAGGGCGAATTTGTTGAGGGCTTGAGTGCAAGGATTTCCGGAAAAGCACTGACTAAATTCTGGTGGATAATGCACGAAGCCATTGCAGAGATAGCTGTAGTTCTCCAGCTCAGCTTTCGTTCTGATCCTCAATCGATTACCTGCTATCCTTCAACTCTGATGGCATAGCCTGTTCGATTGCAGGCAGGTTATGTTTAAGCGTAAAATGTCTCTTTCCAAAATGTCAAATCTCCATCATCAAATGATGACAAAAGAAGCACAGGAGCAGCAAGATACAGCCGCCTGCCAGTGTGGATGTCGCCAGCGGACGCACAGGATGCAACGGCTTGCTGACACTATCAGATCTCACTCACTGAAATCGTACCTCTCAACTCATTGCTGCTCATCGCCTTTTCAGAAGTCGTTCGGGTGAGACTTGAAAGCAGAAGATCAGGATGTCAGTCTCAACTGAAGCTTTTTGCAGGTTCAAAACAGTGCCGCGATTGCGATTAGATGTTACTGGCACTTACCAAAGACGAACAGAGCAGGGAGGAAGGGGTACGCAGTGCTTGCTTTGTAGACAAATCCATTTGCAGCTGCATTCGTAGCGGCCGCTTGCCCCATCGAGACTTGTGAATTAGCGGTCGCATTTTGCAGCAGCCTTCTCCCTATGGTTTCTGCTGTCTCGCCAGGCGCAGGACCGTGAGCTTCAGGACTCAGGCTAAAGGCGGAGCTTGTCAAGGGAAAGATAAGGAGAACCACGGAAAAAGTAAAACGAGGTGCCGCCATGGCGAATTACGTGAACCGATAGGGTCGGCGATATGTTCCTCTCAGTTTCAATGCTCAGTGAAATTGACAATCAGGCCTCCTCTGATCATCCGGTTCTTGTCAGATCAACCATCAACCATTTCATCAGTCTCGTCAGGCTTTGCATCCTCCTTAAAATGCTGCATTTAGCGTTCAGCGCTCGTACTGAAGCTCCAACTTCGGCCACAAAGGTTTTAGTCTTGGCTGAGCCTACAAGGCGACGGCCCCGAGTCTCCTCTCAACGGCAAGGCGTTTGGCGTGTTTGGACTTGGGAGCAGCTGCTACTGAAGCGGGTCAAGGATTTTTCATGGAGCTGAGTGAACGCAACGGAACGCTCGCCCGGCGTAAGGAGCATGGAAGCTGCCAACCACGCAGACAATAACTGGTGGTCCGATAGCAAAGGCAGGTCATTGATCCTTTCAATGATAAGATCTGCTTCTTTTGCGGTGCGCGTTTCTTTCGAGATAACAACGTACACCCATAGCGGCTGGTCAGCAAACCATGTGGCGTCTTCGATGAGTTTCAAAATCTCAAGGTCCTTTTCATATCTTTTAGGTGGCTGCCTGAGGCCCTCGTTTCAAACTTCACTCGTTTCAAAGCCTTAGACACAGGCCCACAGGTTGCTTCTTGACAGCACAATTCTCAAATTGCGGTTTTCCTGGTACCACTATAAATGATAGCCCGGTTTAAGATCGTTGTGAGGCCACTTCGATCTTAAACCTATTCAGGTTTTCAGGCTATTTTGGTCTTAAACGTTGTGCCAGACCACTTTGATCTTAAAAGCTGAACTTCTGAGATCAAAACGGCCTCAGCAAACGATCTTAAACCGGGTATTGATTTATAGTGCGGTCTTCTTATACGAGGTTTAGCCGCTTTGCTGATGTCCTCGATATCACGACCGGTCTCCGCTTGCTAACGCCCCTTGGCCCATGGGTGAGTTAAGAAACGAGACACAGTATTGGTTTTGGGTGGGAAAGCAGTGTGGGACCTAGACTTTCATTTGCAGGCGCATGGGATGACCCCTCGACGGCGACTCTCTGCAACATTGAACCACTGTGGAGCCGGTTCCAAGGTACCTATTTTTGAGGTACAGGGTATCGGAAGCCCAGGGCCAGAGTCGCCGCCATTGAAGGAGTGGTGCTTAGCCAACTGCCCGCGGCAGGCGGCAGGTCTTCCCAGCTTTCACAAACCTATACTTGAAAGTAAAGCACTTCGTTCCCCTGCGTAGCAACTTTCTGCAGGCGAAGCCTTTGTTTCCGGTGGTGGATGGTGCATTTTCACACCTTGAAGTGGTGATTCAAGAGGCAGTCCTTACCGTTCTCTGTCTTGCATGTAGCTACGTGTTTCTCTTGGTGTGGAGAGACAAAGTGGTCCAAGGCCTGCACGGGCGGCGCCTAAAGTGATGGCCGGCAGGGACTGTTGGCGCATGATTAGAGCGAGGGCTTGGCAAAACGGACTGTATGTGATGCATGTTGCGTAAGAGGAGCCTTGTAATGCCTTGAAACCACTCAGTGTCGGATCGGACTGTTTTCAACGTTTCAATACTTACGTATCAGGTGAGGATCCGTGCAGCTATACATCCTTCCAACACTGCACATGTACGTTTCTTTTTCGCCCGAGCTCAGGAGGCTGGGCCCATATCACAAGAAACCACCCTCCCCCCGGCCGCTCAAAATCTGCAACTGCTCGATTGCGGTTGACTCATTGCTAGGAAATTGAATGGTGAGGGGAACGTGTAATATTCTTAGATGATGTCATTCTCATCGGCGCCATATAATTAATTAGAGGCCGCACCGAGATTGCTCGGCCAGTGAACTGGCATGGATCCATCTGCATCAGCTCTACATAGTCTTTCGGACCTTCCATGATCCATGTGTCCACAGACACTGGCCATGCCGATGGACTTGCTGATGCAGATCGAAGCACCCAACTTAGCAAGCAGAATTTCGAGTCAGGCAACGTGCTTTCACGTACAGTCAAAGTGGAGTTTTTCAAGTCGAAAGCACTACCCTTGGGTGGCTGCTGACGCAGAGCATTACGTGTGTCCTTTTGATCTACAACCGCAGAGGCTACCACTTCTCTAGAAACACTATTCAGCATAGACGAGTCTCACGCTTAGCAACGTACTCGTGTTCGACACGCTTGATCAGAGCACCACCATCCTTTCTGCCGCCAACTGTTCACGACGAGTTGTCGCGGGCAGCAATTGACTGCACGTAGCATCTAGAATGGTTCCCTACTTGCAAGGACCACTTCTCAAGCGAGGACGACTATTCAACGATAACACGCTCGCCTACAGGTGAGTGAGGGCAACCGCCATATGTATCTTGCAAAGTGAGTTCAGCGCTTTTATCGTGCCATAAGGGCAGCATAAGATACCGTAGCAATAGATACAAGTTGCGCTCAGCCGCCGTTAGCAGCTCTGGGCGATTGCCCATTGTTCTGAACGAGGGCGTTCCCGTGTCCGCTCGCGCCCGGCGACCGCGGAGACCGCGGGGAGCGGTACTCCTGCAGCTCGTGCCGGAGCCGCGACAGTTCCTCGCGCAGCTTGCGATTGGTCTCCTCCAAGTCGGCGGCCCGGATCTGGGGAAAAGCGGTACGGAACGATTGTGACGTCAAGCTCCAAGTTACATAATGCTCATGTCAAATAACCAGTTGGCTACTTATTCAGGAAGTTCTGCGCATTTGCTGCTTTGCCTCTTCTAAGTCGGCAGCCCAGATCTGGGGGGTAAAGTTGTGACGTCAGCTCCAGACTGAAGCTCCAGTTCTCAAAACGTCACCGGCTGGTACAGCGACGGCACTTCCTCGGACAGTTGCTGCTTCCCTCCTTCAGCAGCTTGAACCCATCAAAGTCGAGGGTCATCGTTTCTGCCGTTCGCCATCAGCGACTTAAGTAGTATATCAATCAAACAATTACTTTCCCTCATGAAGGCGACTCTGACCTGCATTTTACAACGGCGTGACACGTCCGCATCGAAATCTGTGACCGATCCGCGTTACGAGGGTTGTTTTGCAAGGCCTGAGCCCCAAGGCCTAAGACCTGTGAAAGCGCAAAGCCGAAGCTTGAGAAGCGCAAAGGCAACAATCTGCAAAGAGCTTCGAAAGCGCGCAAGCCTCACCCTTTGTTCCTCGACCTCCCGCCGGGAGGCTGCGAGCATCGTCTCGAGCTCGGTGCTCTTCTCAGCGTCGAGCGCCGTCTCTACGTCGCCCATGTGCTGCTCCTCGACCTTGAACGTCTGCGTTTTCCTGGGGGAAAGGAAGGCGGGGATCTTTAGGGGGAAAAGAAATGTGCGCGTCCCTGCAATAGCATGCTTGATATGCGGGGTAGCAAGGGTCGCGCATTCATGCTGACGAAAGCACGACTTCGCCAATGACAGAGAGGGTATCGGATGCAGAAGCGCCAATGGTAACGTTTGCGTATCGTAAAGGGGACGAATCGGATCAGGCTTTTAATTGTCAACTTTTCCCGGTTGAGCCCGATTTGGATCCCGCAATCGACGGGACTGCTACAACCTCTTGTGAAATTACTCTGGCAGAACAGTGAGTGACACAAACGGCGACCAACGCGGCTCAGTCATTGTACAAGTGAAGTGCGATCTGCTGTCAAAAGGACTCGGATACAACGTCCGAAGACACCAAAACAACAAAGTCAACGTGGCTCAACCCTACCGGGACATACAAGCACCTTTCCTGTCGTAACACAAATGCTAGCCTGGTGTTCCGTAAGCGCAGATGGGTCGTACCCAGTGGAAGTGCAGGCCCGATTCCGGGTTGAATGCCGATATGGAACTTCAACTTGGAGCAGCCAAACGATTTTCCAGACGAGAACTCACCCTCCGTCCGGCACCACGAACTGCGCCGCCGTCGCGTCTAGCTGCTCGAGGGTGGCGCCCCGCCGGAGCCCGCCCTGGGTGCGCAGCTTGTACAGGAACGCGTCCAGGTACTTCTGCTTGTTAAAGAGGACATTCCAGATGGGCTCCCAGTTCCTGCGAAAGTTGGGATTGTATATGTGGGATGCTTTGATAGAACGAAGCGCTCGGGTCAAGTTTCGAACGAACAATTTTTGTGATTGAGAAGTGAAAGGATCAGTTCCAGACCAGATTACCGAGTGGCATACCATTCTGTCCAGTCTTCACCAGCTTATTACTTGAGGAATAAGTTGAGTGAGGTATACAGCAGGGGCCTGTACCCACCTATGTTGAATTGGACACGGCAAAACTAGAAAGAGGCTGCCTTTCAGCAGGCCTGACTGGTGCCAAGTAGCTCAAAACGAGAGGTCGAACCAGACTACGAGAATTCAAGTTGAAAGAGAGCCAGATAGGGATTCAAAGTTGGTGCCGAAGTGTCCAACCTTGTGACTGGTCTCGTGACTGGTCACTTTGACCAAAAAACTGCACACGCACCTAACAGGTTTTGGTTATGTCCGATGCTGCTGGACACGAAATCAGTGTTTGTGCTTAGTAGAGAATGAAACCACATCCTTGGGGGCAAGTATGAAGACTCTGGTATTCAAACGAGTGACTCACTTGGCTGAGGGTAGAAAGATCAATCGGACATATGTGCAGAGAAATGTAGGACGACAGGGTAGACGGGTTTGGCACATACCTGATCCAGAAGAAGTAGAAGACCTCTGCCGAGACCGCCAGTGTGAAGAAGCACCGCCCCGTGACCTGGTAATAGGTCTTGGTGGACAGGATGACCATAGCCAAGAAGAAGAGGAAGAACGCAATGACGCCGCCATTGCGCACAGTGCTGCAAATGGACCAGGAGAAGAGCGCTTTTGGACTTCGTTGCATTTAGAGGGGGGCGACGAAAACTCTTGTTTGGGAGGCGTTTAGATCCAACGAGGGTTTAATAAACGCAGGAAAAGCATTGGCTCACAGCCGCTTCACATGTTATGCAGCGGAGAGACAGACAGCATGACTCGACCGGCCGCTGGTCATGGAGAAGCAAGGTAGGTGCAGTATCCGTTTGGACTCTAAATGGTTCAAACGGTACTGCTTTTACACAGAAACGATACGTACTTCTGGGCCTGTCGGATTGTTTTCATGCCAAGAAATCTGAACACTGTTTCAAGGGAGGCTTCTATATGGAAGAGAAGAACCATTTGAATAAGTAAGATTCCGGATGGTCCATTGCCTTTAGCGAGAAACACTGCCTCGGACGCTGCTCTATTCAAACAGGAAGGAAGCAAGGTTTGAACGCTCCTGCCACCTAACTAGGGAAGGATCACTTGACACAGAAGAAACGATAAGGCCAGGAATCTCAAGTCGAGCACGCTATCCTTACCCAAAACACCAGTACAGCTCTTTCTATCTGGTGGTGCGGAAAGGACTATAATTAAGGACTCCCTCTGAAAGGACCGCTACAAACAGTGCCGGTCCCACCTGTACTCGTTGAACTCGTCGCGCACGTTGCGTAGCTGGAACGTCAGCACCACGAGAACAATAAAGTAGAAGGGGAGGATGACGAGCGCCGACACGGCCCACCGCCAGTTCTTAATGATGCAATCGCCCCGGACGTCGTCGTTGTTGAACGCGATGCACCGGAAACTGCACAAGGAGCAGAAAAAGTCTTCAGTCTTTGTTCTTCATTCTCGGCATGCACTCGCAATTGGTGAGGCAACGAGAGTTGATACAACGCGTCAGCAATAGAATCTTAAAAGGAAAGCAGCAGGACTCTCTGCCTTCCGCGTTGAGGGCAGTGAGATACAAGTGACTTGAAGTCCTCATGCGTCACTATGCTCCCAAAGGTATGCGAATGCCTCTTCGAAGGGAAGCAAGCAACCATATTCTTCAGTAGGGGAACTTTTACCAATATCCATTGGGTTCAACCAGACTTGATTGGAGAAGTGAATCTCTGACCATCCTTGACCAGGACATCCCACCAGAATTGGTCCAGTCAAATGCCAGGGTTTACATTGTCTGAGAAGCCAAAGCAGATTTGGCTCAATCCAAACACAAACGCTCACCCAAGCCGCGCCCTGCGGCTTGAAAAAGAAGTTTGGAGACAAGTGTGCCTCACTTGCTGGCGTGCTGGGCCGAGGCAAAGATGCAGAAGATGATGACTGGCAGCAGGAGGACTACGAGCGGGATCCAAAAGTCCCGCTCCGTGGTCTTTTTGGCCTGGACGAGCAGGCGGTGGAGACGCCACATGCGAACAATCAGGCAGTTGAGCCAGAGCGCAAAGCCGAGCCCCAGCTGCAACCAAAACGTCCACAACGTACAGATCGTCCAGAACGTGTTCTTCGGACGTCCGAAATGGTCGTTCACCACAATGGTTGCAGCAATCCAGATGAGCCCGCCGATGGAGCTTATGACCGTAGCGTCCACGCGCTTATACTTGATGGGGAGGTAGTTTCGGTGCCAGACCATGACGGCGTTCCCCAGAATAAAAGGAATGACGCAGACTCCAACTATCGCAATAACGACAATGTCCAAGGCTTGGTTGGGGGGAGACCCCAAGCGCTTCTCATCAGTTCCCGAGAGGTCATACCCCTCACAGTCTCCCGAAGTGACAAAGTTGTTGGAACTCATTTTGTTTCACTCTAGTTGTTTCTTCAGTATGAGGAATTTGTACTCAATTCTTCTATGTATGATGGAAAACAGTTCTCCCCTGATTGTCTCTGTAAGAGGAATGGTCCACCTGAATAGGTAGCTTGTATGGTTTTCTCTTGCCTAGCGCAAGCTAGGATACTTTGCTGTACAGATGAAAACCTTCTTATGCTTCTTCTGGTAGACCCTTTCTTCTTTACCCCAGCATCCCGGAATATGGAAAGGCTCGCTGACCAAACAATGTCAGAGAAGGTGAAGCCGCGCCTAGGCGCTAATGCAACCACCACAGCAAAGCGCAACTCTGACTAAGCCCTCGTGCCGTTTCTCACGGTAACTACTCAGCCGATTACCGGTATTCCAGAGCAGCGCATTCCACCACTGGCAACAAAGCACGGCCGTTTCCCAACCACAATGCCCAACAAGCAGCAGCACAATCCTGCCTGCTTCTGAACCTGAGCGTTCAGCTCCGAAACGAGGAAGTTGCTGCAAAATTTTCCACAGACGAATGCAGAGAAATGAGGGAACCCGCAAGGTCGCACCTCCGCACTTTTCTCCTCGTGATTCGCGCGCCTACATCTATTTTGTGCGCGACTCAGCATCCCAGGCGCTCATCGGGCGCAGATTGTGTGCAGAAAGCACATTGGCTAGCGCAACTGAGTTGACTTTCGCTTGTCCGTAGTCAAAGTCCATCCCCTCTAGCTAGCTGTGCACAACTAGACAGGGGACGATCGGACAAAGTCTGGGCTCTGGAAAACCCTAATAGGATCATGCCGTCTCTGCTCAGTGTGGAGAGCAGCAATCTTTTGCTGCATTTCGGAACGTGGGGTGTGACCGCTGTTTTCCTCGTTGAGAAGTGAGGAGGTACACTGACATAATGCTCAATGCCGCCGTGGCTAAGGGGGGGCTAAGAAGTGCAATGCTGTGAGACGATTCCCGCACATTCTCGTCCATGATAAAGGCAGACCTGTGGAGCCCATGCTGTAGATTTGACTGATGGGAGACGCTACAGCTCGGGTACAGCTCTGCCACTCGACGACCCTGCAACTCTTGAGCTTGTCCCTCTCTAGGTGCTAAGGTTGGAAGAAGAGCCTTCTTTGCAGCAAGTCTCCCATCTGACACATCATTGGACACAGTGGTCCCCTTCCTTCTGGCTTCCTTTCTTAACAAACTCGCATTCAGAAGTGAGTTTGCTTCGCGAGCAAGTGAGGGCAAATGGTTCGATACTTGTAAGCCCAGTCAACAGATGTAAGCCCGGTCAATGAAGGCCGCTACTTGAGTTGTCATTGATGGTGGTCTGGATGGAAACATGGAAACACAAGCAGGATTTGAGCGCCAGCAAGGTCCAGCCTTTGTGTATAGAATCAGCAACGTTGAGGAATGGAAGCGGGCGCAGGAGGAGGGTGGCTTGTGGGGGAGCCAGATGGATCGAGACAGCGGCTTCGTTCACCTCAGTTCAGAAGAACAGGTGAGGCAGCAAGCAGCAGCAAAATACAGACCGCTTGACATAAACCGACCGCAAAAGGACAAAAGCAGCGTGCTTTTGAAAGTGGAGAGGATAGTGTTAAATTGCTTCTTCAGGGTGAACCACCCTCACCTGCAATAGGGTACTTGTCTTTGACAGGCTGAGGGTGATCCTCTGGAAGACCGTTTCACAATAGGTCGAGAGGTGGTGTGGCAAGGGAGGAGGATCATGAATGGGAGTATTGCTGCTTGACAGGTCCCGGCAACTCTGAAGAGGTTCTTTGTCGGGCGGGAGGATATTATCCTGCTCAAGATCGACGCTGCCAAGGCGAGTCTCCAACTGAACCTGTTCGTGTGAAGCGGTGAATCTGTCTGCGTGAATTTGATCTTGTTTTTCAGTGCCCAAATCGTTGAGACGATGATGTGCTACAGCTGTTTGCGTCAAACTTGCTATCAGGTTCCAACCTTATGAGCATGGGTCCAGACCTTCAACCTTCCGATGTCTTTCCTATCTTCAATCGAAAGCTTCAAGATTAAAAAGCATGCTTGGAGCACTTAATTTTCATCGGCAATTTCGGAGCAAATAGCTGCGAGTCCCAACGAAACCCCCGCAAGACCTTCCAAATAAGTTGCAAACAAAACAGTTGCTCAGATTGCGAGTCTGTTTCACTTGGTCGTAACTGTCGGCAGGTCCTTATCTAGCAGCAGCAGTCCGCCCGATGAAAAAGATCGACACTTTGAAGCTTGACCAAAGTTTGCCAAAAGTTTCCTCAAGGATTGCCCTTTGGCTTGGTAGCTTTGATTTTGGCGACACAAATGCATCTGAATCATCCTTACATGGGAATCAGCTGCTTTACTACAGCTCCTTCCGAGCAACCTGCCACTTTTAGTGAAAATTTTAGACTAACTTAGTCAGTCTGTTGTTGAGTGAAATTACTCTAAAATAGATGACACTAAAACTGGCCGGTTGATCGGGAGAAGCTGTAAGATCATATTCGATGAGCGCCGTTCACTTTTGCGGCTTGTCATGTTAGTTCGATGCATTTTGCAGCTTGGGGCCCAACTCAGGTTTGAGGATACCACAGGCCACGGAGTATTCCCACACTTCTATGGATCGGACGGGGAATACCATGCGTTGCCATTAGCCGCGATTTTACAGGCGGAACCAATTACTCACGAATTCAGGTTTTGAACCTAGGAATTCAGGTTTTGAACCTAGGTCCAAGCTAGACCAGAAGTACGTGCATGCAACCGGCCAGAATTTTTAGAGCTACGGGTTCCACGATATGAGATTTGTGCTACGCAGTTGAGCTTTCTGTCATAGCGCGGCGGCCAGTGCCTCTTCACAAGACGGACATAGGCCGACCAGGCTCGACGGAACCGCAATCTTCAGTGGACATCACATCCAATCTATACATACCTATATATTGCGCGATTGGTCAGTATATAAGCTGCACTGGCATGCACGATTGTCGGAATGCGAAGCATAACTCAGCTGTACTTGCGCAAACGTTGCATGATTCAGCATGCATAGTAGACTTCACACCGGCACGATTTGATTTGACCTCGATTGCCAATTCAGTCAGGGCAGACGGTCAATCATGCACTGACATTTGCGTAGACCCCGTCACACGCACGCACCTATACTGACATCATCGACTTAAGATCAAAGTATGATTAGTCAAGCTCTTAACAGTCCAAATCCTGCAAAATGTTGGACACGTATCACCGACTCTGTGGATTGGTGTGGCCGTGCTCAAAGCTTGCTTTTGGTACCATACACGAATCAATCCGAGAGCTCTCTAATCTAGTAGACGCATATCCGCATCTGGATCTGTCACTGCGACCTAGCGGGAAGAGAATGTCAAGGAAACTGGAGGCTCAGTATCATCCTCTAGCCGAGCAGGGTGCATTCATCAAATCAAAGATTCTTTCTACTACAGGTAAAACCTTTTTCATCTTCTGTCTGGGCTTAGCCCTTCGATTCTTTGGCAGCCCTCTCTTGACTCCACTTTTTGGGGTACACCAACATGGATGTATTGACCCTCATCTTCAACAGCGTGCCGTGTGCGCTTGCAGTACTTATAGTACATGAACGTGTGGATCGTCATCAATCCTAGAAATGATACTAGTCTCGGTGGGAAGCGGTCAGCTGCGTTCTTTGGGAGCCTTTGAGGGTCTTGATTTCCGCTTGGAGAGCGGCTATGACTTGGTCCTGTCAGAAAGAAAGAAACAAAGTCACCGACAAGAGCCCAAGCGTGGGAGCTTCAATTGGTCAAAAGTGAAGCTGTTTCACCGTACCAATGATTGATCTATGCACACTTGCCGCAAACATGAGATAATTTAAGTTCTTCTGACCATCTTGCAAAGCCCCTCAGGTAGTATTGCATTTGCTCAAACTATGCTCTTTAAGTCCTTCTAGGCCGGACGGAAAAGCACTGAAAAGGGGTACGATGATTCTCCGACATGTATGCGTACGGCTTCCAATACTTGCGGAGTGCGTAGGCGGCTATTATTGATAAGTTCATAACTAATTGCTGGTATGGTACGTTGCGAGAAAACAAGGTCATCTCGAGGAAACCAACCGGACCGGAAAAGTAATACGACATACTGAAAGTGTGCGGAGCACTGAAGGAATCAATGAGACGAGGCATTTCCAATACGATAGCCTTGGTTCTGGGAGGAACACAACTGAAGCGCCCTGCCATAGCCATGCGATGCTTTGCCACAAGGCGCTCGAGCGCATGCGCATGCGTTCAGAGGTGCCTCTGTAACTGGCGAATGGATAGCGCAGCAAGTACTTTGAAAAGAAGAGAGCGGAATTTGGGGTGAAAAGACAATCTATCCCCTTGGGAGCCGACCCAAAAGGAGGCCAACTAAGAGGCCGATACGAGACGCTGAAAGCGGCTAGCTTCGAACATGAAAGTTATGCTGGATTGCGTGAAGTAAGCGGGAATAATGTCTGACCTTGTGTTCGAGGCGCACCTCCAGGTGGGCGCGCGTCCTCAAGCGCTTTCAGCAGCTCTTCCCCAAACGCAAAGCAAGACAGCACTAGAAAAGCGGAACGTTAAACCATGCGCTCTAGCACGAAGAAAAAACTAGAGAGGGGACATCCTGACCTTTGTGCTCGAGGCGCACCTCCAGGTGGGCGCTCCGTTGTCGCTCCTCCTCAAACGCCAAGCAGAAAGCGGCGCTCTTTGAGAACCAGGGAGGTAAAGAACTAGAGAGGGGAGAGTCTGACCTTGTGCTCGAGGCGCACCTCCAGGTGTGCGTTCCGTTGCCGCTCCTCTTCGAGCGCTTTGAGCGCCGCCTGGCGCTGCACCTCCACCGCCGAAAGCTCCTTCACCAGCGCCTCAATACTCGCCTGCAGCTGCACGTCAAGGGGATGACGTCAGAGAGGATGGCGTGCGGGGATGACGTCAGTAAGGGGTTTGCATCCTGTTCTTGCTGCCCGTAAGTGCCATAGGAGAGACTTGTGGAATCTAGCTGCCATTAACCAGCCTTCTTAAACAGCGCCTCGATGCTCGTTTGAAGTTGCACACAGAGATGACGTCAGCAAGGGCTACCAAGCCTCAGAAAGGGCTGCCAGCCACGAGGAGCCAAGCATCCCAAGATACGCAAGGTGCAACGCCAATTTTGATACTCATCCATCGAAGTTTCATCAAATTCTCGTCAGTTCAAATGGATTCAAGATGCTCCTATATTTTGTTGATGCTGACTGAACTGCTGTTCTGATAGTTCAAAGTTGTTCAATCGAACAACAGTGTTCGAGAACCATACTACCAATAGAGACAACTGCTTATGCCAATGGAAACAGACAGCTTCGATCATCTCCTTATCCTCCTCGAACCGCCTCAGGGAAAATCGAAAGAACCAGAGGAGAACCTTCGGAAGCGAAAGGGGGAAACAAATACTCATTCACAAACTATGCCTTAGGAGCATCAACCTGTCACAAAGCCCAGGCCCTTGGAACGTAAAAGGTAATAGTCCTTGTGTAAAGACGACAAAAGCGGCCAGGCAAGCGTTTTAAACCCCGCAACCAAGTGCTTTGCTTTTCACCTGGGCTATCTCTTCTTCGTACGACACCTCTTCGTCCTTTCGCCGAGTCTCCAGGACGCTGTTGTAACGGTTCGGTTCTCCTGCTCTCCCATCCGACTCTAAGCGCCCGCTCACGGAGGCAGCTTCACTTCCTAGCCGTTGATCTTCCAGTTCGCTTGACTCTGGCCGTTCGTCTTCCCACCCCTCGCTCCACAAGCGCTCAAAGCGAGCAAAGCTTGCATAAAGCGAGCGGCCCACTTTCTCTAAAAGCCCCCCCGACGATTCCCCACCGTCCGCTCGCCTCTCTTCTTGACCGTTCGCTTCGCTCTCCGCACCCTTCACCAGGTCAACGCCCCGGTTAACGAAGTAACCCGCTTCCGCCTCCGGCCTGCCCCACCGGCCTTGGTAGCTTAATCCGTTTCTTTCAAACCCTTGGCTCGCGCCCACATAGGCCCCCTCTAACTTCTCCTCCAAACCCTCGTCTGCCTCCCTTAACCCGGCTCTTAACCGCAGAACGGTGGCCACAGCCCCCGCCAAAACCAGCGCTAGCCCCAGCACAACCCCCGCCCTCCCTACAGGCGACTGCGGCAGCTTAACCGGAACCACAGCCGTGACGGTTTGGCCGACCCGTCTCACTAACCCGTGGGTTGGGGGCGCCCGCGTCACAAGTGCTTCTTGAGCTGCCGCGTGGCGCTGGACGACGTCAGCAAACGTTTCTTGCGACATTGGGCCCCAGTAACCGGTTCCGGGGAGGCCCTGAGCGCGCTGCCATTCGCGGACCGCCACAAATGTTGCCTTTCCAAAGTACCTGCAAAAATTGAAAACGGTCTGTTCATGTATGTGTGTCCCAGAAGAAGAGAAGAAATAAACCCAACCGGTTATTCTTTGCCTGTCAAGAAAGGGCAATGTAGAAATTGAGGAGATTGTTGTATCAAAAGTATGGCCGAGTGACGGACTCATGACAGCGTATGACATGGGCAGTATGCACAAGAGCTCGAAAAGTGTTCTGCAGAAAGGAAAACAAACCCTGGTGTACAAACCCTGTGGTTAGAAGCGCGGCCGAATGTGCATGATAGGAATCAACTCAACGTGCCGATTACCTGGCACAGCATTCAGATCATACCGGACAGATCACGATATATGAATTGCAAGTACAGTACCTATCAGAATACAAAGCAGGATTGTGAGGGTGTCAATGAGCATATGCCATGCTGCTGTTTTGCAACCCGTGAGTGGCAAAAACTGGTGAAAAGACACGAGAACTAAGAACAAGAAACAACCAAGCACTACAATAAAGCTAGCAGTTTGGGAATGGAACTAAAGCAACGCCGCTTGTAGCCTGGCTATTCCACTGCACTGCACTACTCGTGCATTACATGCACAAGTCCACACTTCACACACTATATTGAAGAACCCACAAGCTTGAGTCTGATACAAAGGTTAAAGAATGTGGCATGGTGGCTAAAGAATGGTGGCTAAAGAATATGGGCATCGCACACAGCATGTTTTCAAGCCCATCTGGTTTCAGTGGCACAGAGAAGGACGGAGTTGAAAGCAAACGGTAGCAGAAGGGCGATAGCAACGAAGAGGACAAACTAGCAGAGGTGGACTAGGGGAAATCAGCACCCCCCTGTGAGTTGGCTGTATGCGGGCATCTGCGCAACTGTGGGCATTGCGCAATGTCCGCAATTGCGCAGGTTGCAACTTTCAACCTGATTGTAATGGCACCAAACCTAGCCACCATGAAACGCAGATAAATAGACAGGGAACAACGAAGAAAAGTTGCTCCAGACATGTAAAGGACGTGAGAGCACCCACCCCAATGATCTGGCTGTCGTGGGGGATATGCCTAACCGTGGGCATTGGTCAATATTGCAACTTTCAAGCGCACCTGATTGTAAAGGCATCAAAAGAAAGCCAACAGATAAAAGGGCAACGGAAAGGCTAATGGATAATGATAGCACCTACCCTGTGATTTGGCTGTCTTTCGGCATATGCCCGAACGTGTGCATTGCGCGCTGGAGCGCCTCGACGTCCGCGCCATAGTCCCCCTCCTTCAGGTCCCTCACAAACTCCAGCCATTGTAGCTCGTACACTGAGAATGGAAGCACTTTGGACAGCTTGCCCAAGTTTCTCGCGTCTGGCGGCCCTGGAAACTGGTCGCTGTTAGAGTCGGTTTCGGGGGCCCGCCGTCGGCCCCAACGAGCTGTGACGTTTAAACGTTTCGGAATTCTGGTTTCAGAAGGTGGGGATGTGTTGAAGAATGGTGAGAATGCAGGGGCAGGAAGCCAAGGGGAGCGCAATGCAGAGCATTCGAGGAGGCGTGGGCTATGCAGAGATGGTCTCGTTAAGGCTGTTCTCAATCTGGAACTCGACGATAAAGCCCGCCCACTTGCGGACCCCAACGAACAGTAAGCACCTGAACGATTGCGCCGCAAAAAGTGGGCTGTGTACTGAGGACTATCCCCTATGGAGGCTCCAGTGTCCCGCGCCTTTGAAGACAGTTTCATTTTCTCAAAGGAGCAGCTAGCCATGGGCGTCCCTACGGCACCTGCCATCACTTTGCCCCTTTATCCAAAGCCCCCAGCGCTATTGTATAGCCTAATGAACCTGACTAAGTGTCCTGAGGCAATGCAGCTTTGTTTCCTGATGATGCGTCAATTACTGCGGCAGAAGAAAAGGTGGTACCATCCTTTCGGGCAGAAGAAGGCCTGCAGGCTGAGCGCACTTGCTCGTGTTTGTGGCGCACCTCCATCAGAAAGCAAACGCGAGCAAGCTTCTGCACCATCGTCTGGCAAATGCTCGCAAGACTTTGAACACCTGAACGCCCTCAGGCTCACGAAGTGTGTTGTCTACAAAGCAGCCTGACACTGACAGTACCGTCAACCTTGCGCCGTTGGATGGAACATCGGGAAATCCTATTGGACGGTCAGGGTCTAAGTATAACCGCTAGGCTGGCTTTATGACTGCCAACTTCCAAGGCCCAAGTTCAACTCGGGCTAAAGCACGCTGCAATGACATGGTCACTTCTTTTTATACCCAGTAGTTACGCCATGATGAGGTAGTCAGGTAGCATGTCATGTTAGTCATGTTGCTTTGTTGTTAGTAACTGCTTGGTAACTAGAGCTATAGAAACATTTTTTGATGAAGCCCGAACTCCGAAATTGCTTGTTTCTGCGCCATGGGCCCAGGTGCCTAAGCGTTGACATCGTCCGCGATAAAGTCGTGCATGCAGGCGGACTTTGTTAAGAGTGGTTACAACAGTATCTGTAGTGATAAGGAGATCGGCTTCAATTTGTTTTATGCATGATGGTCGCGCACGGGCGGCTCCAAATAGTGCTATAGGTTTGGCATGTATGTTGACAACCAACATGGCTGGGCTGCGCAATAGAATCCAGAAATCGTCATCATCATTTTAGAGGAAAGGGGGATTGCACAGTCTGCCTTTGACGCAACATTGTAGATGATTCGCATATCATACGCTGAGACCAGTCCTACATGGATGACTCGTGCACGCATGTATAGCGGCTGAGCAGGCAACTAGACACAACGCCACTCTCAATCCGCATGCGCATTTTTCACGGCCTCATACACGAGATCCACAAACCGGTCATCCTGCACTAGCTGTGCGAGCGCCTCCCTTATCCTATCCCTCGTGATGGAAACGCCCTCAGGCACGTGCGCTCCCCCCCCAAGTGGAGTTAGCGTCGGCGGGGGCGCCGGAGGGGGGAATGGCTGCAGCAATGGCGAGCCGTGGGGCAAGTGCCCGGGCTTTTGCCGAGCAGCCGCTGGAGGAAAGCTTTCTACTTCTTGAGAATAAGAGGGGGGGTAATTTTGGCCCGAGGAGGGGAGGGGGGGCGGGACGAAGAAGGCCGGTTTGGCTAACTGGGGTTTTGTGGGGTGGAAAAGCCCGGGAAGAGGGGCCTGATTGGAAGGGGGGGGGAGGAAGGAGTTGGGGCCTGGGAGGGGGGGAGCGGGGGGGGCGGAGGGGCCTGTGGAAGACTCGCCTTGGCTCAACTGGATGGCGGTCTGCAAGATGCAGAAAAAGTTTTACTTTTCCAGAAAGCATCCACAGCTCGTCAACACGAATCTTAGATTCGGCACACCGATGTGGGCTGGACGAAACTCGACTTCGGGAGCCATCGTTGGCAATGTGAACCCAGCTTGCTTAGACGTGGTTCAGTGAAAGCCGAAGCGGAGGCGGTGTCGAGCATCCAGGAAGGTCACACTATGTTCGCATGTCAGCATGCTGTTTTCTGGAATTCAAAATCACTGAAACCCTGAGACGTGATGCCTCCCAAGATTAGCGGACGGAGCATGATTTCGAGAACACGAGGCGGTCAGCACCCTTATTCGCGCATCTCTCACTCAGAATCACCCCAGACAATCAGCAGCCAAACTTTCCAGGAGACACTTCTTTCCGCTGCGCGACCCGTCGAATCGTTCGCAGGACTTGCCAGCACCGCTTTCCTTCCTCAGGCACCCACCAAACGAGAAAGACAAGAGGACCATATGAAAAGACATCCTCATAAGAAGAACGCACCGATCAAGGACGAAGTGTGCGCTCCAATCCAGGGGCAATGACTTACGTTGAAGAAGCGCTGCAAAAGATCGGCCGCGGGCTCTTCGGGCGATGAGATGGCCTCGTCGGACGGCCCCTCGAGCGGCTCCGCCACGACCGCGGCCGCGGTTTCGCCCGTCGGCTCTAGTTCTTGGTATGCCGGGCTGCAGGCACAAGGAAAGATGACTTTTCGGAAAGTTGAAAAATCACGGAAAGAAAAGGAACGACAATAGAGAAAGATCAGTTGATTAGTTTTTGAAGGCTCGTCGGCTCTAGTTCCTAATATGCCGGGCTGCGAAGGAACAAATTCGACTCGTTCAAACAATCGTACTTGAAAACATTGTTCAAATAGGAGAAGAAGTGGTGAAGTAACTTGCTCGGTGCCGCCGCAACCGAGAATGTCTCGAGTCTTGTGTGGAAACGGCGTTGTCCAGAACCTTACGGCAATGATGAATGTCGGTGGTTAGAGGAAGACTTAGCAACAAACGAGCCGTCACCAGTCCGCCATTCACGAACTGTAATCAAAGAAAGTTGCCAGATTCGTGTATTTTCAAAAGCATCCTACGAAAGGTTGGGAACCCTGCCTGACCCTCTTCCGGGAAACGATAGCCCCGTATCGGCGAGTTCTTTCCTAGGAGACAAACGTTGTTTATGCTGTTGGTAAGCGCTTTCGAAGTCGCTAAATTTATCTCGATGAAACATAGCGATCCGACAACAGAGACGTCTGCCTTCGTGCGGGAGAGCCCCCGCTTCTTTGACCGACCATAGATTCCGTTGCCCGTATTACTGAGCCAAAAGTCTCATATGGAAGGACCTTTTCGCGCGTTCTTTAAAACACTTAGCAATCATACATACTCAATATCACAGAGGCTTTGTATACTGGCGTTCCCCCTTCCCCCCCGCGCCCGAAAGGTCCGATAGCGGCACACTCTCCTCGAGCAGAAGACGTTCCGGCTGGCAAAGAAGCCTGATCGCGCGCGTTTATGACAAGCGGGCCTTGAAACTTACATTACAGGGGCGAAGGCCTTCGGCTTAGGGGGCGTCTTGTTGAAAGCGGAGATTATCCTGCACCAAAAAACGATGAGGCTGTCATGAGGAAGTCGCGCTTTCCGGTCAGTTTTTGTCCATTTTTGCCAGAGGCAACTAGCTCAAAAAGAGGGCGTGGGCGTCGTACAATAGGAAACGATGCGTACGTAGGTCGCCTCATGGGGCACTCGTCAATCCAGTCGATTGGGGCATTGCTTGAGCGCGAGTTAGTCGGCTGGATCGAAATACGCATGACACGAAGAGTCAAGATCGAACCACAAATTTTTCCATGTCCACGGAATAGGGAAACTAGCGCAGCACCTGACAAGTAACCGGTCCTTGTTAAACGCCTAAGCGGTTCACTCTCGAAGAGCTTGGTGCGAATGGCTGGGCAAAACAGAACCGCGTCTTAGGAAAGACTTCGAAATGCAACCTCGGCATGGAAACTGGCGCAGGATTATGGTCGTGCTTGTCCGCGAGCTCCTCGTTCAGTACCCAATAAATGCCATATCATGGATGGCTCACTGGAAAAAGAGGTTCCTTTGCCCTACAGTTTAGAGCACAATCTCCTTGCGATTCGACAGGTCGTCACGTGCCCTCCCCTGACTCGAGTTGCACACGTCCATCTCTCGTTTGCTTCCTCGACTGGTTCCTAGACTTTCGGATTGGTGTGCGCTTTGCTTTGAACACAAAAGGTGAGAATGAGACCACTGCGACGCAGCCTCACCTGGTTATCAGCTTGGCGGCGTCCTCGCACTCGCGAGGGTGTAGAACCAGACTTTCCAAACGTCCGAAACAGCGTGTGCAGTCTGCTTCAAAGTAAGGAAGCGCAGAGATAAAGAAGCGTGACAAGCAGCCTCACCTGGTTATGAGCTTGGCGGCGTCTTCGCACTCGCGGGGGTTGTAGAACCAGATGCCGTTGACCTCCTGGACGGCATTGCGGTACAGCAGGTACGGCGTCTGCACCTCGAACTCGAAGTCGCCCAGCAGATCCTCCACTAGGTTTTCTGTAAGGTATTAGAAGTGGGAGTATGTGGGCTTTCTGGATTTTATTTGGCTTACAGCAGTATGGTAGAACCCGTGTGACAGAGCAGGTCAAGTGTTTTCACCTCGAACTCGAAGTCGCCCAGCAGATCCTCCATCAGGTTTTCTGTAAGGGAAGGGAATTTCGAGTATGTGGGCTTTCTGGGTTTCTAAGGCTTACGGTTTGGATCATGGTAGACCTTGATAGAGCCGTTTGATAGAGCACGTCAACCGTTCGCACCTCGAACTCAAAATCGCCCAGTAGATCCTCTACCAGATTCTCTGCAGAGGTTCTAACGGCTTGGAGTTTTTGAGCTTTCTGGATTGTTGAAACGAGTCAGCAATGTTTCGAATATGATCAACTTTGAAGACCCCTTGGCGACTGAAGGTTTCGTCTGTGACAACTTTACGAAGTATCGCCACCTCAGGATTCGCACATGGTAGAGCAGGTCGAACAATTGCATCAACAATGGGAATTTGCTAAGCAGGAGCTTTATCAGGGTCGCTGCAAGGCCTAAAAAATCTGAGTCACTTGGCTTCGTGGAGGTGTAAAGTATACTCGTTCTTGTTGATGTCCTCGTTCTTGTTGTGTATTCACTTGCCTTGCCCGAACATTTTTATTGTTTTTCAACTTACGTATCTGGCGACGAAAGTGTCGAAATAAGACGCTTGTATCGTGAATAAACTTGGGGACACTACGCACACGAGGTCAGCTGTTTGCACGGCACAGAGAAGCAGCAATGACAAGAGCAACTAAAGATTGAACACTCTTGACAGGGTTGACTCTAAGGAAGATCCGCTCTTCCAGCCTAAAACCGTGAAGCAAGAGGTCAAATGCACGATTCCGGACTCCGCTCCAACCAGCCGCTGAGATAAGGTATACAAAAGTGGGGGTTGAATGCGATAGTGTCTCTCGTTCCCAATCCGCAAGTCCTGCCGTCGTCTACCCCCACTGACACCAAGTCGAGTGCATTATGATGCATGCCCGATCCCTGCAATGTTAGCACATACCAAAGGATTGGTAAAGTCCTCCTCTGGCCAGTGCATCTGCAAATCCTCCCTGCCAACAGAAACAGATCACTGAACCTTACTGCTAGCGGAAGTCCTTGAGACACAGAAAGCTAGTTCGCACTTACCGGTGCTCCTCCTGTTCATCACGATGAACTGGAAACGGGGCTGCGTCCGCCTGCGAGAGAGTGGAGATTGCGGCTTTTTAACACTGTTTATTCTCCTAGCAGTACAATTAAATAAGTCTGAGCAGTCGAATTGGAGGTCGTGCGAGTCTGGGGTTCAGTGTATCCTTTGTTCAAAGGTGTTACAAATTTCTTCTTACTATGCAATCTCGTCGGAACAGGACGCAATTTCCTTTGCTAACCAGTGGCCCTATCAGTACTTTTATGGTGGCCCTATCGGTACTTTCATGGTGGCCCTAACGGGACTTGCTATGGATCATGACCCAGTATCTACACCAACGAGGCTGCTCAAAAATAATCAAAAGCCCGCTTCAGGGTGAGCAAGTGGTGGTGATTGAGAATCGGACAAATAACAGCCTGCCGTCAGAACTAACTTTCAGCATCTATGCTTGTTTTCCTCACCCTCTCTGTTTTTCTTTCAGCTCATTATGCTTCAAACTATTCCCCTCCGGACAAGTCTTACCTTTTGACCACAAACAAAGACCCCTCAACGTCCTTCCGACTCTGCAGAAAGCACGTTGCAAGCGGTTAGCTTGTTGTGAAAACTGAGGCAAAATTGCTCCACCCTTTGACCTGCATAATTAAGACTTTGATTTCCAAGGGTCAATCTCAGACCCTACTGCCAATCACGACCTATCCAATCTACCGGCCTGCTTATCGCTTGAAGGCCTGCATGGTCGATCGTGATGGACGCGTTGAAGACCAAGATCAGATTGAGCGATTCAGGAACACTTTTGACTGCAGAGCCTCTTGTAACGCATGTGGCCCATCAAAATTGTACACCTCCGCAAGGTTCAACCTACATTGATAGCCAAATCTGGTATAGGAGGTGCCCCTGACAATCTCTCAGCTCTCTCTTTTCTTTAATGCACAAGTCACACGCCACAGGAACACACTTGATCTTGGGGGGACCGAAACTGAACTCCAGCCAAGAAGCGGAGGCATGTGGAACTGCATATCATCTAGAAACAGCTCTTTTAAGGCAAGCTACCAAACACTTGTCAGGACCAAACTATTCACTAAGTACTTAGATGCACAAGGTCTGCAATCTACACCATACTCTATAGATGTACTGGCCCAAATGTGGGGGATGCTTATGAGCAAGAGCGGACAGTCACAAGTCTTCAGCAGCAGCTTGCTGAATGCATCAGTGTCTGCAGATGGACCGGCCCAGACATGGGAGATGCTCATGAGCAAAAGCGGACGGTCCAAAGTCTTCAGCAGAAGCTTGCTTAAATGCATTAGTGTCTGGCATCATGGAGAAAAGGTTCTGGACGCAGTAGTGGTGGTACAATGAACAGTTGACTCAAAGACCCACTGTAAGATAGACCGCCACTCAAGCCTTGTTGTCCTCATGACAAAGCAATTGGAAGGACTAACACTAGCTTTTTAACACTTCCACCGCCATTGCAAATACTATGCTCGTTTCTTGATCACATGGTACTCTGGACGAGGCTTCACAAGGTAGGCCCTTTGGAACGCCACAGATACAAGCATCCAAACTTGCAGCTTGCTCGACGGAAGAGCAGGGAAGGATGCTAGTCAGAAAATAGTCATCGAGAAATACCCCACACTCACCCACTGCTTCTCATCGACGTCAAACTCGTACAGCGTCACATGCCCCGCCGTCGCCAGGATGTCCTCCACGTTGGCATCCATCCGCTGCAAGACCGCCAGGTTCAGCTCCTTGGCTGACTCCTGATCGATCTGCGGCTGCGGGGTGCGGCTCTGCGCCATGCTTGCACCCGGGCTTTTGGACGCAAGGGGTTCCGGGCGCCTCTCAGGAAACGCAGCTCTTTGCAAACCTTCCGACAAGCAACGGAACATTTAGCAGACTCCTGTTGTGGCTGCACCCCTGCGATTCTTTGCCTTCACAGACGTCGTTTCAAGTGCACATCTTCATTCAGAACTTCAGCCTTCAGGAGACTTCAATGATTCTGAAGAGCGACAGATCAACAGAGATCAGATACCGAGTCAAGAGGAGCCGAATTGACAACGGAGGTGAAGATGGGAAAATATGCAGTCAAATTACATGAACTCTTATGAGCATCCGGAGCAAAAAGACGGCACGCGGTAACCGGCGTTTTGTATATCCTTTAATTTGTCTTTTGAAATAGAACGGTCAACCGTTACCAAGCCCTTAAAAAATCAAAAGCCTCTGATAAAAACTCCGAATATATCAAACAGACTTGTCATGTCTGTACAGCTGGGTTCCGAATCCAGCCATGAAGACTTTCGTGGCCCCACATTCTGAATCCTAGAGCTGCGAAACACTTGAGGAGCGCTTAGAACTCCCAGACAGCTAGCGACCATCATGGCGTCCTCTCTTGCTGCCGGAGCCGTCAGCTCCAAGCTCGTTGCCATCCGCATTCCCTCCTCTCAGCAGACTTCCTGCCAACCTTCTTCTTTCTCCGGAGCCCCCATCTTTGCGCACAGACTACCTGCAAACGGAAGCAGGATAACTTGTCAGGCAGAGAAAGACGCTGCTGACGTAAGCAGGAGGAGCATTTTGGGGCTTGCTGCTGCAGTCGTCCCAGTCTTGGCTGCGTCTCCTGCATTTGCGCTTCTGGAGAGCGATGAAGATCTAGAGTTGCTCTCAAAGGTGAAGGAGTCGAGGAAGAAGCGGGAGGCCAGCCAAGCGGAGGCGAAAAACAACCAGGATGAGTCATGTAAGGCGGCCATGCTGGCGGATTTGGGCTACAATGGTTTGTTTCTTGTGTTTTTCCTGATCTCGGTGTCACTCGGGGAGCTTTTATGAGCTTCATGCAGGCTTGTGCATTTCCATTTCTCGAACTCAGCCAACACCGCCATCTCTTCTGAAACTGGTACATGAGCGGCACAACCCTAACGGTTTGCACATGTGTCCGCACACTTGCCCTGGCGGTATTTCCGCCTGCATTCGGTTATTCATCGCAATCGCTTAGTATGCGGCAGGGCTTAAAAGTGATCATCGTGCAAAGCTTCAGAATGAGTTTGATTGGCTGCTGCAGCTGAAATCTGCAAGCAAAGGTTGAGGGACAAGCTCAAGAGCTTTTACTCCCCGTAATGAGGACTTTATATGCTCCTGTGAGCGAAGCCTATAAAGTCTGCGATATGGTCCGCTCAAAGGAGCATATACTGACGGTGATATCCATGTTCTTTCAAAGACTTGCACTGTCGAACCACCTCAAGAAAAGTCTGCTGAGGTGGACTCTTTATACAGCGGGAGTCATGTGTGCTCTTCTCGTTTCCCTGATCGAGAGCAAGACGCACCGCTAACCAGCGCTTTCAGGGCTGGACTGGTGATCAAGTAGCTGAAGCAGAATTAGGTGATGAAAGCATAAGCAAGTCGAAGAAGACGCATAGAAAGTTCAAAGAGAAAAGATAGAAGAAGAACAACAATTTGAATGTGGCGCCCTTCTTTTTCCGCAGCGGCGGTCCAGGATGCGGTAAACAGGCTGGCCAAGGCTGGCCAGGCGATTGACAGCGACGACTTTGAAACCGCGTCGTCTGTCCTCGGAAGCAGCTCGGACGTTACCTGGGTTGCAAATGTAGATGGGGCTCTAGCTAAGGTGACCGTTTCGACTTAGAATGTCTGCATCAAGGCTTGTTAATGAAAGCAGATTCTGTTGGTATGTGACATGGTGAACCTGAGGCAGTCGCTCAACAGTGACATGATGGCTTGCTGGTGATTGGGACATCAAGTAGAGGCACATTGCCCCCAGGTTATCTGCTGCTTTTACTGAAAGCTGGCCTTTTCTGCTTGATATAAAACACGAGAGCTCCTGAACTATGCGCTGACCACCTACAACTTGCTTGCAGTTCGGTAGCAAAGGAAAGGAAAAGAAGGCGGCTGCCGACTTCAAATCTGCGTTGAAGGCCCTCCAGACCTCAGGTAATTCAGTCGTACTTCATTGAATCTTGTTTTCACGCTAATCTTCTCCAGTGGCACACAGTTGAGGTGAACCTTTCTTTGAACAACTGGGAAGCCCAAAAGCTGCGATCAATGACCATCTTAATTCTTGCACTTCCACCATCTCTGTAAGGGGCCAGAGCTTTTGGACTGTCAGTCCCTCACAATAACGTGCTCGTGGAACTCATTGAAATGTCGTCCTGACGCTAAATGCTTCTAAAGATCTAAAAAGTTGGGGTCCCGACTGCGCAACAAAAGGACGTATCTCTAGCCGTAACAGTCGTCTCAATCGCTTGTTGGATCTGGTCCACTCCAACTTCTCTTGCCGTTGCAGTTGCTCAAAAGAATGCTGATGCAGCGAAGAGCCAATTCGTAACTGCCGCAAAGGCTCTTGAATTGTGGAGCGACCTGACCGGACTCGCAGCTACTCTACAAGGATTGTAGTTTAATCACTGGTAAGCTTCGTGTTGGGTACAGTCCGAGGTGAATGGGGTTCGGAATGTTCCTACCATTTTGGGCTTGGTGCATCATGGGCTTTTGCGGCCGCCTTATGCTATTACCGTTCCAATTTTGCAGCTATTCATTTTCTGCGAACAAATTGATCTTTAAGGTTCGACCTCGGACTCCGGCTCGAGTTACAATGCATGTGACCATCTTGACTTGTCGGATGGTACCGACCGTCTCTGTTTGAATGTGACAAAGTTTTACTGCTGCCATGGGCGATAAGTACGTATATGCGGCACGGCATGCATTACGGGGCGGCAATGAAGTGAGTATGATGGTAACTCTGGTTTCGCAGTGACATTCGTTTCGATCAAGATGTAGCACTGTTCATACCACTGCCACCTCCGCTTCACGATGCATCATATACATATTGTCCTGTACTTTTTCTGCAAACCGTCTAGCTCTGTCGAGATGCGCATGTTATATTGTATTCCGCGTCATGCAATCCGTCTGGAATCCATCTGAGCGCATAGTAAGATGGACCGCCGATATAACATGTTGGATGAAACCTGCCAACGATTGGTCGTGCAGTCACTGAGTCTTTTAAGTAGGACGGAGCAATGTGTCGATCGGCGGCCCCGGGCGCCAATATCTCAGTCCGTCCTGTCAGATCCATTAGGCCTTCAGCAGTGCATGGTGAATACTTGCTTCGCTGCTATGTACACAGAAGTTCGCTGAATACGTACGGCTTTTCGGAAGCACTGGCATTGTGCTGGTCGAAGCTGAGAACTTGTATCACGGTCTGAAGGGCCGCGGTCGCGCGGCCGCCTCGTACTAAAAACTAAGTTAGCCGCGCGGCGGCCCGGCCTCGATGATCATATGACGGCACAGTTTAGGAACAGTATTAGCCGTAGG